GCTCACTTGGCCGGCGACGAGGTCGCCTTGGCTGTAGGTTGCGTTTGGATCAGGTCTGCCATCCTCGTCCATTTCTACTCGTCCTTGTTCTCTTCATTGATAAAAGTCTCCTGTCGCAGGTCTACTCTTGCGAGTACCAGCTTGTCGTTATTGATATCCTCTCCCAACAATATCCACCACCGGAGGACCCGATTCCCTTTTGGCCGCCTCCCGACAATGCGCCTGGCGGCTGCGTCTGTAACTTTGGGACTATATGGGACAATCTCTCGTCTTCGTTGAATCATCTGACGTCTACTTGCAACGAGTACAAGAGCTCGGTGACCTCGCTGCGGTCGTGCCAGTGCTGTGCATGGAGCTCAGGTCTCTCTACGTGAGTAAACCCTACATATTCGACTCCTGGTAAGCTACCACTAATTATGGTCTGTCTCCAACAGCTTTTACGGAGCTTGCCCAGGATACGATCTCTCGAATTACGGTCTAGCAGCAATTGGAAGCACAGCTGAAACCACGCTATCAATGTCAGGAACCTGCAGCGATCTCACGTCCTCGGTCTGCGATGGAAATTTCGGAATAGAGTCACAAGACAACGGAGTGTACCCTGATCCAGCCAATCTGCCTAATCCTGGCAGTAAATCTCTGATAACAAACACAAGGCCCGGGGCCGTTGACCACGCCTCCCGGAGGAGAGACAATCATCAGCGGGACATTCTTGAATATCCCGTACACGCTCACTGCGGCGCGCTACAATGCCGACAACGTCGAGGAAACTAGCACGTCTACTCCGACTGGGTCATCTGATGAGGATTCCACGACCGATAGCTCGACTTCAAGTACGAGTACGGGTGGCGCGGACTCGTCGGATAACTTCAGCAACGGCTCCACAGACCCCAACCATGCGTTCTGCTATGTGCCAGTGACAATGGGGATGGCCGGTGTCATCACACTCGCTCTGGTTGTGGTCAGTCTGTAAAGACCAAAGGAAAATGCAGATAATCATTTCTTATCGCAGGGACGCTCAGGTAGAGCGAAACTTGGATACAAGGAAATTTCTTATAGGAGCGCAGTACCCCGGACGGGAATAAAAAATGTAATACGCATTTCAATGCTAATCTACCCTATACAACATTGCCGTCTGCCAATCCAATTTCAAGCCAGAAGGCTCTGCCAACCTCGTTCGAGGCATAATCAAGCCAGCAAAAGGATTGCATAAACTCTAGAAGCTGCTCCCATGTGCCGATTCCCAAGTCCCTGCAGTGTCTTTTGGCTTGCTTGATAAACCAAGACCTGGTGTCACCATATAATAAGCCATCGGCACAGATCCCAGCAATAATACAGCACCACAGGAGAATCTCAATCTCGAAATTCTCTCTTCCACCCGATAGCTGGAGGATGCATTGTTGAATTTCTAGAGTCATCTTGCGTCGTAGCAGTGACGTTTGTGGGAGAGGTATAATAACGTTCGCGCTATAGAGAAGAGCAGTTTTCCGGCACATAATGTAAATCGCGAATGCTCTCTCCTGTTCTTCGGCAGTGCAGACTCGCTGGTGAAGTACCAAGCTTGGCCGAGACTGGTCTGCTGCATTTGGAAGACTGCATAGACGATGGACAATAATTGCTCGTGTATCACCAATTAGCGCTAGCAGTCTCTCACCGCATATCTGTCTTGCAAGATAGTCGAGTGCTTGTGCCATCTCACTTAAATTAAGCAAGACACGGACAATATCTCCCTTTACGGGAGGATGAAGGAGAGCTAATTGTCGAAACCCGTGGTTCCTGAGGGTTGCATGTCGAGCAAACTGTCGAATTCCAAGAGTCTGGAGAGGGGCCTTGTATATAGCTGGTTTTCCATCAGGCTGGATAAGTGGAAATAGCGGCTTGGAGTCGCCGTTCATAGAAGTGAAGACGCAAGATCTAGTGAATATTAACTCTTACTGAACCATGAAAACAGGATCTACCGGTACCCACACGGAGATCAACCAAGCCAAGCCATAGAGTTTTATCGAGTGAATACCGCCCCTTTGCTGGATGATATGCACAACCATTTGCCAGTGAAGGGGATCAGGATCACAGCTACCATAATATTCAAGTGACTGTAGGGTCCGAAACGGTGGTGAAAAGGGACCACCTTCCGGACGCTTGATACTCTCAAGGTTCTCATTGAACACAAGATAGTGGATCGCCATAACAACGTCCTCAATTTTATCATCAAGAATATCAATGCTACCGATTGTTGATATTATATGGCGGATTTGATTCATCACGGATCCCCTGATTCGAAGCCGCTGCACTTTATTGTCTCGACATACTTCGGTATTCACGGTGTTAGGAATACCCCGTAAGACGGGCGCAATATGCAAATGAAGCAAGGCCGAGTAGAACATGCATGGCGCAACCATGGGACTTCGATTTGGATTTAGATAAGCTTGGATGGTCTGGTTCGCAAATTCGCCGGTCCGAGCAGTTGGGAACACCAAGGTTTGGCATACGTGCAGCAGGTAATCAAAATTCGGCACCGTCTTGCGACAATCTGGAAAAGAAGGATCAACCTGACCTGGGGCGATTTGGTAGGGGTTAAAACTGAAAGCTTTATCAAGAATGCCGTGACAATCAGGACAGACCGTAAACTCCGATACACAGCTGATAGGTGGCGGTGCATGTCGGGGGTAAATCGCTCGCGTAGTAGAGGACGATGATTGTGGCGGATGTGCCTTCGGCTGGGCACACCGGCAACCTGGCAGATTGTTGTTATTGAAATCACCATGGCTTTTGGCAATATGAATTCGGAGTCGCTTTTCGCGGTACCGTCTGCGCATCAGCTCTGACCGTACAAACGATGCATTGTTGCTTCCATCTCGGATATTTGGCCCGTGGATGATAGTCAGAAGTGGTTGTGGCATTACTCCTCGTATACTAGTAATGGTATATCAATTTTTGAGGACCAAATGACCTAACAGGACAAGGCGCTATTAATAAGATACCGCACATGCGTCTCCACTTTGTTAAGCATAGTCAGCATTTATCATCTGGCGCGTCTTATTGGTCCACCTCGGCCCAGGCTTCCCAGACGTTGCGTGCTCCAACGCTTGTTGATTGCGCAGCATAAGCAAGCGAGCCAGCGAGATGTGGCTTAAAGCTACGCAGAGTTTTGAGGAGCTGATGAGGCTTGAATCTCTGTGTTGTATTCGACTACGAAGACTACCGGAGAAAAAGAAACTCTGTGGCCAACGGGGAGTGTCATCTTGGATGATAGGGAATAGTATGCTAGAGAAGTACCTAATAGACCCCGCAAGTTTTGCTATATAAGTGTTTCTTGCGCTCTTTGGCGACATGACACCTCGACCTCGGACCTTTCATAATCTTCCATCCTGGTTTCAATTGTGCTGGCTAATTTATCCCGCAGCGCAATCGAACGCCCGCCGCGTGCCTCGTGTGGAATATGTAGAACCACGGAGAAGCCTGTCGACCAAAGGGCTCCGATCTGGACCACATCATTCTTGTAGGCGAGCCTCGAGAAGTGTACTTTGCACTTCGTAGAGGAAGCGACGGAAAGGGAAGTGTACATTACGGACGCTGATTGGATAATCCCATCAACACTAACAAGACTCAAAGCGGGGCTCCAGAATTAACTTCCCAGATTGGTCTAGCTCAATCCGAGCTAAACGAGACGAACTCAACTCCTCATCGTGCCGCGGATTTGTCATCTCCTGATTATGCGAGCCGCTGGGCAATGGATGCTTATACCTACGTACGTATCAAATCCGCTAGCGCACCCAAGCCTCCAAGTTTCAAAGTGGGCGTTAGGATTTCAATTAATCTGTGAATCCGCCTGCCACTGAAGTGCTAAGACCCGGTGTAGCGAGAGGAGAATTCAACTTCCGGATGGGAATGTAATAAACTCATGACTCGAGGCAAGCTCGGGTCCATGGCTCCTTGGATCAGTCAGGCCTCGATGGATCGGGTGACCAACTCCAAAGCTGGTGTGGTCTTTACTGCAAGCTTGAAATGTTCCTTGTAGCAACATGTAAAAGAGGCAAACGGGTCGAAATAGTCCATAGCCGTCTTCGATACAAGGGGCCCATTACGGTCTAGTCAATCCTGTCGTATCTCCACGCTGGTAGTCGCCACTTGAGCAGATGCACCGTCGACACAATTCCAAATACTTTCTTGATCATCTTTTCGTAAAGTCGTCCCATACCTAGCAATCTTGGAACGTCGAATCAGATCAGCACAAGTTATCTTACGGTTTTCTGATGTAATTAGATCATCAATATAGTAAAGGTTGGTGCTGCAAGATACTCCCGCATTCACCGAATGAAACATAGACTCTGACGGATAGCTTCAGCAACACCTTGCCCATCAGAAGGCCAGGTTCAAAGTCCGTTCTTCGAAGAGTAACCGACTGCAGATGACGCATAGTGTTTCCCAGTGGAAGGATAGCAAGGCACATTGGGACAGTGATAGAAACAATTCACAGAACCTTTCCACTATATCAAGATATTCTACTGATGCCGTGGGCTCGTATGGTGTCTTCTTACTATCTTTCAGTGCTCTAAGCTTCGCGAATGTCTACCTGTGCTGCATTTAAGATTTTATTTCTGTCTCGCCTGGGAACTCTTTGTGGTAACTGGATTTATACGAACTGTGCCTCTCTGCTTTAAGCCTGAGAAACAACAAGATCCAAATCCCCCTCGCCGACATCAACGGATATTTCTATCACATCGCCGCTCCGTTCAATGTTACGCGTGTCTGTCAAAGTTCCACTATAGTAAATCCCATAAACACCCACGTGAAGATTATAAATTTTAAGGCGAATGCTGCTCAGAGATTAGCATCACTCAACTCCAATCCTCCCTTCAAACTTACCTTCTAAAAGACCGATATGATCTCATGGAAACGACCATTGCCTTCCTCTCCTCGTCCCAAATCCCTCTCAGGAAATCCACCCCACTCTCCAAACTAATACCACCTACGTACGGCACTGCACTAACCTGCTTAGCCATCTATGGTTCCTCCCACATCTTCCTCTGCCCACCACGCACATTCAGCCGGGCGTACGCCACTGCGCTATTACCCGTAAAGGGCTCAACCTCGGTCCATTTTCCATCATCGTCAGCCTGTCGCGGGTTGACGGGGTAGTACAGGCCGCCATCCTGCCAGGTCGGGTTGAAGAACCGATCGACATGGTTCAACAAGCCACGGAGAGTTCTGCCGTCGTCGTCTCCCAACTCAGAGGCGGAGAGAAGGATGTACCCAAACACAGGCCGTGGAAAAGGGGGTTCGGGCTTGGTGGGTGTGTTTGCTGCGATTTCGCGGGCTTGGGTAATGGTGGCAGGGTAGTCTGGGCTTAAGTCGTGCTCTTTCGCGATGAGGTCGCGGAGTGCGAAAGTAATAGGGCTAGGGTTTATATTTAGTCTATTAGGTTTGATGCGGGAGAGGAAGCTAATGGATTAGGTTTTAAAGGTCTCTGATGCGATGGTTGGATTCCAAGAGTTCATAAAGGCAGTGGCCCTATGGGGTTAAAGCAGCTAGTGAGCAAAAGGGGCCCGTCTGAGATTATACAGGACGGGGGAAACGGGAGTTATGTAGGACTTATCAGGCTGTAAACCTAATCTCTACTACTAGCTTTTTCGTATTTTGCTTTAGGGCGTACCAGCTAATAAATAGACCATTATCCCCCATCATACCTTTTTCTTTCCAGGCAGCGGAGTACTTGCTCAGTACTTCCTTCACGACGTTTGTGCCATCGCGGCTATCGTTATATTTCATGGCAATGATCTAATGTATTCGGCTCAAGTCAGATTAATTTTCAGGAGTAGTAACTATCATTCGTACCAGGAATTGGTTGCAGACGATAAAGATGCTGTTTGGTTCACAGTAAACACCAAGCTAGTTCTCGCGCTCCATTTCCTTTAGGATGGCTTCTTGCAGAGTCTCACGGGTATATGAGAACTTTTCTGGTCCCATGCCCCAGAAGATGGGATTCCAGGTAAAGGACAATGCATTTTCCTCGTTATACTTGTCATCGTTGAAAAGCATTCGGTACAAGGATACCATGAGGAGCAAATGGCCGGAGTACTACAAGTCATTATTAGCAAAGACGAAGCACGAGCCCGAATTTGAACTTCAGTGGCAGGAAGACAGAGAAAAGAGGTATAATAATAAACAGACCATAATGTTCTCCCTCACAATCGGATCCGCCCATGGCTGTCTTAGCTCTTCTAAATCCGGATCCACAAACTTTCCACTGTGACTGGTTAGAAACTAGTAACCCCAGACTTCTTAGCGCAGCATCTTCTTGATTAGCTTATCCATAAGGTGTTGGAAAACAGAGCGAAGGGCAGGAAGGTGGTGGTAATATGCTATACTAGCAGCGTAGGTCATTGTAGCTAGCTAATAGCGGTATGTATTAAGCTATTCTTGTCCAGGCTCTTGGGAGCTAATAACACCCCATTCACCATCGCGGAGAGTTGCGAGGTTGTGGATGTGCCGTAGGTGTCCGGCTTGCTCACGGGTGAGTTTGGGATATTTTGCGAGAAACGTCGCCGGGAGGCGTTCGGGGAGATAGGGTCGGATGGTCATCTTGAGAAAGGGCGAGATGTGAGAATTAGGAGGCATGAAGATTCCTTGGTGTCGTTCCGCAAATTGTGCATTGTCGATCTTGATATATAAAACAAGATAATTACGTAGTGCCGCAGTTCAGTTGCTGCTACCCGGGTGGCGACACCGTGCAATCGAGATCGAGTTCTAACTGCCTTGGCTAGACGCCGCGGCTGACCGATGCTTCTCGTAGTTGGAGCTCAGACTGCTTATATGAAGCTTGATAATGCTATGGCGGGGGCTGAATGGCACCAATCCGGTGTTAAGTATGTCTTTCATGCGTAGAAATCTCTTTGCCTGCGAATGCCGGTGTCGTTGTTCTCAAGACCCGGCTTCCGGTCTAGGACTAAGTACTGACAGAAAGGCCCTATATGGGGTACACGAATACATATCATGAGTCGAATCAATTTCTCTCTTCAGATAACTTTAATTTCATTACCATGCGGTCCTTTCCAACGCTGGGAGCAAGATAGACATCCTCTGACGCTGACGTTTGGCGGGTTTTCTGATCAGCAATAGCATTCAAGCAGTAGACATCATGTATTATCGTAAGGCTAAAAGGGCTAAGTAAGATCGAAAAAAATATCAAAAGACTAGCTAGTTCTCTGTATGTGATGCGTTCACCTCTATATTATTCAACTCCCCCGACGCACCCTCACCACCATTGCCACCATCAACCGTCAGACTCAAGTTGCCGTCCTCAACCCCCGCAAAAAGCGACGCAAGCGTTTGCATCACAATAAACGCTCTGGTGCGCTGGATCCCCCTGCGCCAGCAATCATACGAGCAACTACTCGCCACAGCCTCCAGCACCTCGTCCGCGAGATTCGGGTGTTGGACGAGCCCGGCCATAGAGCACATGATCTCTTGGCGCCAACGGCGTAGGATTTCCCCCTCTGTCTGCAGCTGCTTTGCACGTGCCTCTAGCGTGATATATTTCTCTTGCATTTGGTTGAGATTATTAGTGATTTGTTTGTTTTCCGCGCCTAGCTTCTGTAGCAGGCCTAGCAGATGGGCACGTTCTTGCTCGCGGCGTTCGCGAAAGCGGCGTTGCGCTTCGCGGTTCTGCGCTTGGCGTTTTGACACCTTAAATTTTGTTTAGTAAACGTATGTGGTGCAATAGCGGTAGCAGTAATAGAGCAGGTTTGTAGACTACACACCTTGTTTGCGTACGCAAGCCTGCCGCTACAGAACCCCTCAGTATCATCCCCTTTGGACGATCCCTGGTTAGCAGCACAGATCGACCCCGGCGGCGAAGAAAGCGGATCGGACGGCGGCGAGAGGCATATGGGATTGTCCGCCGAAGGCGTCCTGGGCGTTGTATACAATGAGGAGAGGAAGCGCAGATCGCCATCAAAATCAAAGGACAGCTCGTCGTCGATCCCGCGCTTCCTATCCGAACCCAGGCAGGATAGCCGACTTGCATTGCCGGCTTCTTTATCCGTCGATAATGATGACAAGTACCTAGCAGCCAAAGTGGAACATGTCAAGTTTTCGTCTCCATATGTTCCCAAAGAAGATCCGGCGGTGCCGTGCTGCGCCATATTGTGAGCTTTGAAGATGGGAGAAAAAGGGAAAAAGAAACAAGAGAATGTGAAGTAGCAGAGCAATTGCGGTGAGATTCTGATGTAAAATAATTGGCCCTTTTGTAGTACATCCTCCCTAGTTTCCCCTACACTTTTATACAAGATGCTTCTCGAAGCAATGTATAAATCGAGCCTGGCTCCGAGAATCACTTGGCCAGTCTATTCCCTTTGCGGTAGTGAACCTTTGGCAAATGATTGGCCACTAGCGCCGGCGCTAGTCTTCGAGAGTGATGACGCTCGAGCAAGCTTCCTCAACGAGCCTCTACGCCATTTGACAGGTAACGAAAAGGGTCCATTTGATGTTGGGAAGCCTTAGAATGGGGCCCATGGCATATTTTGGGGTCACCGTGAATCCGTAGGCCCAGTGATGTGCCCGAAACACCGAGCCGTATCCGGCTAGACTGATCCTTCAGGGCTCAGTCAGATCCGCCATGTGGGAACATGTCGCAATCTACCGTCTCATTATAGTGGAACTTTACTGGATATGGTTATCATGTACAGATCGCGATATGCCGCTCAGCAGCCTTGCACGCCGGAGATACGGAACTTGTAGGAGTAGCGGGCATTACAGGGCCTGCATGGCACGTGTGATAGTGCTAATCTATAAGAGGGATGTCAGAAGCGAGCTAGAAGGACTAATAACAAAGCCGTAGCGCCTACGGATGTCCATGCTATATCTTCTGCAGCAGAGATAGAAGGGGCACTCACTCGTTGTGGTAAGACTATGCTATTTCTGGCCCCCATCACAGCAATAGACTACTGGTGCCGTGCTACCCTCTTTATCAGGCCCGCTGCCTTACGGCGGCCCACCCATATTTATGGTCTTTTCCCATATGCCGAGCAACAATGGCTATCATGAAGAGAATGAACAAGCTCGACCATGTATCCACCTTGATCTCTCCAAATTCTAGACTAAGTGGGGAGGTGTGGTTCTGAGCTACACCCAGGATGCCATGCGTGATTCTGATGGGAAATTGCAACTTCAACACCTGGCAGGTACTAATCACCATGAGGTGTATCCATGGTTCTATTTCCCCACCTGTGGCTGGCCTATATTCTAGGACGAATGTTAATTGTCTCTCTCGATGTTGGTAGCCCTGAAAAGTACGAAACACACGTCTCGCCCTGTTTCACCTAAGCATTTGGAGACCACACTAGAGCTTTTGCAAATCCCGTTGCGGGCGATGCAGACCAAAACCAGCGACCTGTATCTGTCGCGAGTTTGATCTCGGCCGGGAGTACTACGATGGCCCGCGTTCCGGAAATACAATTCCTCTTTGGGCAGGCTAGTCGAAGGCTTCTGCGTGTGCGGCAGGGTCATTCATATAACCACTACTGTGTGGTCTTGAATGGATTGCCAGCCTAGAGTGGAGGGTATCTTGATTATTACTAGATGGTCCTTATAGATGCAGGCTAGAGCTCCCAAGGCTCTAGGATAATTTTAATCTATCTAAAGTGGACTTGGATCCGGCCTTATAGAAGCCAAAAGGAGAAGAATACCGGGCGGGGAGTTGATTGGCTGGTCTCAACGACGCTAGTAAAAGTGGTCCCGATCTGCCGTTTCTCGCTTAGCTTGGAGCAGCTCTAGACCCCGGGAATCGGTGTGGTAATTATTCTGGATTCAGTATTTGGAATATGATACCGTGAAGATTATCTAAAGAGACACGACTGAGCGTCTTGGTAGCATTAGTCAGAGCTGACCAAGGAGTATTTGGAATTCTTTAGCCTCGTACCTGCATAAAAGCCCTTGGGCAGTAGTAGGGATGGTCATCATGCATTGTATAGTACAGAGTATCAGCAACAATGGCCATTGCAACCCTTGCCCCTTTATTCTTCCTGCTCCCAGCAGTGCTTGGAAGCAAGCCTCGCTGCTTCGAATTTGAGCACCCAATCCATGTCTCTCTGACTGTCCCGAAATTCAGCGTTCCTGATTTCTCCAGCAGCATTGAGTCAACCGCTTTCTTGACTGCGTCTATCTCTCGTAATGCCAATCTCAGCTCGCTTGTGGTCGGAGAGACGAAGATTGACCGGAGCTTCAACATCCACTTCCAGTACTGCGAGCCCGATGACTGTAAGCGCAGCCCTGAGGTGCTGCAGGTACTCTCCCATGGAGTCGGCTTTGATCATTCGTAAGTCTTCTATGACCCTCTTCTAACCCATGCGTTTAATCCCAATTGATGATCGATAGATACTGGGACTTTGGCGGCAAGGAGTACAACTATATAACCTCCGCAACAGCCCACGGCTACGCAACCCTCTCCTATGACCGCCTGGGCGTCGGCCGCTCTGCGCTCGCAGACGCAGACCCCTACTCGGAGATCCAAGTGCCCACCCAAGTGGCTATCCTCGCCGAAATATCTTCCTTACTACGAGCTGGCAACTTATCCCGCAAAATCGGCACCCTACCCAAGAAGCTCGTTCACGTCGGCCACAGCTTCGGGTCCCTCATCACCAACGGCCTCGTCGCGGCCAGCCCCGCTCTCGCCGACGGCATTGTTCTCACGGGGTTTAGCCATAATATCTCGTGGACGCCGTTGTTCGAGCTGTGCCTGGGGTTTGAGCTCGCGCGGAGCAATAACCCGGCCAGGTTCCACGGCTACGACTCTGGGTATCTGACCTGGGGCAATCAGTACGATAACCAGTGCGCGTTTTACACGTACCCCTTCTTCGACTCGCGGGTCCTGGGCGAGGCGGAACGCCGCAAGGCACCGTTTGCCATTTCCGAGCTGCTCTCCTTTGCTAGTATACCTCTTACAGCGCCAAACTTTACCAGGCCTGTCCTTGTGAGTACTCCCCGCAACTCTATTGATGATGAATATTACCTTTCCAAAGTTTCCTATCTGATGAATGAACGTGGTAGTTAATCTCAGGCCAATCCGACCTCCCATTTTGCGGCGGCGACTGCACGGGCGTGTTTGACGGCCCCGCGTCTGTATCGCGATTTGTCTTTCCAGCGGCCTCGCCATTCGCCTCGTATATTCATCCGAATACGGGACATGCGTTGAATTTGCATCACAATGCTTCTGCCGCGTACGAGGTAATTCACAAGTTCGTCAAGGAGCATGTCAACTAACTGCTCTTTGGGAGCAGTTATGGATAGGTTGAAAAGAACGTGTACGTACTGACGGTATTAATTGAGCTGTGTTGGGTGGAGAGGGGAAGATAGATGTGTGTTTCATAGATCTTTATAGCTCTAGATTGAGTTCTTTCTTAAAAACAGTAGCGATCCTAATCTCTGCTAGTGTCTCTGTCCAGCCTAAAACCGTGGTTTGAATGAATTAATGTTCGCATTGTGTGTTTATTCTCTAAAATTGGTAAAGCTACGAAGGTCATGTAGTATAGCCATCACCATCAAGAGGGATGTGTGTTCTGAGAAATAAACGAAACCCTGGATATTTTCTACAACCTCATCCTAGTAAAAAACTCAGAGCGCCAGTCAAACCCTCAAATTCTTCCTAGCCCACTCCTCCGCCATCACCCCTTTGATACCCAACTTGTAATTCCACGTTTCCTCCAAATCCCAGGCCACTCCCCTCCCCTCCCCAAACACAACCTGGTACTTGTATAGCGCATTTCCGGGCTCACGCTTCAGATCCTCCTTCGCAGCCTGTACCGTCCTGACTTTCCTTGTAAACTTCCTGCCTGTAACCCGCTCCACCAACTCCGCCAGCTGCCCATAACTAATCGTATCCCCCGCAACCCTCACAGGCTGATTTGCAAACACCTCTTCAGACTGGTGAATCCCCAGCACAATCTCCGCTGTAAACTTCCCGATATCCTCAACAGCAGTAACAGTAACACGATTCTCCCACCCGCCCAGCGCAACAACCTGGCTCGCGACGAAATCCACAACCCCAAATCCAGGCTCAAACAAGAACGAGGTAAACATCCCTGTAGACACAATCACCCATTTCGTTTTACTTTGGGAGCGGAGAAGGGTGCGGACATCCAGCTGCTCGTCAAACAGGTCCTGCGCGGACCCGCGCCCAATCACGTCGTAGTCCACCCCAAACTGCCAGGGGATATATCTTGGGGTGCCCGCAGCGAGCACCGCGCGCGCGAGCTTGATCTGCGTCCCTGGGCCCGCGGCGAAGCCCGTGCATCCTATGACTGTGTCGTAGTTCTTGAAGAGTGTGCTGAGGGATAATTCGCTGGCGGTGGCAATGTCACCGGGAACCAGGGCAATGGAGAGGTTTCCGAGGGCGGTGCTCTTGGCGATCTTAGTTGGGTCCGTTGAGGAAAGGGTTGAGGGGCGTAGGAGGACGGAGATTTGGGTGTCGGTGGGGTTGCGGTTGGGGTGGTTGGCGAGGAAGTGTAGGACTTGCGTGCCGAGTTCGCCGGCGCCGATGACGAGGATTTTGGCGGACATTGTTTTTATGCAGGGGCTTCAATGGAGAGATTTCTATGTTGAAGAACTCGCTGCTTTTCTACTTCTGGCATGATAGTACTACGTATTCATACTCAACGGACTGGGACATGCTGACCAAAGCATGATGAATGTTCTATGATCGCCACTCGGCGACTTTCGCACAAATTCATCCGCTCCCCGAGTCGCTTGACAACCAATGGCACGACTGAAACAAACTGAATACAAAACAACGAAGTGTCGTCCATTCATGCCTCCGTCTCGCTCCACCGCGACCACCCCAGGTACCCCTCCTCGCCTGGCGTGTAGAACGTCGGCCGGTGATACTTTGTCAGGGGTAGGCCCTTGAACAGCCGCTCCGGCAGGTCCGGGTTCGAGGTAAAGTATCGTCCGAATGCTACGAGGTCGATCCGGCCTGTTCCCATGCATATTATTAGTATACCAGGAGCAGACAGAGTATGCGAAATAAAGTCTGGTGCTGCACTCACCTTCCTCAATCGCCCTCGCTGCAGACTCGGCATTGTACCCGCCCGCCCCAATAACAGTCGTGTTCTTGAGAATCCGCCGGAACGGCCATATCGACATCTCGCCGGCAGCAGGCTGCACCTCCTCACGCTCGTGGCTCTGGCACAGCTTCTCAGTCTCAGTCTCAGTCTCAGTCCCAAGCTGAGACTTCTTCCTCTCAATGCTCCCCGAAAACGCCCCCTCGGTGCTTCCCTGGTCATACCTCGGCTCGACAATATGCACATACGCCAAACCCCGTTTCTCCAACTCCTCACAGAACCTCCCAAACGTCGCCAAGAGGTTACTATCCCTCGTCTCCTGCAGAACGTGGAACGGTGCGAGCCGGATCGCCGTGCGCGTTGCGCCAATCGCAGAGATAACGGTATTAACAACCCGTAGAGGGAACCGCAGCCTGTTCTCCAAGCTCCCACCGTAGATATCAGTGCGTGTGTTGATGTTGTCGTGCACGAAGCAGTCAAGCAGGTACCCGTTTGCGCCATGGATCTCGACACCGTCGAAGCCTGCCTGTTCAGTGGCTAGTCGAGCCGCGTGTGCGAACTGCCCGACGACATCGTCGATGTCCCCCTCTGTCATCGCGTGCGAATCAACGTATTCCTCGACACCGCCGCCGTTACCAAAGAGAACATGGGACCCCGGGAGATGTGTAGTCGTCGAACTAAACGGCCTTTTGCCGCCTAGCACGCTGGGCACAGAGACACGGCCGACGTGCCACAGCTGCACGAAGAACGTGCCGCCCTTCGCGTGGACGGCGTCCGTCACGGGCTTCCAGGCGGCTGCTTGGGTCTCGGTCCACATGCCCGGTGTGCAGGGGAATCCCTTCCCGCGCGGGTGTATGATTGTGCCCTCGGAGATGAGCAGGGAGCCGGGGAGTGCAGTGCGTTCCGCATACTAAGCTGCGGCGGAGGCGTTGATGGTGGCTGTGGTGTTGGACGCGCGCATGCGAGTCATGGGGGCCAGTACGACGCGGTGGGTGAGGGAAAAGGGATATCCCTCCCCGGGCGACGTGTAGGGGATTTGCAGGGCGGATAGCTCGATAGGGGATGCTGTCGAGCCCATTATCATGTGAGGTGAGGAGATCTCTACTGCAGTTATGGTGGGACTGTGAAATAACAAATAAAACGGAAAAAAAAGCCTAAAACCAAAGCCCGTCCTGTCCTGAAATGTGAACTCGTAAAAGATGACCAGCAGCGGTTGACATAAAGCACGGGTACAGCGGGTGGGTGTAAGGGCGGGTATTACGGAAGCGTGATTCCAACGGGACATCACGGAAATACTTACTCTAGGACTGGATATAAATATCCATCTGTACGCGGTTCTTGGTTAAGTGCTTACAAATCCTACATCGTGTAGGGTTGGCAGATAAGCAGGCGCCCCCAAACGGCGTGCTTTGCAAGGCGCAATATAGTTCGTTGCGAGTCGTTTGCCGTCCGCATGTTGTAACGTGCCCAGCGCCGTAGAAAATTAGTACAGTTGTAGTAAGATAGCACCGCGCAGGATCTAAGGCCAAAGTGCCTGGCTGGAGATTATGTATGTCATTCCGTGTCCAACCATTGTCCTGCGGCGAGGGGCTCCGTCGGCTTAACCAGGGAAGGGTTCCGTTTTTTTGGAGGCTGGAGGGGCCTAGGCCTTTCCCCGCTTGATTGGATCCGTGGACAATTAGATAGCAGGGCGCAATCTGCAGCCAATACAATGTTATTACTACGTCTCGCTATTCGCCTCAGACTCTTCTCGAGAGACCCCCATCTCCCTCCAGAACGCTTTCCCTGCGTTGTCAGACGCACAGTCAAGCCAAGCAAAGGACTGCAGAAACTCTACAAATTCCTCCCAAGTGCTGATTTTTAGAGTCCTGTAAAGTTCTCGCGCCTGATATGTAAACCACGCCATCAAATCCGGACTGCCATCGGAACATATCCCCGCAATCGTACAACACCACAGGAGAATCTCCGACTCCGCATTTGTGAATCTGTCCCTCCCTAAGTGTAGCATTTGCTGGTGAATTGTAGAGGTCATAACGGTCCTTAGTGTAGACGTTTTTGGAAGAGGCATGACTACATTTGCGGCGTAGAGCACCGCAATCCGCCGGCATATGAGGTAGATTGCGATTGACCTGTCTTGCTCCTCTGTAGTGCACGGTCGCTTATGCAGAATTGCACTGGGTCGATCCGTATGGTCGGGAAGGCTGCACAGTCGGTGAAGTGCGCTGGCACGGGCATCCCCGATCTGTGTCAACAGTCGCGCGCTACATAGCTGACCAGCGAGTATGTTGAGTCCTTGCGCTATCTCGCTTAAGTTAAGGAGGACGCGAATGATGCTACCCTTTATTGGTGGCGAAAGAAGGGCAAGTTGGTGGAAGCCATGACTTCGATATGAAGCATGCCGAGGTGTCGAGCGGAGTGACAGGGCGCGCAGGGGGGTGTGGTATAGCATTGGCTTTCCGTCAGGGGATATTAAAGGAAACACTGGCTTGGAGTTAGTATTGACAGCAAGGATTAGGCCCGATCTGAACGATTCTTGATTAGCAAAATCTTGGGTAAGAACATGACACATACATAGCGATAAGCCAGGCCAGCCCATAGAGCTTCACCGTCATAAGACCTCCCCTTTGGAGAATGATGTGTTGGACCGTCTGCCAGTGGAGCGGGTGAAACTCGCAACTGCCATAGAACTCCATCAATTAGAGGCTCCGGAATGGTGCTGCAAGCGGGCTCTTCTCCGGCCGGCCTATCTGGTCAATGTTCTCATTTGCAGGAAGATAGAGAATACTCATTAGAATATCATCAACCCAATCCTCGTGCATATTCGCGCTATTAAGAGTCGACAGCTTCTTGCGGACCTGATTCATCATGGAGCCCTTGAGCCGAAGTGGATGCGTGCCAGACAAGAGACGCCCAGTCACGCCATGTATCCTTCGCAAAGCATCAAAATGCAGCGAAGCCGAGTACAGCATCGACTGCATAACCATTGGGTTTCTAGCCGGGTCCAGATACGCCTTCAGGCTGCGCTCAGAGAATTCAGTTGGGCGAGCCATCGGCCACAACACATGCACGCCTAGCGGAGAGTTAGTTGTGACCAGGGGGTGGACCGTGCTAGTCGGGCGCCACGTACAGTGGTGCAGAAGCAGATCAAAAGAACTACCTGCTTGACTACGATCCGTGAAGAACGGGTCGAGCTGGCTGGTCGCGATTTCGTACGTGCGACTGAGAGGCATAGCGCGCACTGCATCCATGCGGATTCCGAGACACTGCGGACACATCACCATGATGAGATCTGCTTCAGAGAGACAGGGCTTTGGTTGCAGCTGTGGAAGGGACTGGCGCGTTGGCTGACCCACTGGTGCTGCAGCTAGAGGTTTGGAAGGAACGATCGCCACGTTCTTGCCGCATCGACAAACTGGCAAACTGGCTGCAACTCTCCTGCTGCACATTACTGTTGATTTTTCTTGTCAGTTGCGCGCTGAGTCGGTCTTGTCTCTTGTACCGTCGCTGGCGCATGAGCTGAGACCAAACAAGTGTTGCATTGCCTGGCGCCTTGCGCATCGTTGGACCGTGAACAAATATCAACGGCTGCCTTCCTCGCTCTTCCGGCTGCTTTCCTTGCTCTTCAGGCTCCATTCTCTTGCTCTGCTTTCCTTCTGGCGTACGTAAAAAATGATGATGTCGTCGACTGGGAGGGGCGTCGGCAATTATCGACCGGAACGGGAAATTGCCCTCACCTTCTGATTGGTCAGCTTGCTCGGCGCTAGAAAATGCGCCAAGGAATATAGATTAGCCTGAATTAAGTGACATATGGCCAGAGTCGCTGATGACTTCGTGCTGACAAAGTGAACGACAAACACTCGGAGACAAATCCCCGGCGCCCCCTCGAACATTCGAGGCAATGCTGAGCCTCAAGAGGCAAGTATATATCGGCATGACATTTGTACGTGCCGCTCCAGATCCATCAATCCGCACTTCGCAATCTTTCTTGCATACCTTTCCCTATCTCTGAGACAGTTACTTCACCATGTCGACCACTGGGTGAAGAACCTGAAGCTTCCTGGATCCAAAGCCAACATCTTCTACCGCGAGGCTGGCTCAGACACCGCCCCAGTCATGCTTCTGCTGCACGGCTTTCCCTCATCCTCCCACCAGTACCGCAACCTTATTCCGATTCTTGCGCCAAAGTACCATGTCATTGCCCCAGACCTGCCTGGCTTTGGCTTCACTGTAGTCCCGTAGGGCTTCAGCTACACCTCCAACGCCCTTGCTGGCGTGATATTAGAGTTTCTCGAGATACTCTCTATCAAGAAGTACTCTGTCTTCATCTTTGACTATGGCTCTCCAGTCGGTCTGCGTCTCGCGCTCAAAAACCCCGATGCCGTTCAAGTAATCATCACGCAGAACGGCAACGCCTACGAAGCTGGCCTGGGTGAGTTCTAGAGCCAGATCCGCGAACTCTGGACTAGCAACAACGATCCCGCCGTGAGATCCAAGCTCGCGGCCAGTCTGCTTAGTCTTGAGGCCACAAAGTGGCAGTATGAGGAAGGGACGACAGGGCTCGTGGCGCCTGAATCCTACGCGCTGGATTATGCCCTCCTTCAGCGTCCTGGACAGACTGAGATCCAACTCGACCTGTTCTTGGACTACCAGACCAACCTTAAGCTCTACCCTCAGTTCCACGAGTATTTCCGGACCTCGCAAGTCCCATTGCTGGCTGCTTGGGGGAGGCATGACCAGATCTTCATTCCTGCTGGGGCAGAGGCTTTCAAGCAGGATCTTCCCAAGGCAGAAGTGCATCTTCTGGATGCAGGCCACTTTGCCGTGGAAACTGACACTGCGGAGATTGGGGCGTTGATTCTGGACTTCTTGGCCCGTAATGGGATTTGAGATTGCAAGAGTATTAGCTGAATACAACGTTAATGTTCAATTTTTGTTACAGTGTAAGAGGCCAGTAACATCACCTGAATTGAAAGGCGTAAACTTGTTGTCAATGACTATAGCACTTCCAGGTGTCCGAGTGAAGAGATTGTACTTTCCAGGCGTTAAATCAATGGGACCGGATGGGTATGCTATCCCTCGAACCCGCACGGATAGGACTCCAGATCATCCACTGGTTTGGAATCTCTAGTTGAGTCCAGTCGCAATTTGGCTCCCCTATGCCGTGATCCCTACGACCGAATGGTGAGGTAACCAAACACTGCGTGTAGCATCCGAGAGACTTAAAATGAATCAATCAAGCTATCTAGATAACTATCCACCGTGGAAGAAATCGAAGAACGACCGTAGCGGTCGCCTCTGATCACAGAAGAGGAATAGCAGCATCGCATATCCCTGTCAAGGTCCCACGAGTTATGCATGGCGCATTAGGTCCCAACGCACGATCCGCAATCCCCTATCTACCTACATATAAGGCGAGGTGTCTATTGCCCACATGAACACTCACTTTACTGTCTGTTCTTCTGTCGAGATCTGGCCCGAATAAGCGAAACGACATCCATAGATCCCTAGATCCGTCACGGCGGCCCCATCCTACGTATCTCAAATCGCCGTTCGCACCCAGTAGAATGGAAGCACATGCGCGGCTGTCAATGGAGACCATGAGAGTACCATGCAGGTTCCTGTCTAACTGTATCTGACTCTGTGTTCAACAACCCCCAGTGGACGCCCGCTGGCCCCAGATGATCCTTCCACTATACCCGCACAGTCGAGATCTGGATTCAGTGGATATTCTGGAAATTTTGCCCTCTTTTTGCCTCTTTGCTCAATTTGCACCATGGCCCGGCGGGATCCACTTGACGGAAATACAACAGGCAAGCGCTCGTTTTCCAGCCCCAGTCGCTAGCGTCGCGGCGGATAGCCAATCACGCACACGGAATTGACTTCCCGTTGGGGGAACTTGGATCGCTCAATTGGGATAATACGTTGAGGGGCTCGAGGTGTATATTTGGCTCATGTGGAAGGATCGAGAAAGAGGAGGTGTTCACCCGTTGCGGGGGAATATTTGAGAAGCTTGGGTTTTGGGGGTTCATCACTACCCCTGGTATTTCTGTTTTTTAAATGTCAAGACAATGCGAAATATTAACCGGCCAAGAAAACCTATAGAGCAACAAGTACGACCGAGAATGGAGCAGCAGCAGGTTGTCGCCCGATTGCCCTGTTCGAGCTACGCTACTCTGCCAAGACAATGTCCGACATCATCCTCTGTTAGTACTACCCGGTTAGGGAACCCGGCAATGAGAGCATCCCCCTGAACCTGCACACCACCACCACCACGACGTCGGGATTTGATATGCCGCCTAGTGAGCTCGGCGGCAACGATCTGACATTTTTCTTCTCGCTGAACTCTAGACCAGTCTCAGCCTCGGCCTCGACGGATGAAGACAATGTCGCGTTCTGTCTCCCCCCGGTCTCCGTCAGCCATTCATCATCGTCGCCCACGGCCTCGCTCCGCACACCAGCTACCACCGCAACTACCGAGGGGCTTGACAGCAGGGTAAGCAAGCCATACAATAATACCATCACATCCCATCAACCCGCATTGATCACGTTGTGACGCCAGCAGCAGACTACAAAGCGCAAAACACAGAACCGCACAGCCCAACGACGCTTCCGCGAGCGGCGCGAGCAAGAGCGCACGCAGCTGCTAGCCCTGCTACAGAAGCTGAAAGCCGAGAACACGCAAATCAGCGCGGTGCTGGGGCAGACGCGCGAGCGGAAGGTGGAGCTGGAGGCACGCGCAGCAGCTGGCAACTGAGGCGGAGATCCTGCGCTCATGGCGGGACGAGATCATGACTCAATGGCCGGGCTCGTGCGACAGAGCGAACTGGCCGAAGAGGTGCTTAGCACTGTCGCTGTTGCTGCGACGGGGAGGTGTTGCTCGGAGGGTTGTTGGCGGCACAGGGTGCAGCCGACGGGCGTTTATTGTATTGCAGACGCTGGCGGGGTTGTTTGATGGGGTAAAGGAGGTGATGGGTGATGGGGAGGAGGGCGGGGAGACACCTGGAGGAGGAGGGTTCGATGGTGGGAGTGGGTTTGGTCGGGGTTCTGTGGAGCCGCGGCGGGGGTCGATTGATAATCGGGTGGACTGGGAAATATTGTTCAAATAGCTGACCCATGTCTTTTTGTGCTATATTGATATGCTTTCATATAGCATTAATGAGTTATGGTTAATCTTGCCCTTCAAAGATCAAGTCTGTAAACAGTAGTACGCTCGCAAACTAGCGCAGGATCAAATATATCCAGTCTATTGTTAACTTCCTGAGTCCGATATAAGATACGAATGCAATCTAGCGTTTGTGTAATATAGCTTAAAGTAATGACATGCCTATTATACATAGTAGGTTTTCTGTATCTTAATGTCACAGCGGGTGCCTCAGGCAATTCCCGACAGGAAGCCGCTTGATCACTGCTCGGTGACCGACCATTCGGTGACCGAAACAGCTACGCCTAACCGCTTTGGGACGATTCCCGAACGCGACCCCTCTGCATATATATAACCTCGGGGAATCGCTGGTCTTCTGATCTCCAGCGATTCGTTTCTGAACCAATTGACAGATAGCCTCTCCTTCCTCTCCTGTACCTTCTCCGTTGCTGTGCGCGCATCAAATGAGTCTGTACGCCTGGTGGCTCTGAAACTTTGCTGTTGAGATGTTCTTGTTTGCCCCTGACTGCCATCATCTTGTCTACGAGATACTGCTTGGATTTTTATTAGCACCCGCTTATCTCGTCGCTCAGTTCAAGTTCGCCAGTCAGTCGAGGCATTGGCGTACCGGCCACTAAAATCTGCGCTGCGTTAAGATTTCGGGTACTTCGCGATCTTTCTGTTTCATCAAATGCTGCGATGTTCGGGCTTCGGGTAATCTCTTTCGTTGGTCTGGAGCGACCCAGGGCTGGCTCTTATTAGGTCATGCCCACGCCGCTATAGGGCTAAATAGGAGGCTGGCCATTATTAGCCTCGTGGGGCAGTGGAGGTTCTCTGGGGTGCCCTTGCATTTTCTCTCCCAGTAGTAGAAGAAAGGATTATTGGATGCTTTGGTGGGAGCCTATTGCGGCCATGTAGTGTTCGTTATCCCAAGGCCCGAGTCGTGCAACAAATATAACAGCTTCAGTGCGAGAGTTCTTGAGGAAATTTTGTTAACAACCCTGTTTAACAGAGTTTACCATCTGATTTAGGGGTTCCTGAAAGTGATCCGAATTCCTGTTCTAATGCGACACATAAATGGTTCGCAGGAAAGACATGCGTCCACGATACATGCCAGCACTAAACAATCCCGCGATAACGCCACAATTTGGTTAGAATATGCGAAAGTCCGGGATGGCCAATGTCTCCATTGAGTAGTCCTACATATCTGCTGATCTTGAAATGTTTAGTCCTCAAGGCAATCGTGGTCCCATCCGATGGAATGAGTACGGGAACTGAGATAGGAGTGTGCTGAAGGTCAGCACCGCCATCTGGCGCTGACCGGGGACTTGTGAGGCGGTAGCTTTCGGCATATAAGCCCACCCAGCGTAGCCCACTCGCGAGTTCCAATCGGATTCCATCTGTGTCGACGAAACTCCAGATGTCAACAGATGCCATCCACTATTCAACTTCGGCATATATTCAAGTCACTCGCGCGACGTGAGGTAAATCAAGAGATTAGGCAAATGTTTGAGATATTAATGTCTATTATGTACATTTCTCAACGCAAGCTTTCCATCCCCCGCCTGGGAAAAGACATTCCCAACCAGCGTCCAAAACGGTGCCGTATCTGGAACCGCGCAGTCGACCCATGCAAAAGAAGAAAGTAACGCCAGGAGCTTATGCTTGGAATCTATTTCAGCCTTCCGCACAGCTCCGCTACATGATCTAGTAGTTGCCTAGGCGCGCTATCACCTGACGCAATGACCACGATCACTAGGGACCAAAGGAGTAGTGGATATATCGCAGGTCGTTCGATAAACGCCGGGAACATGGGCGATAGTGCTGCGACGACGCGTTCTCGCAGCTGCGTGCTTCGGGGTATGGGGAAGGAGACGTGAATGGCGTAAAGAATGGCGCTTAGGCGGACGAGGAGATACACCTGCCACGTGTGCCACGTCTGCTCCAGAACATCTCCACAGGAGCCAAGAACCTGGTTGAGATCATCCTTCTCGCTCGGCAAGGAAAACAGGCGATGATGCACGAGGTTCCTGCTATCGCCGAGCAAATCTAGAACGGCGGCGCCACAAGGATGCGTCCCGTAATGCTGAATCACGCAGGAGTACTGTCCGACCTCCGCGAATACATGGATAACGTCCTGGCGTATGGGCGGCGATAAGCACGCCAGAACCTGGAAGCCGAGTCCCGGGATCCTGGCTGTCGGCAAGTCTAGACCTGGGATGTGAAACAGGGCGAGCGGCGGCACGAGGTCGAGCACTTGCCCGTGCACGCCTAGTGCCGGGTAAATGGGCTTTTGCAGGGTGTTGGCGGCGTGCATGAGGTCTGCAATCGAGACGTGCCAGGCAATCGCGAAGACCTTTAGGCTCGAAACGCCGCCGAAGCGCCGGATGATGTTGTGCATGATATCCCAGTGAATTGGGTGGTATTTGCGGCTGCCGTAGATGTCCAGAGTATGGAGGCCTGTGAAGGGGGGAGAGAATGGGCTTGCGTCCCGACCGAGGCCGGTTCTGTGTGCGACGTTCACCGCAAGGAAAAGAATCGTCATGACCAGACCGTCAGGAGTAGCTACTGACTCGATATTATCGACCTCTTCGCGCAGCCGTCGAATCACCAGCGCGCGCAGATACAGCTGTTGTTTCGAGTCGATCTCCTGACCCGGCGGCCCGTGCGTGATGCGCAGCATATCGCGGTAGTAGCACGTCGACCAGAGCACAATGTACACCTTGAGCTTATCTTCAAAGGGAAACACCCAGCTGCGGTAGCAATTGGACGAGTAGTCGAGCGGCCGCATGCTCGGCCAGATGTGGGCGCCAGCGACATTGAGGATCCGCTGCACGTCTATGCCGACGAGATTGGTGTCGAAGAGGACGAGTGGGTCGAGGTTACCGGCTTGAAATGTTTGCAGGCCCCAAGGGGGTGGCCTGATGGTGCGGGATGAAATCCTTCCCCCGCAGCTCTGACATTGTGCTGAGGGCATGACCGTGGTGGTGGCTGCAACTGTCGGGTGTGGGATTGGTCCGGAGGAAGAAGTCGCGTCTCCCGACACAGGCGTACGGGAAGCATTTATGACTCGCACTACAGGGATATAAACATGACAGGCGCAGACGGAGCTCTTGCTTTGTCTGAGAATTGACTTTATTTCGTGTTCGGCGTCGCGACGTCTTTTGGCCCGGCTTTCGATCACCGCGCGACGAATCATGGATGATCTGATTCCATCCGTGCGTCCTTTAAGCACAGCTCCTCCAACAAACTGGAATTTAGGTGGCGACGCTTTATTTTCAGGAGGAAGCATGTTCAAGGACTCTGTCATGCGAGTATGACACTCAAAGCAAAGTGATGAACCCACCGGCTGTCAACCCCACGTGGCACTAACATTTGCGCTAAGCCGATTTTAGAGGCCTCAGCCACCCATCGGCGAGCCAAACGCGCAGTTTAGTCTAGAGGGATTTCTGGGAGGAGATGGTGCATTCACAGAATCGATCAGGGACCCTATATATCCCCTCAGCCGCTAACCCTTACTATCCTTCTCCACTGCATCTTCATGTTCTACCAGTAATACGCGGCGCCCCCGCTCGTATATATAATGTCGCCTAGCTACTCCGGCTGAAGGGTTCGGTGATGAACCTCATCCGCGAGAAATTGTCCTCGTTATATCGCGCGAACGTTCCAAAATAGTGAATAGACGATAATTTGATGAGCATTACCTAACTGGCGGCAAGTGAGCATATCGACAAAATAACACCACCGGAAACGAGCCCTTTTGCTTCTCCATTCCGCAGCCTTCAGTTGATGGAGTTCTACGGCAGTTGCGGAGTTTCAGTAAAATTAACATTGCGATTATCTTGACGAAACTTGTCGAAGGAAGAGGCTTACCAAGACAGGACCCGTGAAGTTCATAGCTGCCAGTGGCACGCTCGTGAAGGATAGAAGCTCGGAGATGGCAAAGGGGTCTTCTGGTTCTCTGCCGAATAGCGGGGTGTTACTGGCACCTTGTCCAACAAGATATTTGAGTCCCTCCTGATCTGGCCACAGGATAGTAAATGAAGATACCCGCTTATATTCCGCACACGAAGCGGGTTGAGGGCTGGACGGGGGTGGGTGAGGCTATCCGGGTGGGGTCAAACGTTCATATTGCACCAGCTTCGTTGTACCCAGGCACGGCCGGGCGCGGAGAGGAACACCAGAGAAGCTACATACATTGTTTAGTATAAATCTGTCTGATAACATCCAAGAAAAGGCCTGAGATTTAATTGTCCCTATTAAGGACTGTGAATAAAGCAGGTTGGAGCTCTAATTCTCCAATTGGGGGCAGATGCCCGAATCTCATGCTCCCTTGTACACACATTCCTCAATTACCTTTGCTAATTCGTCCCAGGTGTCGAAGAGGAAGACCGGCTAGGGAACGCAGAAATGGCTGGAATGTCCAGAGCTATTGGTGGTCGTTTGGATGGGGTTTAAGTTGCGGTTACGGCGGGTTTGGGGAAGAGTTCTCGGGTTCCCTAATGGAGACAGGTATATCTGCAAACTGCGTTCAGCAAACCCCTTCAGGCGGGCCATCGACCATAGCACATGTACGCCTAGCGCAGAGCTACTAAGAAGGGTAGTCAATAAAAGAACCGAACTACTAACAATTATGATTAAGGAGACTAACATGGCTGCTTGTTTGCTACGGTCTGAGAAGAAAAGGGTCCAGTTGGCTGTTGGCAATCTCTCTAGTTCGGGCAATAGGTACAGCACGAATTACATCCGTTTATATGCCAAAGCAGCGAGTACACATCACGAGGATGAGATCATCGTCTGAATGTTCAGGTCTTGGTGGGGGAGCCGTCGCTGACCTTCCGGGGTCGGCTGACTCGCAGGCACTCGAGCTAGGGCTGTGAAAGGAACGAACGCTGGCTCGCCCTTGCCACAACGGCATACTGGCAGCTTAGTGGTGCTATCATCCTTTTGCAGGAGAATATGAAGGTCTGATTCATCGAATCTAGCAGCGAAGCTGCACTAAATACGAGAGAAATAAGGGTAATCTAACTAACTAAATAAAGAAATAGAAACGATACAAGGAACGACAGAGCCGGTGCTGACTAATGGTAAGTTCGGCGTTGAAGCGGAATACTAGCGGTCACTGAAGGTCGACAAATGGGCACAGAACCCGGCAATAAAAGTCGGCACAACACCCTTGGACTCGGATAAGACTTCCGGCTTCGACTTCTCGAATGACTTCGATGATGATCTGCTCTTCTTCTCCTCGCTCTATATGCGGACGTGATCACATACTGCGGAAGACTCATCCTGTCTGTGCCCGCGGCGGAATACGATCTCGTCACCGACAACCTCACCCTGCACACCCATATGGGGAAAATAACAATAACCCTAGTAAAGTAGGCAGGCATCTTCGGGGGAGAAAAAAAAATCACATCTTATTTATGAAGTACAAGCTAATAAGTAACAGATCACAAAGCGCCAAGCACAAAACTGCGAAGCCCAGCACCGCTTTCTTGAGCGCCGCGGGCAAGAGCGCACACACCTGCTCGATCTCCTCCAAAAACTAGGAGCCGAGAATGACCGGCTCTCGAACCTGCTGGACCAGACAAGACAGAAGTATCTTACTCTCGAGACGCCCACAAAGCAACTGCATACAGAGGCGGATATCCTGCGCTGCTGGCTTCAGGAGATGATGTCCTTGATGACAGGAGGATCCAGCATCAGGATCTAGCCGAGGAGGTGCTGGAAGCGGTTGCGGGAAGCTGCTTCTATGAATGCTGGCGGAAGGGAAATTAGCGGTTGAGAGCGTTTATTGTGCTTCAGACGCTCGCGGGAGTGTTCGCGGGTGTCGAGAGGGAGGGGCTTAGGGCAGTATTATAGGGAGCATATCTGGAATGAGTGGCGTGGTTAAAGAGGTCATATTGTCAAGGAACGAGGATAGGAAGTATACCGAAGGGTGTTGGAGCTCACAGCCAGACTTAGTAATTTAATGTAACGATTCCCTTGCTTTCCATTGCATCAACACTTGACTGCTCAGCCATTGTCTCCTGAGATATTCACAGGTGGAATTGCGAGGCATTTTCTGGACATAGGCTAAGGTTTAGATATCGTTTCTAAGCTATGAAGTAGATGATGCCACATGATATGTCGCTTAACGAAGCAAGTGTCAGCTAACCAATGGACCTAGAAAACAGGTGACACAGGCGGCACCCGGCTCAAAGCGTCGAACGCTCAAGTGGGAGAATAAGAAGGTCCCGGAGTGGCAAGAAGTCAGACGTATTGTATCAGCCACGAAGTTTTGGTTGGCTTCCGTAGAAGATGCTGTAGTATTCAAATCATAATCCTTTCTATTTCCATTACACGTATATTCAATCAACCCCAAGGAAATCCAGATCTTCTTAAATGTCGACGACAACCCCGTTCTGGGCCGCAGAGCAACGTGATTTTTGTGGGAGCAGGTCGATGATTGAGGATGGTGGTCGGCGTGCGGATGGCTCGTTGTGAAGTCAGCCGGGGTGGACGTTACTATTCGTGGCTCATTGAGGGGTGCTGGATGTGCAGAATTTTCCAGGTTCTGGGAGGGCAGAGGAATAAACGGTATCGCTTCTGGGATTGGTAATTCGAGCACGGACTAGAATATTTCAATCGATTCGCTGTTTACAGGTCGAGCCGGGCGGATTTTAAGGTGCGCGGCTGATCACATTTCCCTACACACCTTACTTGATCCTTTAGCAAGTTAGACTCACGATATAATGGTACTCATCACATGTTGATTGATTTATTGCTGCCTTTTTTTCTTCTTTTTTTTTTTCTCTTTCCTTTTGACGAAAATATGCTTTGGGCGTGAAGTGTGTTAGGCTACATTGCTTTTCCAGACTCTATGTTACCCTCAATTTCATTCCATATCACCATCCCCGCATCGTCCGACGCACAGTTAAGCCAAGCAAAGGACTCTAGGAAGACTTGAAATTCATCCCAAGACGCTATTTTCAAAACCTCACAATACCGGCGAGCTCCTTCGACAAACCATGCCCTGATCTCGGGTACAGCGTCTGCGCATATTCCCGCAATGATAGAGCACCAGAGAAGAATTTCGCACTGATATCTGGATTTCCTTGGCACATCCAGCTGTATAATATCGCTATATATGTCGGCTGTTGTTTTGCGCCGTAGCATCGATGTCTTTGGGAGAGGCATGACCACGCTTGCTGCATAAAGAAGAGCAGCCTTGCGGCATATGAGGTAGATAGCGATGGACATACCCTGTTCTTCGGTAGTGCACTGTCGCTTATGCAGAATTACGTTCGGCCTGTCTGTGTGATTGGGTAGATTGCACAAATGGTGCAGCACTCCGGCTCGCGCATCGCCGATCTGGGTCAGAAGTGCTGCGCCGCATGGCTGTCCTGCAAAAACCTGAAGGGCTTGGGTTATTTCGCTTAGATCAAGGAGAATGCGAATAATGTTACCCTTAACTGGTGGGTGAAGAAGAGCTAACTGCTGGAAGCCCTGATTTCGAAGTGAAGCATGGCGGGCAGGTGTCCGGATTGAGAGGGCCTGAAGCGGTGCGCGGTACACAAAAGGTTTGCCCATAGGAGATACTAATGGAAAAACAGGTTTACAGTCCGCGTTGATAGCAAAGATTAGGCCCGATCTGAAAAGGTTATTGGTCATGTCCAGCTCTAGGCGGGGAATGTCATACGTACATAGAAATGAGCCATGCGAGTCCATAAAGCTTGACTGTTGAAAGACCACCTCTTTCAAGGATAATGTTCTGGGCTGTTTGCCAGTGAAGCGGGTGAAACTCGCAACTGCCGTAGAATACCATCGACTGTAGACTGCGAAACGGCGCTATAAAGGGGCCTGTTTCTGGCGGCCCTATATGGGCGGTGTTTTCGTTTGCAGCGAGATAGAGAATACCCATTAGGATCTCGTCAACCCATTCATTACGCATGTTGCTTTTGTTGACTGTTGACAGTTTTTCGCGTATTTGATTCATAACGGATCCCTTGAGTCGGAGTTGCTGCACAGTGGGCAAAGTGGGCTGAGTGACCCCACGTATTCTTTGTAAAGCATCCAAATGCAGCGACGCAGAGTATAGCAAAGACTGCACAACCATCGGACTTCTGGCCGGATGCAGATATGCCTGCAGGCAGTGCTCACCAAACTCAGTGGGGCGGGCCATGGGCCATAGTACATGGATGCCTAGGGCAAAGTTAGTGGCGAGGCACGTCACCTAAACTAATGCGTCACCTACAGTGATGCAGTAGATGATCAAACTGCGGACTTATTTTATTCCGATCCGGAAAGAATGGGTCAACCTGACTGGCGCCTATTTCCAATGGAGTCGTCACAGGAGACGACCACGGTCTGACCGCCCGGATGCCAGAGCAATTCGAACATGTCGCAGGAGTTGAAACCGATTCCGACATTCGGGGTCTGGGTTGTAGTTCTCGTAGAGCATGGGGGGCTGGCTGATTTGAGGCTGCTCTAGCCGGAGCCGGGGAAGGAAGCACCGCTGTAACGACCCTGCCACATTGACACAGGGGCAATCTCGCTGTTGTGGCATTAGCCTGAGTGCTTATTGTTTTCCTTAGCTCCTCGTTCGCTCGACTTTGCTTCTCCCATCGTCTGCGGCGCATCAGCTGCGAGCGGATCTGCGACGCATCACCCGCCGCCCCACGTATTGTTGGTCCATGGATGAAAGTCAGCGATTGGTTTCCTTTCTCATCTGACTGCGTACTCCGCTCCATTTCTTTGCTTTCCTATGTTGTGGGCATCTGTATTGTCAAGCGATGTTGCCGGAACGTGAGGGTGGTCGCAAATTATCGGTCAGAAGATTTGTGTAATTCCTTTGCGCTTATTGGTCGAATCTGGCGCTGGTAGAAAATGCGCCAGAACGTCTAGATCAGCCTGAACTAAACGGCCATGACATCTATACTTTGAACAGGCTTTATATCTCTGGGCCAAAGGTGACAGAGAGGTTGATGAGCTCAGGTTGGAGCAGCGATGACAAAGATAGCATCGAACGTGCGGCCCGTCGAAGCTTCTGGGATGTCCCCCCCTGGAAAATTATAAATGTGTGGTTACATTCAGACATACTTGCCACTCCACATTTATCAACCATTAGCATTTCGCAACTTATCTCTTTGCTTCTTTTTAATTTTCTCTTCTACTAGGGCTTCTAGCCTCCAGGGCCAACCTTTCTATTCGAGTCTGGCTCTCTCCGCACGCCTCCTGTCGGAACCTATTTCCGTGTCAGCGGTAAACATTCCATTGGTACGATGGTATTAAGATTTGCCTTATTTTCATCTCGAAATATTCTTTAGTTCAAGTAGACTTATCCGTTCCAGACTATAGCCAATCTAACTATCCCAAAAAGCGTGCTACGAGGAAACAATTCAAGCGATGAGAGTAAATGCATGAGATGCAACCAATGAGAACCCATATATGGATGACAATTTTTATGGGTGGATCCACCAAAAACAACTTCCTAGTTCAGATATTATAAGAAAATACAGCGCGTGGCGGTACCAAGTGCTTTGCAGAGCACAGAGTGCAGTGACACTTCGCCAAATCACTCGGGAACCATTATCCACATACAGAGCCTAGGGCTAGGAGCAACAACACGGAGCGATCCATCGTAAACCCAAAACAGGTGACAGATACTGCTTGCATGGATTTTTTTCATTGGAGCATATGTCCATTGCCTATTATTGTCCAAACTGCAACTCTATTAGAAAATACCAGGATGGAACGATAGCTTGATCAATATAATGCTACCTAACAAATGAACATCACACTGACTCGCCAATAATGCAATATTAAGCATGAACTAAACTGTATGTGACGGTGTCCTTCACGTAACACTGGCTCCTTAAATGTTCCGGCGGATACTCCTACAGTTTCTAGACTGCACAAGACATGGCGTTTCTGGGATCTACTAGCAATCGACGCGGAGTATGTTAGTGATCCTTTCCATCGGCTTACTCTTAAGGGGTTTTCCAGAGCCCTAACATACCCCGCCAAGGAGGGGGAGACTGACCTTGATATAGCGTTTCGTTTCATCCGTGCCCAGGAAATATGATGATCATGTGTCCGAAAATTTCAAAAGCATGCCAATACACCATCAAGCCTGAAACTGCTTCCATCAATCTTGGTCACTCTTACCGCTCAGGAGCTCCAGGGACTCGAGGTTAAGGCCTCTTAGTGCTGTCGACGAAAAGAGTGGTTATCTTCACAGAAGGTAACCCAGAACTACCTCCAGACAATGAACCACACCAGTCAGATTTAATTCTAAGACCCTGGCCCGAGGTAAGCGCGAAGGCCTGAGTGGCGACCTCTGAGTTAGTACGGACATACATCGTGAACCATACATTTAAACACGAGTTAGTCTGTATGCGCATGAGCTTGCTCTAAGGCATGCAAACTCGGCATTCTTGCTTTCACTAAATCTCGTATCCTAAGTTTCACCCAAGGGATGATAAGACTAGATACAAGAAAAACAAAAGGTAAAACAAGAGTACCCCAACCAGCAGGATACACCGCTACACACGCCACCAATGCAGCCTAGGGAGACTAGGCTACGGTCGCTTGGCCTCGTGTCTCACGTCGCTATTCACCTCTGCAAAATTCCACCAGACCGCGCAGTGCTGGAACAGTAGAAGCCGTCTGAGAATCCTGGAGTCTCGTTCAGGGCGCGATCTTGGCGTAATTCCCTTCCTCGTACAATGCGGCGCTTCACTAGTCGTACCCGGGAATCTGGTAGCGAGCGAGGTCACAGCCGCCCTTCCACCGGCGCATCTCGGACTTTCAGCGGAAGCACATTTGTCGAAGTGCTGGAATACTAAGCCTTCGGCGCTGCCCGGCACTGTAATCGGAAGTGTGGTTAGCTCTAACTCTCAGTTGAGATGAGTGGTCGCGCTGGAGGGAGAGCTTGAAGGGGGACGAGAGGTGCACTTACAGAAATGTCCGTGTGAATTGGCTTGTACCCACGGGCTACGTACGTGAAGACCAAATCGCCAGAGCTATATATATATCACCAGCAGAACCGGCCCAACGGTTTCGCACAAAACAGACCGGCCCGCAGTAGACGAATTGGCTGTCAGTCCAGAAAATGCGGCTCCCCGCCTCGTGGAAGAACTTGTAAATACGCAGGATATTGAGGTCCATCCCCATGTCTGTAGCTTATACCGCATTATTGGCTCAGGAGTTGTTAGGCACAGAAAGGCGTATGCATCTGCGACTCGACAGGGAGATGTGAGAACCTAGGGAATGTCGCTTCCCTACATTTTCATTTCCATTTACAGCCCCACGTGAGATGCCTGTTTGTTGACCAGTCCATGGGTTCAAATAATCCAAGGCATGGCATTGGGATAGTTAGTAGTCACACTGTGATGAGTCACCGCTGCGGCTCTGGCATGCTTGGCGGATGGCTTGGGCTCAGGCCACTCGCCCATCATCGCCGTAAACACCTCCTCAGCCAGTTTTAAGGACTCTTCTGTGTTCCTATTGTAGAGCGAGCGAGATGTGCCCGTCCGTCCAACTGGTGAACTCCTTTTCAGCGCCGCACAACTTTCCCCTTCGTGGCTCAATAGAGCAACTTTGACTTAGTTTAGTGAGCGTCGGTGTGCAACCCTGAATAATACTATCTCCAGTATCATTATATGTCTCGAAAGCGAACTAGGTAGAGTTTAGTACATCGCATTGACAAAGCAGTTCTAGTTCACAGAGAAGAATGGTCAGAGCTTGTATACTTGGTGTATAAACCCGGATGTGGAGGACGAGGATCCGGGGCGAGGCCATTGTACTGCTGAAAATATCTGTTTACATTGCTCATCTCGCGGCGGGAAGAGTGCAAGCTTTGGGTGGATCCGCCTTCTGTATTACTGCAAGAGAAGTGGCTGTGATAGCTAGTCTGTCCTGTGGTTAGATGAACAGAGAGGCGGCCAGTACATTATACCTTAGAACACTACCTCATGTTCACGGGAGAAGAAGCACACGGCTGAAATTAATCCTAAATGCGACCGTCTTACCATTGACCTGAACGCAACATTAATGAAATGACAGCGCACAGGTAGCTAACAGCTCCATGCTAGGACGAAACCTTTAAACAGCGATAGTCATTTAGCTATGAATTCAAAATAACAGTCCGCGTCTGCAGGAACTCATCCACGCCCCAATTCCCGCCAAACCTCCCCCACCCGCTCAGTCCTTGCCCGCCATGCGGAAGGGTGTGCTCATCGTGAACCGTCATACCGTTAACGTGAACGGCGCCAGCACCAAGACCCTCGGAGATCTTAATGGCCCTAAGATGGCTCTTCGTGAAGATGCTGGCAGAAAGCCCATATCCCAACCCTGCGACGACGTCGCGCATATCATCTTCCGAGTCCACAGACATGATACCAAGCAGAGGCCCGAATGACTCGATAGAGAAAAATTGCATCTTCTCCGTGAGTCCGGTGATCACAGTGGCTGGGAATGTATTGCCTGGCGCTTTGGAGATGGGGCAGGATGTCGAGTGGACAGTGGCACCATGCGCAACGGCATCAGCGACGAGAGTCTCAAGCTTTTTTTTACTTTTCTCAGATATGAGGGTATGCACTTGTGGATTGCTTTCGATAAGAGACAGTATTTTCTCCTGTAGCACAGTAGCGGTCGACTGCGTGCAGAGCACAATGTCCGTACACATGCAAATCTGGCCATTCTATATCTTGCAACATGAGCGATCGGAATTTGAAAGGTACTCTGTAACCGTAGTATTGTACTCACACCTAAAAACGCACCCAGAGTAATTTGCTGTGCGGCAACATCAAGATCGGCGTCGTCCAAAACAATTGCACAATTCTTGCCGCCGAGCTCGAGAAGAACCGGTTTCAGGGCTAGAGCCGCACGGGAGGCGATGATGCGACCTACATCAGTAGAGCCTGTGAAATTGCATTTCTTGACGGCGCTATGGGTGATCATAGCCTCGAAGACCCCCGCTGCATCCTGCGGTCGATGCAGGATGAAGTTCACAACTCCAGGAGGGAACCCAGCCTCGCGAAATAGGGATGCGACCAGATGGTGGGAGCGTGGACTGAGCTCTGAGCCCTAGATCGAGGTCAGCATGTACTTACTTCACAGCCTACTTTGGACACCATGAAGAAGCTCATTAGGGATAGCCTTTGCTAGATGGACGTACCTTAAGAATCACTGTGTTCCCCGCAGCTAGCGGCGCAACAATCGCTCGCAATCCTAGAAAGATGGGGGCGTTCCAAGGTGCGATTCCCAGAACGACCCCCAAGGGATCCTTGAACACGAGACCATAGGAATCTCCCTGGGTGCTTGGGATTGAGCCCACGGCGCACTGCGTAGTCAACGCTGCAGCTTCCTCCAGGAGGCCAATGCCACCTTCAATGTCCATATGGGCCCAGAGATGGGGAGAGTGGATTTCTTCCTGGACTGTACGTTCGAATTCGTTTCTTCTCTCCCGGAGAATCTTTGAGATCCGTAAGTAGAGCTCGTGATGTACGCTAACCGCGAAATCGCGGACATACCTGTGCAAGTCGTAGAAGCAGGCGCCTTCTCTCCTGTGGAGCCACCTGGGACCACAATCGGAATGCAACACCTGCAGATTCCGCTGCCTGGACCGCGAGTCCCGAACCAGCGCCATGGAAGGCATATCGTCCGCTTCTATGTGTTTTGCTTGTGACTGAGATTATGTCCTTGCCGTCTATAATGAGCGGCACGACGCTTGAGGCTTCCATTTCTGGCTAGAAGATTGTGGCTAGTGACCATCGAGGCAGTTTGCGGGGGTAGTAAAAGGATTACAGCGTAAACGTTGCAGACATTGTGCAGATTATGTTTTAAATAATGTATTCTAGCAGTTGTGTGACAAATGCTTGAAGATTTCCCAAGCCTAGATCAGCTTTATTCTTTTACCGGCGCTCCAGGCCGGAGGCGACTGGCTAATCGGCATTAAAAATGTCTCAGACTTTGCTAGACCTGTTGCATATTAGATACTTTGATTTGGCGGTGGGTGTCTGGCTGGGTTCAAGCCATGGGCCCTAACTAATTAGCTAACGTTGAGTCAGCCTCAGAAACCGCCTTGCATCTAGCTACTTGTAGGTCCATGTACACCACTTGCTGAATCAAAATCGACGCTCTTACCTAATGGTCTGCTTTGTCATTACACGACTCTCCTCGCCGGTCGTATCATCGACCGTTTCTGACAGGTTTTCGGCTTGCTGCGCAAAACATCCAACAATATTGGAAACTCACCGCGTTCCATTTGAGACCATGCCCGCAACGAAAGACAGCTCCCGCAAAATCCTGCTTTGATACGTTATCCTTAACTTGACTGTCTCAGCTTGGGTTAATCAGGCGCATAGTCGTATCATAGGCTCATGTCAAATAACATTCTCCATCTTTAATCCCACGCAGATACACAGCTTTAAGGCAACAGTCCTAGCCATTGTTGACTTAGAGCTGAGGTAAGTGTCTTTGAGCATATGTAAATCAACTTTTTTCCACTAATCTCTGAATACTCGTTGTAATGATAGGTTGACCTCGGTATGTATGTAGACAGGGTAAAAACATGGAGTTGGATTAGTCGTACCGATCCAGCCAATAACCATGAGTTTACTTTCCTAAAGAACCGACTACCAAGTTTCTCCTTTTCCTCAATGGTTGGTTGCGTTTGGGATTTGATATTGATATCTCTCCACTTTCCTTTTCGGAAATCGCCTTTAATGTATTCGCTTCGTCTCTTGCTGCATCTGCTTCTGATGCTTCTGATGCTTCTCGCTCAGCGCTTTGAGCAGGCGATACGCCGAACAACTGAGGAAATCACATCTTTAGTGGTACAGTAAATTTGAGAGGGAAATTTCGTTATTAAAAAGCCCTTTGGCAACATTACATGTGCGGTCGATATTATATTCTCGAAGAATATTTGTTGGGGCAGGCTGGTACCGTTGGATCAAGCTCATCACCTACTTCCGCTCGCGGACCATGGAGTTGGGGCCGCGAAAAATGTGCTGGCAGGCTAGGTAAATTTGCCTTTCATCAGGGTCGCTGTGCGCCATCTCAAGGATGAGGGATTAGATCTGCGAGTGCAAGAGAAGATACTACGGTACTTTTACTTTCAAGTTTCCTGACTTGTTGACTGGATAGAACGCTTGGTATTTCCTATCTAGGGAAGACCGAGCGGCGTTATCGTGGTGGTTGTGCGCCACGTGACCATACGCTACGGCCGCTGAATGCCTGAGGCACCCATGCCGACACTTGTTGCTTGCAAACACAATTAATCCCTGTCGTCGAAGCTTATTGCACCAAGGCTTCTGGTCGAGCATCCGGTTTCTCGTGACTGATCAAGCAGCGCAACATCCATCCCCAGGCAGCAACATTCTAGCGCTGATTTTGTGGCGCCTTCCTGCCAAGTTAGCTAGGGTTCCAAGCGGCGATTCTAGTGGTCAATGTTGAAATGAATATTGGGTAATAGTGGATATTAGAATTTAGCTAAGTGATCGGTTAGGCAGGTCGCGCGAGGCAGGTGAGCACAGGGTGAGCCACTCACCCTGTCTATTACACACTCACCCAGCTCACCCGCGTCTCACCCCAAATCGCGCGACCATAAAGCGGCCTCACCCTAATCTCACCCGGGCCGCACCCACCCAACTTCTGGCCACGCGTAAGCCACACGCCGGTAGGTTAGTAGTATGGTGGGTGACCACAGGCGAATCCCTACTGTTGTATGTTTTTTTGCTTTTCCCCTATTTTTAGGGAAAGAATTATATTGTTTTGATTAATAGCTATTAGTCGTTCTTGATATTCCCTAGTACAAGTCAACTCTTAAATCAAGCAATCCAGTCAGAGCATCGTCCAACCAACCCCGCAACCAACGCCTACCTCGTTCCTGATGCAACTCCGTCAAGTCCAATGCCGGCCCGGATGAATAAATAAAAATCCCCAGGCGAATCGAACGCTGGACCTTTCAACAAAATAGAAAAATATATTGCGCTGACGCATGCGCCAAACGAGCAATATAAAATATACCCCTTGCTGCTGTGTCTTGTATACCAGGTGCACAAGGTGTTGCCAAGCCCTATGTTATAGCGACCGCTGCAAGATTCCAACGTTTTCGGGAGCATGTTTGGAGCAATTGGACAAACTGGGCCCAGACGGGGAGGAAATAACCAATAGAAATATGATGATTCTGGAAGAGTGTATAACATAGTGAAGCACATGTTATAAAGGTGCCTCATTTACACGATAAATCGGGAGAAAAGCGGTTTTGCTGATTTGATGCAAGCCATCTTACCAGCCCTCGTTCAACACCACGGTCAGCCATAAGCTACTTCGAGGAAGAAAAAGAACGAGGCCCACGCCTGGCAACAAACTTGGGAACGAGTGCATGCAGTCCGCGCACCTTCCTAGAGTGCTACATGCCATCCAAACGTGAATATTTCGTCACCTGGTTGCTTAGAAAAATTGCCTGAGAGGCCGCGTGTGGAGCAGACTTGTCTGACACGAGCACACTGTCGAAACGAGAGACACTAGTATCAACCCCGACTTGCTTTCTCCTTCTACTTTGTTAACTTTCGACAGGTCGAGCATCGTCCATCCGATACATTATACCCCGCAGGAGAACTACGAGCGAAACCATGTCTGGTTGGATGCGGAGAGACCATCTTTAATGTCGAGAAAGGCCACGAAAACTGGTCTACTCAGGGGAGTGGCTTTTTGAATGTCCTTCCACAGCAGGTGTCGATTATGTTAAAGAGTGGGAAGCATCGGGTTGTTTGATGTACTCAACTATCGGACAAGGCGTGCCATCATATGGGTCGGTGCGCACATGCAAGATATCGTTGCGAGACTGGAATCTATCATTGCTCAAAGCGGAGACAGGTCACGCGGTGCTGATGCAGCCATTGGGTTCGAGGAGAGCATTTGCCCACACCCCCGTCCAGGGCTTCGGAAATGCGAGGCGCAGTATGAGCGGAGTTGATTGTCTTATTCAATTATTTAATCAAACACCCAGCTGCCGCAGCGTCCCATACCAAAGGATCTGCGCATACAGTACATGCAGCTCATAGAGTATCCACGGCAGCTTCTTACAGTTTCTCGCACTTGCCTTACTTCCTCCGGGGTAGAGGTCCGCACATTCAACCATCACCCACGTCACTCGCGCTGTATCCTCTGATACCTTCTCCACGATAAACTCCTGGAACCCACCGTCCATGATCCTCCACGGCATTCCGTACGACGCGGCCCTATCAACGCATTTGACGAGTCCGCGCGGGAACATCCAGTACAGCACGGTGCCGGCGCCATCAGTCCGAGTGTTGAGGACATCGCTGTTCGACGGGAATTCAGAGACGGGTGTTGGGACGTTTGGAGGGAGCGCGTCTGGCTGGATCGAGATTCCCTTCATGGAAGACCAGCTCCCAAGGAGGAATGCGCCGATATTCAAGTTTCCAAATAGTAGAGTTGCAGGGGTAAAAGAAAGTGGTGGGATGTCTTTGTCCAGGAGCCATCTTTCCGGTGCTATTGCTGGGTTGCTGAGGAATGCGGCGAGGAGGTTTTGGGCTAGATTGCATGTGTCGCTCTTCTCGGATTTGACTTCGTCCTCCTTTCCGTGAAATGTGTCGTAATTTGCCAGCGATGAGATTGGGATCTCGGTTTGAAGTGCTGCGAATGAGGAGACCCAGTGTGTTTTGTTGCTGTGGTCGGACCATGAAGATAATAGTGGTGACTTATTCATTCCCAAAGGTGTCTGCCCAGATACTTTGCCTTCTTCAATCAGATTTCGACAAGCGCTTGACATTGGAAGATCTGTTATCGAGACACGAGGACATCGTTGGTTGAGCCGTCGTTTGCCAAAGTAGATCAGTGTGCCACTGACAGTTAATAGACAAAGTGCCCCAGTAAGCCTTGGCCGGCTTGAGATAAAGCTTGTCATGACTAGTTGATGTAGATCTTAGATATGAATTCGAACGTGGCTCGTTGCTTACGGCTCTTATATGTACGCAAAATCGGCCCGCGTAGGCCGACTGGGGGCCGGTTCGTCCCGAAGCTTACGGTGGTCACGCGTGTATAGCGTCGCTTATGAGTCACAACACAACAATCCAGCCTCACCAGTCATCCCGAAACTCTGGTAGCTTCGATATGATGTTTCTAGGAAGGGAGTTTGCGACCGCAGCGTCAGTGACAGCAGTAGTGACCACAACTTCATCTTCCCGCCGCTCGAACAGAAGCGAGCAGCCGTAGCCTTGTCAAAATCGCCAGTAGCTGGTACCAATGCATCCTCTATCGCAAAGCGCAAATTTAGAAACTTGGATAGTACCCCCTTGATGAAATCGTTACCATTTCAGAGAGTCCCCGTTGAGGATATCTTGGATTGCATCGTGCTTGGAGGAGCCATGGACTACTCGAGGAAACTTGGGTTCAATTTGTTCTGAGAAGTACAGCTTGTCTATGCTATTGTACAGCAATATCACCTGTTGATTGCTGGTATCCGGCAAGCACTCGTTTTAACGACATGTCCATTTGTGACGCCCAGCATCCCAGTGCAACGAACTGTAACCTGCTACCTTCGTATCATCCACAACGCCCCTGCTGGCAGGTGTCGATGGCGCACAAAGCACCAGCTGAATCGCCGAAACCGATGTGGCCGCGTGGTATTGGGCTAACAATGGATCGGGAATAAATCCCTGCCCCCGGCCAGATTCCAAATCGAACCGCCTGCTGGAGCGCAGGATATATCTTCAGACGCGGCCCAGATAGCATCGGATCGTCAGAGTGACAGTAGTCTAGAAATGGCGGGCTTCGCAAGCTACCACCTGCAAGACCTCACATTCACAGGTCCCCAGGACACCAAGAGAAAGCCCTACGCATCACTCGCGATCCTCGATCCGATCATTACGATTGAGCGGCGGCATGGAAAATATCATATCGCGGCGCGGTTCAATATCGAGACTGCGATTCTGAATTACGCGTCGCAGACCAAGTTCGTTCTACCCTTCCTATCTATGTCTTCTACAGTCCGCTCATACTAACCTAACACTCCAAAGAGACGGCCGCGACCTCTTCTTCCAAGACATCTGCCTCGTGTACAAAAGCACCTGGGAGACGCTGCACATGAAGCCCGAATCCGATTCCTCGGCGGCACTAACTGTATCCCCGGGGTTTACCTCGTCTATATCTGCCACAGCTGGAGTCAGGGCGTCGCAGACGCCCTTGGGGAATGTATCACTAGGTTTGACACGCTCGAGGTTGACGAGCTGGAATCTCAGCGCGCATCGGGCTGTGAGCGGTGAGTTTACTGTTTATATGTATTCATTGTATATGTATGATGTGATTAATCTTGGAAAGATGGCGCATGGTGCTAATCATGGTTACACTGTCTACTAGATGAGTGGCCGGACGCGGGCGAGCAAGTGCGCTACCAGTGGTTCTGGGCGGGTACGTAGGATCAGTCGGGGAGGTTATCGAGTGATTTGAAGCATGCGGTCAAGAGGTATGTTGTTGTGAAGAGGATAGTTCCTGTGGGCATGATCACACACTTGAACAATGGGGCGACTGACGCAGCGACAACGGACAATACAACCGAGGGCCCATCAAAACAGGACGCCGAGGAGAAGGAAGAGGCGGAGGAGGAGGAAGCAGAAGAATAGGCAACAATTGAGCAGGAAAGGGGCGACGAGGATGCCGACACCACTGAGAGAGAAAACAACAACACAATCGACAATGGAGGTTCTCACACCATGGCTAGACCAAAGGCGCAAGTGGCCTATACCTGGGAATCCCTGCTTGATTTTAGTTTTTGCGTGCAGGTACGTACATATTAAATCCAACCCTGTCACGGTTAAGGTTAACGCAGTCAAATTTCGCGCAAAGATTCGAGCCAAAAAACGCCTAAGCCGCCTGCAAAGACTCGCCCGGTTGACGAGAAACCAAGTCAGAGGGAAATATCTTCGCCCAGTGTACCTAGAGGACTTTTGCCTCCGCGTCCCTCCACTCGAGGATATGATTCCGAAGGGGGACACGGTTGATCTCGGATATGTTGAGTCGAATTAAGAAGGATGTAAGTGCGACCTATCTCGACGATGATCCACATTGAAACATTGCATATGATAAGGCAATCTGTAGGGCTAATGCGAGGTTTTTTTTCTATCTAGTTCGAGAACAAGCTCGACGAGCTCCCAGAGAAGGACTTCTTTGAGATTGCCAGCGCGCATATACGGAGAGAGGTCAGTCGCCCTCTGTTCTTTCTTTTAGTCTGTTTGGATATAGGATTGACAAGAGGCAGGCTGTGAGAACAACCCAACAATACACGACGCAGGATCGAAAGGTGGAGCAAGAGTGGGCGGACAGGAAATTCGATATCGTGAGGCCTGCGTATACTGGGCGCAATATGAAGCAGCTGTAATTGGGTAGCCTGCCGATGGGCGGGGAAGCTTTCATACAGTCCAACACTTGTTGGAAAGAAGGACATTGCAGTGACACCTTTTGCAGAGACCATAGCAACATTAAGATGAAGACGGGAGGGAGTTCCTTGAGCTCAGAGCGTAGGTGTATGCTTGTCTTATGGAACACCTAGTCGAACGCTCTAATCATGGCGCGCTCACACAAAATGTCTGTTCATTCCCAACCGCCCTAAGGCCTTATCAGGTCTTGGAGTATAGGTACTCAGGAAGAACAAGATGGCCCTGGCGAAATCGCCTCAGTGCTCAGATTCATTGTCAAGATTCAATTGAGGTACGAGTAGCCAGGGGAGCGATATCGCTAAAACAATAATGGGTGAATCTCACAAATCAGGGCGGAATGGCGCCGCGTTTTGCCGGAAGGGCTAGGAAGGCAGGCCCCACAACGCCCGATGGCTCCGTCTCATCTTATCTTGATGTGGATCACTACAGAGTAAACCCTTCATACTTAAGAGCACGGCGCACCCTCCGGGAGTCGAGACATTCCAGGGCGTACATACGAGCCTTTGTATTCCAGGGAATCCCCCAAATGACGACATGCTTCATATTCTTCAGGCACGGCTTGATGCATGAAGCATTGAGTGCTTCATATAAGGAGTGGAGACAGGGGTGCAGAAGTTCCTGTTGGTGGCAATGCATCTGCCAAGATCCGAGCCAAGAAGGAGAATCTCCGGCCACAACTGCTCCTGATACACTGAAGGAGCAAAACGAAACTCCCTGAGACGGATTGAGAGTACGTCCTGAGACACGTCTCATATACGTTGGCCAACAAGGGATTCCCGTGGATTTCCTCACAAGCAACCCCTGGGAAAACCACCATTCCCGTCATCTGCTCTCTGCAGACTCCACTCCGGTGTGGCTGCTCGGATGTTGGCCGAGGTGTAACCCCAATCAAGATTGATAATCTCCGACATGATCAATCCCGTGCATCGCACAATCTATACCCGGCGCTTTTCCCTCCCTGAAGTCTCGGCGCGTTCCGTGTATGGTGTACCCGAGTCAGAAGAAATAAGCCGTGATGTAACAGACTCGGTTAGCCACGCTCGATCCGTGAGAAGTGGATCTTCTGCAGCATAGGAGTGGCTGCGCGTGGCTTACGCCAGGGATTTAGAGTTGCACATGGGCCCCGCGTGGTACTGATTGAGATTGGGCCTGTGTTGGTCATGATTATCAAGCGCGGAATATTCTGCTCGCGCCTCGTGGTTCTCCGCAGGCTGCAGATGTGACTGGTGCCTGGAATTTGATATATGAATGCCGATCCCTGCATGAGGTGGAAGAGCAGGCCTACCCTGCGTAACCACCCGACACTCCTTTACAATGCGTCCCTCCTTAGCTCTGCTTTCCCTCGCTCCTGTAGCCCTTGCGGCTCGTCCGTTTCTCAATGAGGCTGACACGGGGTATGTACCTAGTCACCTTCCAAGAAACCAAGACTAATCACCCATAGAATCGACGCCGTCCTCAGCGACACCCCCGAAGGCACCCTCCCAGACCTCGACGACATGCTCGGCCTCCCGGACTTCGAATGGGCCGCGCGCCACTACCTCAACGACTCCTCCTACACGTACTACCGCAACGGCGCCGCGGGCGAATGGTCCTACCGCAACAACCTCGAGGTCTTCGGCCGCTACCGTCTGCGCCCGCGCGTGATGCGCGACATCACAAACGTCGAGTCGACCCTCCCCACCTCCATCCTCGGCTACAACTTCTCGGCACCATTCTACATCAGCCCCTGCGCGCGCGCCGCGCTCGGACACCCCGATGCCGAGGTGAACTTCATCAAGGCGGCGTATGAGGAGGATATCCTGTATATCCCCTCGCTGTACGCGAGCCTGTCCATGGACGAGATTGCCGCTGCGAAGCCCGCGAATGGGTCGCAGGTCATCTTCCAGCAGGTGTACCTAACCAGCAACGACACCGCGACGCAGGCGATCCTCGACCAGGCCGAGGCGCTGGGCTCCAAGGCCATCGTATTCACGATCGACGGGCCCGCCGGCGGAAACAGGCACCGCGCGAACAGATACGGCGTTGGCTCCGCAAACACCGATTACTCCCTGTGGACCTGGGCGTACTACAACAAGCTGCGCAATATGACTTCCCTGCCCATTATCATCAAGGGCATCCAGACCGTCGAAGACGTCAAAATCGCGATCGAGGAAAAGGTCCCCGCAATCATCCTCTCGAACCATGGCGGCCGCCAGCTCGACTCGTCGCCTTCGTCGCTGGAGACGGCGCTCGAGGTCTATGAGGAGGATCCGGATCTGTTTAACCAGATTGAGATCTGGGCTGATGGTGGGGTGCGGTATGGGGTTGATGCGCTGAAGTTGCTTGCGCTTGGCGTCAAGGCCGTTGGGTTGGGGAGGCCGTTTATGTACGCGAATTCGTTTGGGGTTGAGGGGGTCAAGAAGGCGATTCAGCTGCTCAAGCATGAGATTGCCATTGATGCGGGGAACTTGGGTGTGGCTGATTTGAAAAAGATTGATGCTTCCTATGTAAGAACCCTGACCTGATTCTCGCTTTTTTTGATATGATACTGACCGTGGATTACAGGTGAAATGGACCAACAATGGGTGGTTCAGCTAGGCTGGCACCGACTGGGCTCCGGCGACAGGTTGTCACGTCCCCAATATGGTTCTCTTGTGAATATCTTGCATTGATGTGTATAGGTTGCTTTTCAATGTACTTTAAAAATCGTCCATGCTGGAAATGGACTCGCATTACTTCTCCGTGCTGTTTTGGGAGGATGCGGTTGGGCATCTCGTTTCCTCCTCTTCTGCCTGCCCAACTCCCCTCGATAAGCATAAGACGGTAGAAGAACCGTGGAGCTGCACGGGCCAGCGACGTCATTTCCTGGGCTAAGGATCGCAGGATCGGTTCCTGTTCCTGTTCCCTTGGAATTCGGCCAGAGGTGGATTGAGGAGAGATGCAGGACCCCGATGCCCCTTTATAGGGCCGATATGTTCCCCATGTTTATTTGTAGCTTGGATTTACCCGCATGTGCCATACGGTCCTGGCCTGGCCTGGCCCATCGATGTGAAGCCAGACTCATGCATCGCGATGGAGCCTTCACTAGTAGAAATCGAGTTAGTCCACTTTGTTCAGCCGCTCAGCCCCGCGTTGGTGGGTGAAATTTATTTCCCCAAACTCCCGTGCGCGGTTTCGGAGACAAGACACCCTCTACTGCCCAGCTCCTGTCCACTCATCTTTGTGAAGCTCTGGCACGGTCTGATTGACGCGAGATGGCAGCCGACGACCCCGCACTGGGCGCTGGAGGGGCATTCGCCCGCATCGCTGCAGCCAAGATTCTGGCAGCCAGGAAACGCAACAGGATCAGGTAAGAGATGGCGAAATCCAGGGCATGTCAATAGAAATTAACACGAGAGAGACGACGGAGGAGCCTTTGGGAAGAAGCAGCCGCCCTCGTCTCCAAAGACGACCGCACACATCTCGACTTTGCGCACGCCAGCGACCCCACACGCATCCTGGGCGACATCGAGACACAGGTGCACGAGGCGAAAAAGAAGCAATGGCGATTCCGCAGGCGCAATGGAGAAGAGGTTACCGTTCGCGAAGTGTTTGAGAAAATCGCAAACTGGGTTACCAAGTTTAAAGAGATCGGCGATATCGCCTCGGGGATTGATCCCCTGCATGTCGGGCTGCCGTGGGCGGCTGTGCGGTTCTTCCTTCACCTGGCCGTCAATGATGTCGAGAGGTATAGTGCGATGATTGAAGGCGTCGAGGTCGTTTCGGGTATCATTGCACGATACGCAGAGGTCGAGAAGGCCCAGTTGGTCGGGCGATCGAATCTCAAGACGCAGCTGGAGAATGGGCTTGTGAAACTGTATGCCTCAGTACTGAGCTACCTTGCCGAGGCAAAGAAATATTACGCGTCGTCTACTGGGAAGAGAATGCTCAAGTCCTTGAATCCCAACTCGGTAGAGGAACAGTGGCTCGGTCGCATTGCCGCAGAGGACGATGCGGCGCACAGGCTGGTGACGCTGGTGCAGGCGGAGAATCAGACGAACCGACTCTCCTCGATCCGGACAACATTGGTCAACTTGGACGACAGACAAGAGAAGACGGCCATTGTGGACAGTCGCAGGAGACTTCTGGAGCGTCTCGGCGCAACATTTACGAACGACAACTACGACGGATCGCTGTCCCTGCGACAGTCCGGGACGGCAAGCTGGATCTTTGAGAGGGACGAGTTTCAGCAATGGATGAAAGGAGGGACTGAGTCGCGGTTCCTGTGGATCTATGGCCCTCCTGGCTTTGGCAAGACGGTCCTCGCCGCGAGTGTGGTTGAGCATCTGCGGAAAGAGCGACCGAGCAGCACCGCGTACTTCTTCTGTGTCTCCGAAGACGAGGCCAAGCGAAAGCCGTGGGCAATCCTCACGTCGTGGATTGCGCAGCTCATTGAACAGAACGAGATTGCTGTCAAGGTCGCTAGCGAGTTGATCAACATGGATGATCAGCGCGCCATCACGAGAACCGCGCAGTGGAAGCTGTTTGCCGGCCTCTGCGCTCAGATCAACGGATGTACGTTTGTGATTGATGGCTTCGACGAGTGTACCAGCCTCAATACCACCTCGCGGTTCCACACGCACGATGCTCGCGCCCAGTTCCTGCGCGAGCTGTTCGACGCGATCAGCGAGGTCAAGGCAGATGTGCTGTTGGTCAGTCGAGACACGGCCGAGATTCGGTCGGAGATCTTTCAGAACAGAGACCGAAGAATTGAAGTGTTTTATTATGGGATCGCGGAAAGCGACACGAAGCCCGACATCCAAATAGTCTCACGCCATGTCGTCGACTTTAAGCTGCTCAAGAAGCCCGAGCAGGTCCGCACCGAACTGGCCGAAAAGGCTGCGGACAGGGCCGAGGGGATGTTCCTTTGGCTGCATTTGCTCTCGCAGAAACTCAAGCCCGGAGTCAACGCGAAGAAGCTGGATGCTGTGGTGTCGCAGATGCCGACGGGACTGGAGCAAGCCTACGAACGAGATTTGAGGCAGATATCGACGCTTGATGAGGAAGAGAGGGACCGAGCGATCAACATTCTACGATGGGTGCTGTTTGCTGGACGACCACTCACCGTTAGTGAGCTGGTGGAAGCTCTGATGTTGAGCGGCGATCTGGACGACGACGATTGTTACCCCGAGGATGAGCTGCCGGACGAGTGGAAGACCAACTTGGTGGATGAGGACTATGCAAACGACGTTCTGCGCCAGCCATTGGGCTCCTTGATCGAGCTGAGGCGCCGCAACGAGGATGAACCCCTGGCCGATTACACGGTGCATTTTGTGCACTACTCGGTCAAGGAGTATCTGCTGCGACCGACAGCAAGCGGGCCACAGGACATCGTTTTTCCGGATATGGACGCTGAAGATGATTTGCTTGCGCGAAGATGTCTGCAGTATCTTTGCTACGACGTGTTCGGGGGCGAGGATGGACTCACAGAGGAGCAGATGAGATTTTATCCTTTCTATCGCTACGCCACGCGCAGCTGGTATCAACATGCCTGGGGTGACGGTGGAGACATGTCTCCCGAACTGGTGTCGTGGGCATGCAGGCTTCTCGACCCAGGAGCATTTAATTGGGTGTTATGGGCAAAGGCCTACGAAGGCGATGAGGATCATGGACGGTATTCTAATGACAAGCCCCAGGAGGCTGACTCCGATGAGACAAGGGTCGACCAAACCAGTGCCGAGAAGAACGATGAATCTCGAAAGGAAGCAGAGGAACATGATGTACCGGATCAGGCTGAGGATGGCGCTCGCACCGCAAGAGAAACAGGCGCGAGCCCCATGTACTACGCTTGCCTTCTCGGGCTCCTCGATGTGGTGAAACGACTCCATGCGGATGGGTTGGATATCAACGTCCAGGGAGGACTATTTGGTACTCCGCTGCAGGCCGCGATTGTCAAGATGCAGCGCCCGACAGTTCGGTATCTCGTTGAGAACGGCGCCGACATTGCCGTGCAGGGAGGAGGGGTGTATACCTATGCCATTTGCGCAGCTGCCTGGGCTGGTGACCTTGAAATCTTCGAGCTCCTGGTCGACCGTGGCACCGATCTGGAAGCGATCCAAAGATCTCACCTACGACCCGTTCACTTTGCAACATATTCGCCGGAGCTCCTGCAGGTCTGCCTCGACAGAGGTGTTGACATAGCTGTTCGAGACAGTGGGGGCCATGAGCCGCTACACATTGCAGCGCTACATGGGAATGCAGTCAGCGCGCGACTTCTCTTGGATGCCGGTGCAAACATCAATGCCGTGGCCGCCAATGGCGCGACGGCCTTGTTAATGGCAGTGGAGGATGAGCGGCGGTACGATGTTCTGGTGTTTCTTCTCTCCCACGGTGCAGACACGGAGATCGCCGATGACATGGGACGGACGCCGCTCATCAGCGCTGCGGGTCTGGGGAAAGAGGAAACAGTCCGGGTCTTGTTAGAACACGGCGCATCCACTAAGCGCGAAATGTGCTACGGCTATACGGCGCTGTTTGCGGCCCTGAGGGACCCAGGGCATCCACGGATAGTCCAGCTCCTGCTCAAGCATGGGGCGGAGGTCGACCATCGAGACATTGACGGACTAACGGCGCTGCGGCTTGCCTGCGATTGGGGAGACACTGAGATCATGTCCATTTTACTGGAGCACGGCGCGGACGTCGACGCAGCAGATCCTCACGGAATGACTCCCCTGCTGTGCGCGGCGTCTGGAGGCTCAGAAGATGCGCGGAAATTGCTGCTGCAGCATGGTGCAGATATCCTCCAACACGATGGTCTGGGCGAAAGCGTTCTCGACTACGCCGTGCAGGGCGGACAACATGACTTTGTTCAGTATCTACTCGAGAAAGATGTTTTGGCTGCGCACGTACCCGCAACAACGGCGGACACGAGACGGTTCAGAGAGGACAGAATTAAGCTTACCAAGGCCATTTACGCAATGGAAGTGGATGAGGTTGAAGCTATACTTCGGGATATACCATCGGAAAGTCTCGAGGCGGTGCTACGAGTCGCCCTCCACGCCGCAGCGATCTCTGGCTCTCCTGAACTTACAAAGCTCCTGTTGGGGAAAGGTGCCAGTGCCAGAGACGTTGCCTCGTATCAACGCACTGCCCTGCATTACGCGGCATTCAGTGGTCACTTTGAAATTGTGCAACTCTTGCTCGAAGCCGACGCGGATCCGTACGCCCAAGACCTTCATCGCTCGCGACCGCTCAATCTTGCCACCAAAAATGGCCTGGAGAACATCGATACCGTCAAGCACCTGATTAAATATTATGGCTTCGGCCCTGACTACTCCCCAGCTACTCCTGCGCTGATTGAAACATGTAAGCTGCGAGTCCACCACACGTTTGTAGTATTCTATCTAACTGGGATCAGGGACAACCATGGCGGGAGATCTTCGTGGAACCTACAGGCACAATAACTGGAAACCGGGTGCCAAAGACGGCATCACACTCACCATCGTGCCCTGGGATATGAAGGAAGCTGAGGATAATTGCTCCCTGGGCCAGCGTCCGACCTTCATTGGCACTGGGTCCGATAGTGGCGGTGGATTCGAGATTTATGGTTCCCTTTATGGAATTGATCAGGTTATCTGGACGCAGCTCTATGAAAAGCGCAGATTGGGGTGGCTCTGGTGTGGGAAGCTAGACCCTGACACGAGGACAATTGCTGGGAAATGGGGCACAAATGCACAGCTGTTGCCGGGGACATTTACCCTGACAAAGGACTCATAGACTCCGTACAATATGTATCTTCTACACCACGCTATGACATAGAGGAATCTAAGCAAGCTCACACTCAATCAAACTCTCCACCCCCCTGCGCACCGTCCAAATCTTGATAATCCTCAGTCCAACAGACTCAACCAGCGCTCGCCACTGCGTCTCCGTGCGCTCCTGCGACGCAAAGTCGGCCATCATGATGATATCCAGACTCGTCGTCTCCCAGTACGCATTTGTGCTCGGGATCACGTTCTCGTTGATCAGGATCTTGCTGTACCCGCGCTTCATGGCCGGCACGAGGTTGGAGAGGATCCGGCGGCAGTCGGCGTCTGTCCAGTCATGGAGGACGGAGTGCATGTAGTAGGCTCGTGCTCCTATTAATATTCTTAGTATGCATGGCATCGCAGAATGATAGTCGAAAGGAAGGAAGAAACGTACCCTTAACAGGCTGCTCCGTGAAGAAATCATGCACAGTCGCCTCAACCCCCCTCTCCGTCTCCCGATTCATGACCCTCGCCTGCTCGATAACATCCCCCAAATCCTGCAAGACAAGTCTCCCGGTCACCCCCGGCCACTTGCGTCGGAACTCCGCAAGATCATGTCCAACACCCCCACCCACATCAACCAGTAGAACATCTTCTGCTGCGACACCCTGCGCCAACTCCGGCACCGGATAGAATCCAACATCCATCCAGCTCGGCCGGCCCTGGTGGTAGGCTGTCATGTGGTTATTGAACTGCTCCGCGTGCGCGGGGTGGGTCTGCAGGTATTCGAAGAAGTGGGAGGTTGTGTTGTAGCCGTCTTGGAAGGCTGCGGCGTGCCCGTTACTGGGGTTTGCGTAGCCGGTTTTCTTGAGGTGTGCGGGGAGGGAGGTCAGGCCGAATGTGATGCAGCCGGTCCTGTTGAACCAGGTACATCAGCATTGGACGCGGAATGGGAATTGGATTGGTTGGCGGGGTGTCAGAGAGGGAGGTGAAGGGAAGAGGAACGTACATGCAAGGATACGCATCGCTGTAGCGCTTTGCGCCGAGGGAGGTGGAGAAGCCGTTGCGTTTATAGGTGTCTGGACCTGTCTCCTTGATCACGCCCATTGCGGCGAGGTGTTTGAGGAGGCGGGCTTGTCGGTGCCATTGTTAGCCCATCTCTGTTATCAACCCCTGGATGGAGGTGTGGTGGTGGTAGTTACCGAGCATAGCAGGGTCTGCGTTGGTAGCTTCAGCCAGCTCCGTCGCTGTCTTTGGCGTATCGTCCTTGGAGAGGACGGGGAAGACGCCGAGGTCAACGCAGGTCTCGATGGCGGCGTAGATTGTGCTCTCCATACTCTATTAGCAAGACGTCAATATGGAATTGAGGTCCGAGAGACCTACCTGCGACCAACAGTATCTGATCATCGCCTCGCGCGGCGTCTCCAGCGCATACACAAGAGAGCGCGCGGTATCCAGGAACTCGGCACGGGTATCCTCATCTGCACTCTTTGCATATGCCTCTCCAAAGGAGGTGACCTTTTTCAGAAGGTCGGGAACTTCGTCGGCGGCGGTCGGACGGATAGCGACCTCATTGTCAAATGTGTCTGGTGTTTGTGCGCCGGGCTCGACGGGGGTACTGCTACCTGTTTCGACTTCTGTGGTCTGTACGGAGCCATTGGCTTTTGTGGCGACGGTGATGGTGTCGCCGTTGGTTGCTTCGATTGAGGGAGTCATTTTGAATGGAGGTTTGGCTTTACAAGTGGGATAGGAAAAGGGTGCCTAGCAGTTGCAGTATGGAAATAGGCAATGTCGCACGGTACGAACCCCTGGCTCCGCCTGCACTTGATATACCAACTGATCAACTGCCGCCGACCTGACTCCGGCAGTACCCTAGCTCAATTAGAGAGAAAGCGCAGCTTCCTCGCTTGCCCAAGATTCATAGGTCTGGCTATCCCAAGCTCAGTTTCATATCCCGCTCTCATCCTGGTCTTGCCAGCCCCGTGGCGTCCCAAGACAGCGCTAAGGATGCGCTACGGCCGTTGTGGAGGGATCATCATGCACGAGGACAAAGGGGTGGAAAGCACCTGGTTTGATCCTTGTTCTGGCCACGGCATGGACAGGGGATGGTGTGCAAAGTACTCTACATCGTATACATACTTTTAAGAGAGTTTCAAAAAGCCTCTTTGTCGGCCGTTGAGTTAAACGAAAATACGATCTCCGCGCGGGAAGGACGCAGGACGAATGGGGCTCGATGGATTTGGAGTACCGTTGCGAGAATCCATCCCCAGACCGACTCCAGGACACAGGAGGTGGTTCTAGTTCCTCTGATCTGCGCTCTGGCAGGGGAACTGGGCCCCGAAGCACGAATTAAAGTTCAGATTCTCCAACGGGGTTGGAAAGCTCGGAAATCCTTCTACTCCGTAACAGCGCCGATCAGTTCTAAAGGCGGGATTGTCTCCAAGAGTTAAAATGAGACTGTCCAATTTTAGCGCGCTCTCATTCTGGAATGTGCTCTCCAAGCACTTGGCCAACGTTGCAGTGCAATTGAACCACCGAGTCTGATGCTCCCGAGACGAGCGTTGAACCTTTACCGCGTCAAGTCAAGGAGCATTAGCCGGGGGTGGAAAGACGGGAAACGGGCTCCTATGAGGGATATGAATAGCTTCGCGTTACGTCAACAAAGGGACTAACAACAACTAAAAAGTCCCCGGCCCCACTAACCGCTGTCACTTCGCACTCTCCCGTAATGGTCCCACTCATTCAACGTACGACTACCCAGCGCGGTAGTGATCCTCTCCCGAGGGCGGGAGAAGGAGTGGGTTGACTGCTTTGGTCTCGAGGTCTGGCCCGCTCGATACCGGGTGGTGTTTGATGTATCAGAATGAGGGAGATGATGGACATTCTGTGCCGTCGGTAGTTTCGGTTATGGCGGTGGAAAGGAGAAGGTCTCCGAGGGTTCTCGTGATCCTGGCTTTGTATATTGTGCACCGCTCCTCGGTGGATCAAGCCTTGGGCTCAGCGTCTGAATCGTAACCATCACAATGGAAGCTCCTCGTAACGGTCATCCGAGCGACGACAAGGGCCCGAAAATCCTCGCGGTGCTATGGGGGTTGACGGGCGTCACGACGGTCATTGTTGCTGCCCGGATGTACATCCGCGGGCGAATGCTACGCAATGTTGGCGTTGACGACTGGTTGATTGTCTTCTCCTTGGTATGCTTACCAGCTCAGTTCCTGGTATACAGCTTTGATAGCGTGAGATACTGACAATTCAGCTCATGGGCCTCGTCTACTGCGCAATAACAACAGCCAACATCTCCATCGGCTACGGAAAACACGCCTATGTCCTCGACACAAAGACGGTCGAAAAGGCCAGCTTCCTCAACTCGCTCAGTTTCCTCTTCGGCATCATCTCCTTTGCCGTCCCCAAACTCGCGGTTGCCGCGATGCTCAACCGCATCCTGAACCCGAGCTTCTGGCAGAAGATGTGGGTGTGGATTATCTCCGCGACGGGGGCTGCCATCTCTGCTGTCTGTATCGTCATGCTCTTTACCATGTGCGATCCGCCACGAGCGCTCTGGGAGACGTCGCTGGTTATAGCGGGCAAGGCGACGTGTCGCGATGTGTGGATTTTGATTGATTATGCGATTTTTACCGGGGGTGAGTGGGCTCTTTACTCACCTCATAGGCCAAATCTGACGGTTCTTTCGCTTCAGCGTCATCTGCGTTTGTTGACTTGTACCTCGCAATCTACCCCGCGACGGTGTTGATGAAGCTGCACATGTCGCTGCGTAAGCGTATTGCCCTGTGCGCTGCTCTTGGCCTGGGCGCCATGTACGTTGCCCGCATCAAGGAACAAATCGGAGTCTCCGCTAACAGGATAGCGCGTCCGCCATGGCTGTCGTCAAATGCACGCAGCTAAAGGGTCTCGCTGACAAGTCGGACTATACCTGTACGTCTATACCCCAACACAGAATACGATCAATTCGCTAACGCTGACACCCACAAGACGGCACCGCCGACCTCGTCCTCTGGACCAAGTACGCCTCGCCTCCCCACGCACCTCCTCCTACCACACCACACCAGACTAACCAACTTCAAACCCAGCGTCGAATCCAACGTCGTAATAATCGCCTCCTGCATCCCCACCCTCCAACCGGTCCTCGAACTCATCCTCGGAAAGCGCAACCTCTCCTCATACAGCAACAGCAGAAACAAATACAAGGGCAGCCACCAGCTGCACGACTACTCGTACGAGGCGAGCAAGGGGTCCAAGCCGCCGCGGAAGACGGAGACGACTATTACGGGGGTCGGGAGTCAGGAGAGTATCTTGCAGGATACTCAAGGAGGTCGGAGTAACGGCAATGGCGGGGATCCGTTACGCGCGATTCGACGGACGGATGATGTTACGGTTGAGTATGAGAGGCGTCCGCCTGTTGCGGGGGTGGAGGGGAGGGGCTCGTGGTGAATAGAGCCGAAAGGAAAGTAGTGCTGTGTATGAATAAGGACAATGTACATGCCAAAAGGTCAGATCATCGTGTCGCATTAGAATCAAACACACAATACCACCAAGAAGGACTCCGTACCCTCCCAGCTCATACTTCCTCTTAGTATCCAACTCCGCAACCGGTTGATATGCCGTGTTTCTGTGTATCGGTCCTGTACTTGTGACTGAGTTTCCAGATGTTTGGCCGCTTGCAGCCTGGTACTTGAGCAGGGTCGGTGGATGCTTCTTCTGCCTTTGCAGCAGGAACCGCGTGGGACAAGCGCGCCGATGAGCGCAGCTCCAACTGCTGCCCAACCGTCATTGTGCGCTTCGTGCAATCAGTACATGCCCCATCCACCGTACTCGAATCCCACTCCCGGCGGTCTCGTCTGTCCTGAACCCTGTCTCCACCGCTGAAACAGTCTCGCGTCCGAGTAAGCGCCACAGTCCTCGTAACAGTCGTCCTGCCCCCTTCTTCAACCCCCTCGTGAGCCGCCAGAACCGTGGCCCCAGGCATAAACTCCCCCAGTCCGTCTCCATCGCCACAACAACAACAACAACCCGGGGCCCTACTAGAAGCCCGACAACAAACGGCACCAGCCTTACAGACCATAACCTGCGAATAGCCCCTCTCTTCACCCACCGTCCGATTCCCCGACCCGCCACCGCGGCAATTCGTTGATGCGTCGGGACATACGTGTGGACAACCCTGGAGGTGTCGGGTTCCCAGGTCGGATCCGTGCACCCGGTCTCGCGGATTAGGCCCGTTGAGGCGATGCATAGCCTCGCTGGAGAGGTACGTGCTTGTTGCTGGTGCGCAGCAAGCGGGGTGGTCTGTGGAGGATAGTGGGATGTGCAGGGTTTGTGGCTGGATGTGGCGTTCTTGCCGGACATTAGGAAAGCAGGCGCGCGCGAGGGATGGGGAACTGATAAAAAAGAGCCGAATGGTGAGTAGGGAGATCATCCTTGCGGATGGCTGCCTGGTAGGCAATTTTCCTGCTCAGCGCAGCAGAAACAGATCGGGAAAGTATCCCTCAAAAAAAAAAAAGAGGCAAACAGTGTGGTCTAGTCCGTGTTTTCGGATCTGCTAATTGATGACCTACATATGCCCAGAGAGCCTTCACGAATCAGCTGCTGATGCTGCCCGTTCCCTTCTCCACTGCATTCTCCGGCAGGCCTGCACCTGCAGCGCGTCGCTTCCTGAAGAGCATAAAAGCGACACCCGCAACGATACCAACGACACCCAGCGTAGCAACTGCCCCAATCGCTCCGGCCACGGCGTTCGACATATCGCCTGCCTTCTTCTCCTCACCAGACGCCCCAGTCTCGCTAGCCACCTCCGCTGCACAAAAGCCCTGCTCACTGCCACAGATCCCGCACCACTCCGCGACCGTAGTGATTGCCCTCTGCTGCATGTGCTCGACAAACTCAGACCAGGTGAGCGTCTCCTGCTCACCACCGAATAACGGGAACGCCGTAAGCGGGGCACCGCCGTCCGAGCCGTTCCTGAACAAAAAGCGTACTTTGATGTCATCAATCGCTTCTGGGAACTGTGTAACATCGTCCTCGGTCAGAAGCTCAAATGCCATGGTCGAGGCATACTCCGGAAGACCGAAGAAATCCGCAGACGCGGCCGTCAGGTTCAGCAGACCCGCAAAAGCCATCATGGTATCGTAGCTTCCTGCCAGGAGCGACAACTTGGTCTTGCCCTGCGAGGTCACGGTCTCGTTCAGATGGGACAGGATAGCCTGCGACAGGGTCCTAGCCCCGATAGCCATGTCCGGCTGTGAGGCGTCAAAGCTGGAATTGAACTCGTGGCTATCAGCCAGCGTGCGCAACTGGAAGAGCTCATCATCGGTAACAGCGTCTTGCATGGAAGCGTTGTGGATCATCCCGGTGTTGATCAAGTCGAAGATATCATATGCGTTCTCGTACGACAGATCCGCCTCGGTGTAATCATACACGTCTTGCAGAACTGGCCAAAACTGCCGATAGAACGGACGAGTTGACTCGACGCGCTGTGCGTACACATCACTCTGGGCAAAACCGTCGGCGAGCACAGAAATCGCAGGGCACTCGTCATCCCCCTTGATCCAGATCGTATCGGGACTCTCCTTTTCCTCACCATGCAGAACAACATACTGATACCCGCCGAGCGGATTCGTGTACGTCGACCCGTTATTCAACGTCTGCGACGCAACCTCCTCATCTAGACTCTCGAGAGGGGGATACAGACCCTGGAGAAACGCCGTCGCCGTGTTGAGAAGAACAGGCTCATCTGGCGCAGAGGCGAAGATCTGCGCGGGGACGTATTTGTCCGAGGAGATGCCGAGGATTCGCTTCGGCGATTCTGATTCAATGTAGAGGTCGCGATAGTCGGAGCCGACTTGGTAATTTTGTTGCAGGCCGAGGTTGGTCAGCATGTAACCTTTGTAGTGCTTTGAGGTTCCTGCTCCAATCAGTACGACGACGCTTGGCTTGAACTTTTGAGCGCTGGTGAGTGGGTGGTGCTTACGGTCTCCATGGCGAGAGTACACGGTGACACCGAGGATGGTCTCCGCAGAGACGGAGCCCAGGAGGGCACTGCAGAGAAAAGCGAGCTGGTGTTGGAGAAACATGGTTCCCTTCAAGTGTCGATCTTCGAAAACTGCACAGTCAAGGCACTCAGTCCAGCCATGCAGAGGCAAGAAGCCCTCTTTATAACGTCACCCACCCCACCCAGGGAATCTGACCTCGTGAACATACATCCCACCTTCAACTCCAACTGCACCTGCAACACACGCACGGTGTCTTATCTGCATCTCCCAGGAGCAAACACGAATGATAATCAGCCAAGCCCGCGCCAAGATTGAAAACCCGGATGCCCAGCCCGCGGAGACCTCTTCTCCTCGGAGATGATTCGTTGAGTCCGGTGCTAAGTTTTCGTATCGCATCTCTGCCCCTCATCGGCGATGGCTTTTGCGCGGCGCCGGGCTTGCTGTTTGGTCTTGTGGAGCGAGGTCGGAGCGGTATCCGAGGAGATAAGAGAGCCATATACACCATCTGAGCAGGAAGTCCCGAGATGAAGGTGAACTGAGGAGGATCCCGGGCAATGAGTATACATGTAGAGTCCTCCTCTCAATTAAAATGCTAGAGACTGAGAATACAAGGCCCCGAGTGTCCTTCCAACCCCCACCCGGCGGTATCTCCGTATATTAGATAAATAGCCCTCGGCCATCGCCAAAGCCCACAGATTACCAAGTCTATTACTTTAACGTAATTCACCAGCGGTCCGATCACCCCGGCCGGTCCGATCACCCACCAAAAAATTATCGCGTGTTCAACGCGTAGTTATTCAACCATCAACCATGCCACGGAAACCGCGTCAATCTCGTCAAAATTTAGCTGAGCAAGAGGGGAGGATTCAACTTGTAATTAATGCTTTAGAAAAAGGTGAAATTCCAAGTATTCATCAAGCTACAGAGGTTTTTAATGTGCCTTATACAACACTCCACGATCGCATTAAGGGACATGAATTTCAAGCAGAATATCGCAACCGCGCATTCCAACTCTCTGAAACTCAGGAAGAGGCACTAGTTAAATAGATATTATCTAGAGATCGACGAGGAGTCGCTCCTAGGGTCTCACATGTGCAGGAAATAGCATATCTTCTCCTCCAAGCAGATTCAACAACCCCCACCAAGCCACTGGGAAAAAACTGGGTCACTAAGTTTATTCAACGCCATGAAAGCATTAAAAGTCGATTCACGCGCAAGTATAACTACTAGCGCGCCCTCTACAAGGATCCTAAGGTCTTAAAGCAGTGGTTTGAGACCTTAGAGGCCTTGCGCAAGGAGAACGGCATATAGGATAAAGATATCTACAACTCTAATAAAACTAGCTTCGCTATGGGCCTAATTACAACCTCACGGGTGGTTACAAGGGCTAAGATACTTGGGAAGCCTCACCTTATTTAGCCAGGCCAGCGCGAATGGGTCACCGTGATTAAATATATTAGTTTAAAGGGATATATTATTCCACTAACCATAATCTTCAAAGGGAAGGTCTATATTAAAGGATGGTTTAAAGAACTAGGTCTCCCAGGTGACTAGAGGATTAAACTAAGCGTGAATAGATAGACCACTAATTAGATAACTTTCTAGTAGCTTTAGAACTACTTTATTCCTTATATAACTAAGCGCATAATTAGAAGTCATCGACTGCTTATTCTAGATGGTCATGGGAGTCATATAAGCCCTTGATTCAACAAGCTTTATAGAGATAATAGGATTATCTACATTTATATGCCTTCACATTCATCACACCTGCTTCAACCACTAGATGTTGGTTGCTTCGGGCCATTGAAGCGAGCTTATGGAGGCCTAATTAAAGCGAAGGTACGCCTGGGCTTCCACTATATTAATAAACATGACTTCCTAAAGGCCTATTCTAAAGCTCGCGATAAGGTCTTTACTATTTAGAACGCTTAGAGCGGCTTTCACGCGACTGGGATAGTACCTTATAATCCTGAAGAGGTCCTAAAGCGATTTAACTATTTAATATCTACGCCTACCCCCCCCCCCCCCCCCCCTAGCCGGGGGGGTTGCCTTAACCTCTTCCTCTGCGCTTGCCACGCCTTACACAGCTTGACAGCTATATAAGAAAGCTTCTTCTATTAAGAAGATGCTTTCTAGGCGGTCCTAGAGTCCTTCTAGTCCTTCTAAACGTGCTTTAGATGAGCTTATAAAGGGTTGCGAGCTAGCTATCTACAACGCTGTATTCACCCTGAAGGAATTAAACGATCTCCGCGCAGAAAGTCAAGTTCAAGCGACTAAAAAGAGTCGATTAAAACGCCAGATAGCCCCTACACCAGGCCTCCAAGTGCAACAAGCAAGGGACTTAATTTCATTAAGAAATGAGCAATTAAATTAGGAAGATGGTAGTGGTGAGGAAGCGAATCTAACTACTCCACTAAGCTTAGAACCTCGAAAACAAGCCCCACCAACCTATTCTGAATGTAATATTCAGGGGCATATTAGAACTAGATGTCCTAATCGTCGCGCGACTTAGTTTACTGTATTTAATTAAGAATTGCGTTGTTGGGAATAGCTTCAAGTTCAATGCGTAGAAATATATTTTGGTGGGTGATCGGACCGCTGGTGAATTACGTTACTCCTTCCGCCCCTTCACCTTCTTGTCCCCCTTCCCATCAAGCTCCCACCCATTCAACCACCCAACCCCCACATTCAAATACGCCGCAAACCCCAACCACGCCGCATACGGGACAAAGCACCAAAACGCCGTGCGATCCGCATCCCAAAATATCCGCATAAGCACCCCCACATTCACAGACAGCGCAGCCATATCCACCGCGGCAAGAAGGGGCTTCCTCAGCCCGAAGAACAGCGGCATCCACGCGTAGTTGAAGAGCAATTGCGTCGTGTAGAGGGTCTGAATCGTCGACCGGGCCTCTGAGGCCGATGTGAGTGTTGAGAGTGGGAAGACGAGCGATGTTGCGGAGGTTGCGTGGTAGGCTGCGTAGCCCATTAGGGCGTAGAGGGTTGTCCAGGCGGGGGCGAAAAGCCAGGGGGGTGGGGCGAGGGGCGGTTGTTTTAGGGAGGTGTAGAGGGGTTTTGTGCCATTCCCTGCGCGTGTTGGTTAGCATATTTTCCGGACTGTATTGTAGAGAGCCTTGAGGGGGAAAGAGGAGCGTACGGTTCACCAAGTATCCCACCGTGCATCCTGCCGCGATGGGGGTGAATGTGGAGAGGAGTGGTGAGGCGAAAATCGCTTCTGGGAGGGCGAAGGACCAGGGCATGGTGTGCTGCTGTGTCGTGTTTGTTCAGGATAGATATCTGGGGATTGAGAAGAGAAGTGATGGCTGAAATCCGGGGATTTTGACGTTGGGATCGAGATCGCGATCGAAATGGGTGACGGCCGGTGACGTCATTGTGGCTGCCATGGTCCATTTGTGGTCAAAACAAAACAATCAGGTGAGAAGCTAAATGCTCCGAAGTGCAATTTGCAATTGGCTGACTTTTTCATAGTTGGTTGAGCAAGGTATAATACTCATGAGGCTGAATGGATGTCGTATGAGTGCCATGAGCCAGAATATATATCGCGGATGCCACACCAGAAAGACCAAAGAATTGGGGTGCAATTTACCACTATACCGACAGACACCCAACCAGTTCTGTAGTCTTGGTTTCTAACGCGTACCTGCCCATTGGCTCACTTATCACGGTCTCTTCAAGGTATCCGACCTCCTCTCCTGACCAGGTCATCTCCGCTCAAGCTCCCACAAACCTCTCACAACGGGGTTACACACCAAGCTCACAGGATCCGGAAAGTGAGGCTAAAAATATCGCATGACTCGTTCTGAGCTTCTGTGCCTTGCTAAAAGATTGCCTAAACGGCCCTCTGTCAGCTAATAGCATAGCACCCACTCAAGGATCCATGGTGAAGCCCTGAATCAACGCCGCCCACCTGCCATGCATCTCCACCCAGTCGACGCGTGGAGGCCCATCCTGCGGAACTGCCTCAATGAACCCTCCGTCCGGCGTCGGTACCCGGCCCCGGGAAAACACACGAAGAAGTCCGACTTGGTAAATCCGCCATTTATCCCAGATGGTTACCCCGAGTCGCCGGAATGGGCGTATGGCCCCTGTTCCGTAGTTTTTCTGCGCACGCGCCATCCTGAGGCTGAAGACCCTCATCAGCCCAGTTCGGGCAGACCGGCTTTCGCTGGATTCAGCTGTCAGGCCCCAATGTGTGCTGGCCGGTGTTTCAGCGGGTACTGGGGGAGGGGGGAAGAGGGAAGAGTGGGAATGGGCTGATGTTGCTTGGGGCAGGTGGAAGGAGGCGAAGAAAGGGAGCCGCGTCTCATCCGTGGGATAATGCCATATAGCCAGGGGCGGCTCTCGGGTATGCTCATCTAGAAGGTCACGGCCCAGCCATGGCGGCGCAGAATGACCGATTGGGAGCGCAGCCCTCGGGATCTGGTGCGAGGGAACAAGACCCAGATCGGCGAGGACAGCGGAAATAGTCCAGATCTGCTCGGCGTGAACCGGGTTGATGTAATTCCACTCGAGATACGCATTTAGAGCGTTCAGTGACTCGGCGGGCCAGTTCCAGCGGCGCTCGGCGGCCATTTTGAGAGTGGAGAAGTGTCGGAGGTGCCAGAGAGCCGAGGAGACGCGGTAGTGCTCGACCCAGGAAAAGGGATCTCTTGCTTTCTCCGCGCGGGTAGAGCCCGATGATTCACCTGCTGGATGCTTTTCCACAGCGGAGATGAATGCCTGGTGCATGGTCCGTAAACAAATACATGTCAACCGTTCAACATGCGCAGCGATTCTGATTATCTGTAAAAGCTCTGCGACGTCTAGGGTTTCAGGTAGTGCAGTGATGGCCTCACATGTTCTTCTGTAGTCCTCAAAGCTCGAGCAATGGACTGACGGCTGATGTAGCAATGCAATCTGCTGACAGAGCTGGTTAACCACCGGTCTTTGCGTGATCGGATTTGATGCAATGAGGCTGAGTGCAATTACACGAGGGCGGGTCTGAAAGACAGCATGAACGCGTGGGGAGACTGAGAGAAGGCTAACGGGGCCGCTAAAATCATCACAGTGCGCCAGGATCGTGAGGATGATTTCGGCAGGCAGTTTATCGAAGGTGTCCATTGGCTGCGAGCTGGGACGGACCCGAGCAGGGAGCGCCTTGCCCGCGGAACGAATCGACACTCAGTGCGATGCCGACAAATCTCGCCAACTGTCCACGCAGGTAATCTCATTGATGACAACGATGAGTCGCCCCAGAGAAACAAACGGTGTTCCGGTTCCTGGGCGCCAAGCCAATGCCAAGCACCAATCAAATGATTCTGTGCAATCTCGGCTGCACAAGAGCAGCTCCACTCCGCGTGGCTTGCTCAGCAGGACATTTTCGCAGGGAGAAGACCCGGAATGAAGGGAACAGAATGTGGAACGTAACACGGTGTTGTTTCTGCAGCTGTCGGGAATTTCCAAGGGGAAAGGTGCGATAAATGTTTGCTTTTTCGACTGCCGACTTCCAACTTCTTCAATTCCCGAAGCTCTGGTTGCCATAACCAGCACGCACGCGCGCACCTTGTCGGGGGTTCAATTCGGCCAATTCCGACGGATTCTACTCTTCAAGGCATGAGGAATGCCATCAACAACAGAGATATCAGCCCTCGGGGTCGGTGTGCTGGGTGTTCTGCTCGTGTTGGGATGCAGCGGCCCCGCGTTCGGGGAAATTCTGCGTCAATTGCGACTGTTGAACGGATACCGTGCGATTCGACTACATGATTCGGTTTCAGAGTCATATTCAGACCCACATTTACCATGCGAGACCGGATATGCAGACGAAGATGGCGACGCAAACGAGCGGTCGATCGCTGAGTTCGAGCGCGCGACGTGGTGGCAGCGGTGGGTTATTGCGGTGCTTTCCGTGACTGGATTTGGGGTTTCACTGGCCCAGGCTGTTGTTGGTACATGCTCCCAAGGAGGATGGTTCGCGGTCTTCTCATGGGAATACTTGGCGAGTTGGGTGAGTTGCTGATACTCTTATTCTTGCCATTGAGAGCTAACGGAGTTGTGTAGGTGGTGTTGTGCATACAACCAATCTCCCTCTTTACCGAGGCATCTTGCGTCAAGAGGTACTATCTCGGAATACACGGGTTCTGGGCGAGTCTGATCTCAATCCTGGTCATTGGCATTCAAGCCGCCGTCCTCTGGAGTGCAGGGAAACCCCTTCCGACTAATCCCACATGCACCATTCTCCTCTCCACGCAACTCGCCCTGTATACCCTCCGAGGCCTAAGCTGCCTCCTCCTCCCGCGCCGCCCACACGTCTTCTTCGAAGGCCAAGTCGTCGACCAGGAATTCAGCTCCAGCGCCTACAATCGCTTCACCTACGGCTGGGCAACGACACTCCTGCGCTACGCGTCAGCAAACAAAGGTCTGACCATCAACGACCTCCCAAAACTGCCCTTTGCCGCGCGCGCAGAGACAGTCCACCTCCGACTCGAAGGGTTCCTCGGTGGCCGAAAGCTCTGGGTTGCGCTTGTGCGACGACACATGCGGGCGTTGATCGTGCAGGGACTGCTGAGTCTCGTTGTGTGTGTACTCGGGTTCGGACCGCAGGTGGCGCTGTATAAGATTCTGACGACGCTGGAGGCGCGTGAGGTGTTGAGTGGGGATTCGGTCGAGGCGTGGGTGTGGGTTTGTGGATTGGGAGTTCTCCTTGCGCTGTCCTCGAGTATTGAGTCGTGGCTCTGGTGGTTGATTTATTCCGATCTCTGGGTTCCGATTTACGAGGGGCTGTCTGGACTGGTGTTTGCCAAGGCGATGCGCTGTAAGGATGTTAAGGCTGCGAAAAGTGAGAGGAGGGATGAAGAAGGCGAGGGTTGGCAGGGGGAAGATGACATGGAAGTCGAGGACCCCGAGGAGGTCGAAGAGCAGGAGAAGAATCGCCAGAGTATTGTCAACTTGGCAGCCGTCGACTCGAAACGTATCGCGGATTTCGTGACCTTCAGCTACCTGATTCCGTCCTGCGTGATACGACTCGGCATTGCGGCGATCTTTCTTGCTCGACTCATCGGCTGGCCCAGTCTCCTTGCTGGGATCGGAGGCGCCATTCTACTCACCCCGTTGAATTCCTGGCTTACGAAGCGCTACGCCGTGGCACAAGAAGAACTGATGAAAGCAAGCGACAAGCGCGCTGGAGCCGTGACCGAAGTGCTACAGGGAATCCGCCAGATCAAATTTGGCGCGATGGAACAGCAGTGGCAGGAGCGGGTCAAGGAGAAACGAGAGGCTGAGCTGAGTTTCTTGTGGAAGACCTCGGTGTATACGACGGGAATGGTTTCGGTGTGGATAATGGGTCCTTTATTGCTTTCTGCTGTGTCCCTGACGGTGTACGCGCTGACACACGGTAACCTCTCTCCTTCTGTCGCGTTTACAGCACTGTCTATCTTTGGCTCGTTGGAGTCTTCACTAGCCAGTCTACCAGATCTCTTCTCCAAGGCGATGGAGGCAAAGGTCAGCGCAGACCGCATCCACGACTACCTGCAGTCCGCAGAGAAGATCTCAAACGCCGCAGACGTCGACAAAATCACCTTCACCGATGCAACTGTCGCCTGGCCATCCGACGAAGAAGAGGAGGACAAAGGCTGGGAGTGCGACCGCTTCCTCCTGCGACATCTGGCCCTGCAGTTTCCTCCAAAGGGGCTGAGCGTGATTGTCGGCAAGACCGGCTCAGGGAAGAGTCTCCTCCTCGCCTCAATCCTGGGCGAATGCGACGTCCTTGCGGGATCACTCGCCGTCCCTCGCCCTCCGCCCCCGGACCGTTTCGACCACCTGGCCACACGCGTGAACTGGATTCTCGACACCGCTGTCGCCTACGTGTCCCAGAATCCGTGGATGGAGAACGCCTCGATAAAACAGAACATTCTATTCGGACTGCCGTACGACCGACAGCGATACCGCAAGACGCTCTTCGCTTCGGGACTCGAGAAAGACATGGCGATCCTTACAGATGGGGACCTGACAGATATTGGTGCCAATGGTATAAACCTAAGCGGCGGACAACGATGGAGAATCTCCTTTGCAAGAGGACTGTATTCACGTGCGGGAATTTTGATCATGGATGATATATTCAGTGCGCTTGATGCGGAGACGGGGAGGCATGTCTATGAGCATGCACTTACTGGGGAGCTTGGGCGAGGGAGGACCAGGATCCTTGCTACGCACCATGTTGGGCTGTGTCTTCCAAAGACCGACTACTGCGTTCTTCTCCAGAATGGGTTCGCGAGTGCGGGGACAGTAGAGGAGCTGCAGGCGACAGGAAGTCTGACAGATTTCATGGGCAAGATTGAGGCGAGCCGGGAGGAAAGTGAGCCGGTCAAAGACCTGCCCAAGAGGAAGCGCTCTTCGGTGGCGAGTGGGAGACGCTCGTCTGCGTTTAGCATGCACACGATCCGCAAGTTTATGCAGGAGGAGAAGCGCGAGACTGGGTCCATCTCGATGAAGGTGTACACCACGTATTTCAACAAGGGGAATGGGCTATGGTGTTGGATTCTTGCCTTCATTGCATACGCAGCGTTTATGGCGCTCTTGGTTGGTCGAGTAAGTCTTGATCTGATCCCTTCTCTGGAGGAGAGCTAACAAGTCAGTCATGGTGGGTGAGCGTGTGGACATCATCTGGCTCGAATCATGCCCGGTCGACAACTATGCAACCTGTAATGAGCGATGATGAACCCGCTCCAACGCACGACCTGACCTACTACCTCGCCATCTACATCGGCATCTCCGCCGCCGCCTGCCTAATTGGCACCCTGCGCTGTCTCGCCCTCGCCCTCGCCTTCATCGAATCATCCCGCCACCTCTTCGACGACCTCCTGGCCACCGTCCTCCGCGCGCCCCTCCGCTGGCTCGACACTGTCCCCCTCGGCCGCATCCTCAACCGTTTCACCTCTGATATCTACCTCCTCGACTGGCGCCTGGGCTATGACGTCGGGCACCTCGTCTACAAAGCCCTCGAACTGCTCGGCATCCTCGTCGCGGGCGTGACCGTTTCCCCTCTTCTTCTAGTCTTGGCATGCGCCCTTCTAGTCCTCTGCATCCGAATTTGCTCAGACTACCTCGCGGGGGTCCGCGAGATCAAGCGTCTCGAAAGCAATGCGAAGAGTCCCGTAATCGAGAAATTCAACTCGAGCCTCGCGGGTCTCGCGACCATTCGAGCATTCCACAAGACGCAAACCTATCTCCAACAAATGTACGCACTCATCAACACACACGCACAAGCATCATGGTACCTGTGGCTCTTCAACCGCTGGCTGGGCTTTTGGATGGCGCTCGTCGGTGCGCTGTTCTCAACGCTTACTGCCGCGCTGGTGGTATACATGCCGGGTGTTTCTGCCGCACTGGCTGGCTTCGCAATGAGCTTCGCGCTGCAGTATAACTACGCTGTTGCCATGGGATTGCGCTTCTACGCGAACGTCGAGATCGATATGAACGCCACCGAACGCGTTCTCGAGTACACAAACATCACCACGGAGACCCAAGGCGGCTACAACCCCCCTGCGGGCTGGCCCACAAAGGGGAGAATTGAAGTCGAAGACCTCGAGGTCGCATACGCACCGGACCTTCCGCCCGTATTGAAGGAAGTGACCTTTACAGTTGAGAATAACCAGCGCGTTGGCGTCGTCGGACGGACAGGCGCGGGAAAGTCATCGCTGACACTTGCGCTCTTCCGGTTCCTTGAGTCGAGACGCGGCCGCATCCTCATCGATGGACTTGATATATCGATGCTGAAACTGCATGAGCTTCGGAGTCGACTGGCCATTATTCCGCAGGACCCGGTATTGTTCTCTGGGACGGTGCGCTCGAATCTCGATCCGTTCAACCAGCATTCGGATCTAGAGTTGTATAACGCGCTCGAGCGCGTGCACCTTCTTCACTTTGAGGATACATCTACCCTCGCCTCTTCCTCAGCCACAACATCAGGCTCGCAAACCCCGCCGCAGACAGACCCTCTAAGCACAAGCACAACACTCACCACATCCTCCACAACCACCACCACAACCACAGCCCCCGCCCGCAAATCCCACCTAATAACAGGCCCCTTCACCCTCTCAACCCCCATAACAACCGCCGGAAGCAACCTCTCGCAAGGCCAACGGCAACTCCTCTCGCTCGCGCGCGCAATCCTCACACATCCAAAGATCATGGTCCTCGACGAAGCAACGTCCGCCGTGGACATGGAAACCGATGCGCTGATCCAGCAGTCCATCCGTGAGGAGTTTGGGCGCGGGGACTCGAGTCTGCTTGTTATTGCGCATCGACTGAGCACGATTGCGGACTTTGATAAGATCTTAGTCATGGATGAGGGCCGGGTTGTGGAGTTTGGGAGTCCGAGGGAATTGATGGAGGTACGCAATGGCGTTTTTAGGAATTTGGTCGAGAGGAGTGGGGAGAGGGCGGTTGTTGAACGGATGATTTTCGGGGGAGAAAACTGATTTGGGGTTCTTCATATTTCGATTAATCCTATTGAGCAGTGAGATGCAGAAGAGGACTAAGAGTGATTTGTTCGAGTTAGCGGGAGTTTGTTTGTCTTTTGGGTGGGAGGTAATATATCGCCATCTTGTTTTGTACGTTGTATACTGAACTGCTGCATGAAACGCGGCCATATTGCGCAATTCATACAGAAGCTGCTATATCGCAGAGAGATTTCTGATCCCATTATACTTCCCAAGCATCTGCCTAAAATGGTTCTCCCCTCCCCAGAGCCCCCTTGACATCCTCGCAAAACCGCTCATCGAGCAGCGACATCAGCCATGCCCGCCCCTTCAGCACCCTCTTTCCAAACGCAAAAGCCTACTTAGGGCCGGGGACATCGGAGTATTGTTCCCCAGGCCATCTCGCGAACCCGTTATCGCCCTGGGATGGGCGCGACTTTGATCCGAATCCTGAAAGGGTGACGGAAAGATCGGAAACGCTGCCAGGCCCGTGGGTGCCGTTCGGCCCGTTTGAGGAAGCGACGGATTTTTTCGGCGATGAATCTTTTTGGGTTGTCTCTAAGCTGGGACACATACCGGGGAATCTCTGTGCCGTTGTGAGGGTGCAGCTTGGGAGACATGGTGAGGGGCAGTGGGTTGTTCTCAGCTCGGATTGTTGTCATTCGCGGTACGTACATTCTCACTGTTCCTTCACTTTGTCCACATATTTGTTTCTGATAAATGAGCATAGAGCCCCCCCTCGACGGAACGAAATCATTTGGGACATTCGACCTCCCCAACGGGAATACAATCTCCCTACGTACGGACATTGAGGCTGCGCACCAGACCGTGGCTAACCTGCGAATTCTGGAGGAGATGGGCGCGCATGACGCGAGCTGGATGGCGAAAGGGACAGATTGGCTGGATGCGTTAGCTTGCTGGCTAAGACTACCTAGGCACTAAGTAAAGGTGGAATATGTATGCGTACCCCACCTGACATACAAGCTGCAATGCACCTCTAGCTGACCGGAAATGGTAGGATGGTTGCTTATTGGCTTTTCGTTGGTATACGCCGCTCGGGCAATTTTGATGGGCATGCAGGGCTTGGAGTAGGGGCACTGTTGGCGCGTTGCATCCCACACAGACAAGCGAATACAGGAAACGAAGGGATGAGTATCCCAGAGTAAACAGACAGAGCAAGAATGATATTATGACAGGTTCGCTCTGCGCTAGTACGACAGCAAGAACACATCCTATTCTCACACTCCACCCCAGTCAGAGAAACGTCACCGTATGCTGAATATTGCTCTGCACCATGATCTGGTTCGTGCTCCTTGTCGATGCAGCCTTCGCTGTTGCCGGTGCAAGCACAGGCCATTGTTCGTCCGGCATCGACACATCGTCTACGAGAGTGCTATTCGCCTGATGGATGTATCCAGGGTGGCCCAAGCGAGCGGCGTTGATATTTCCAGGACACACGTGGCCACAGCTTGCGGACGCCTTGGCTGCACCTGGCGAGTCCCGATTTCTGAAGAGGGGCCCTAGCAAGGGGAGACACGCCGCGACAATGCCGACGGATATCTCTGTGAAGGACCAGATTGATGCACCGACGGCCGCCCCTGCGCTTCGTGTTGGTTACAATGTTCGGGGAAGGAGATTGGGAATTGGGAAAAGTGAGTGGGACTGACATGATGCGTCGACCATGCTGAGGCTCGACATTGCGATGGCGCGGAGGACACCGAAGACGCATACCCTGAAGGCAAAATAGGCATTTCAGTCATGTATGCATGGATTGCTGGTGATACGGGAGTTAAAAGAACCTGACTTACACGCCGCCCGTGAGAAACATGCCCAGCACCTGCAGCTTGCGACTGAGTTTCAGGTGCAGGCTGAGGACCGGTTTGACTGGTAAAGCCAGGATAGCCACGTCGGTGACTACATTGACAATACTAGGTGATTTCCGAGTTAGAGCTACACATATTAACGAAAACGGGTCAAGAATAGACAGACAACTCACGAGAATCCAAACCAAGGAGGCTGCGGATTGATACACGACGAACCCCCATTCCAAAGGTCCGACAGCGGGATGCATTGCAGTCCGGCGATCAGGATGACGGCCAGATTGTACATGATGACTATGGCGCCGATCACGATGGAACAGACTGTAAGCCATCTGGCTTGGAATATCCGGCAGTAGAAAATGAGGATCGAGATTTTGGTTAGCATCACTGTAATTGAGTAGCTGACGACGGCGACGACAAAGGCCTGCTCTGCTCAGTCAACACGCTGCACAATGAGTGGCTGCTGCTAATGGAAAGGAAGGGAACACGACCAACCTTCATAAAGTATACAATATCCTTGATGAATATGATATGCCTCCCTTGCCCGTTGTGGATGGACTTTGCAAGACAACCGCGAATGTAATCTCACCCAGCTACAGAGATTGTCAGCATAGCACCATCGCCCTATTATTATTCTTACCATCGCTGCAAAGATGGTCCAGTCTTCAAGGCCAAGCTTCATTCTGGAGACCCGCCGCGCCGCAATCCGAGCGGCTAACGCGGCGATGGCGGCGAACAGTCCACATACAAGGGACGCGATCTCATTCGGTCGCCTATCATCGTCGGCATGCGCCTGATAGTAGGCGATCTGCTCGGGTGCGGGTTGCGCCATGGTGGTGTCTGATATTCGGAAATCGTCTCAATGTTCGCTTCCCGGGATTGAGGGGAATGGGCAGGGCTCTTAAAAAGGGAGAGATGTCTAGGAGGGAGGGTAGTCTGCGTGGAACAGGAAACCCGTCGAATCCACCCACAACAGAAGCTCCAGAGAGGAGGAATGGGTGCGATAGGCTCATTGTGGCAGAGGTTGAACTCTGGACTGACGGTCTCGTCATTTGCTGCAAGGCAAGGCTGTGGCCAGAAGCAAACAGGCAGACCTGCTCTATCCGCTACCTAGTTATTGCCAGGGTATCCCTGTTGAGGTATTATCATCCACGAGTAAGACACAGCGTCGATGTAAACCATTGGCTAACTGTTCACCGCCCCCATTGTGCGCTGTGGATGCCCTATATCCGTGACTCTGTGGCCAGCTTGACCGTATCGGTATAGCTCCTTGCAACAGCCTCGCGGAGCACAACTGTCCAACCCCCATTTCCGTTCCAAAGGCGCCCTTCTGAGGAGGGTAGTTGGGGTACGAATTCACAAAGTTTCCTGATTGTTTCCGCGTCTACCACTTCGCGAAGCAAGCTGTGTTCTTGGGCCTGATTGTGTAGTCAAGTCATTACCGAGCATGCATGCTGCACGTGAGGTGCTATATGTTCCTCCTTTCTGTCGCGCTGAGAGGACGTGTCCTGTTCTTGTGATGATGCATGTCGGATGGCGATGGATCCAAGGTCTTTTTGAGACCGTTTGTTGTCTTCAGCAGATGCAAGGTACTGTGTTTTTCCCTGGCCTTGACTCTATCATCTTCGTTTGGGCCCTTTGCGGTGATTGAGCCGCGTCTTATAGGCTTGGGGGACTTTTCCCAGGTCAGATTCATCGCATAGAAACAGCGAAACGCTGAATATGCACATTGCTCTCCACCTAGATATGATATGAATACTGCTCATGTGCTTCCAGCACCAAAGTGATTGCACAAGAACAATGGATGGAGAGAAAGAATGCAGGAGATGTTCAGCTTGGAAGACAGGAGAGGAGTCCCCCATACTCGTATGAACCTTTTTATTATCATAGCTGCGCCGGAGATTCGGATTGGAGGCCCTGCCCCGGAAAATGTCTCTTGCGCGCCAGCCTGTACGCCCCCTGCGCGTGCTCTCGGAGCTCGTGTTCGCCAGGCACATGTAGCTGTGATCAACGAGGGCAGAGACTCTTCTCACCTGAAACGCGATGGCGAAGGATCCACGCCATCCAAAAATACCCAAGGGGCAGCACTGTGATTCGTTCCTGATCGGCAGGAACTCGAGCGGGGTGTTGGAACACGAGGCGCTACCGCGCATTGAGGCTCAATTAGGCGTAGAGCCAAGCTACATCTCGTATTCTCCCAAATAGCCCCAACAATACGGGTGGGAGGCAGGAAGACGGGACGGTGAGGGGAAAAGGATGAATCGAAAACAAGGTGGCCTCCAGAGGATGGGAGCTTATAAAAAGGAGGACTAGACCCTCCTCAGTCTCTCTCGACTCGGTTTATCAATTCATCTTTTCTCAGGCTGTCCAATTAACTACCTTTCCTCTCTTTCTACCCATATCAGCAAGCAACACACGTATATATATAAACTGCCCGAACCCATCCCTCAAAATGTCCAGCGACGGCCTCATCCCCATCTGCGTCGCCTTCTGCATGACGACCCAAACGCACGAGATCATCCTCGTCGATGAAAACACACCCTCCTTCGCCGAGCTGGCCAAACACGTCTACGACCACGTGGGCCCAAAGATCGACGACCACTTTAAACCGGGCGGCGAGGAGCGCACCATCACGAAGCTCTACGTTGCCTGGAACCAGCAGGCAACGGAGCACTTCCCGCGCGAGACGTATTTCTCGGATACGAATATCAAGGCTACCCTCAGGTTGCTTGCTGCGAGAAGGGGGATTGATATGGTCTATTTTTGGTTGAATGAGATTGATGAGCCGGCTGCCGAGGAAGAGGAGGGATACTGATTGAGTGGAGGGGAGATAGATCGGGAATGGATGGGCATGCCGGGGATTGCGGGGGGGTTTGTGCGCAGTGCACCGCCGAGGTACTTGGAAAGTTTGAGTTGCGCCGCCAACCTCTCTACCCCTGTACACTCCCAAGTCACATTAGCGATAGAGATATACGAGAGACAAAACTTTCACATAGAACCATTGTGTCAACCATACAGTAGTAGAGTTAGTAAGTGCAGTACTATCTACACAACTTGGTGCTTCGCATTGATTGGAATCCCATCATTCTCCCCACTCTTCAAGATAAGCTCAATCTGAACGCATCGTATCCCATTAGTAACCCCGCACTGATCGCATTTACACGAAGAGAAAAGAAGACTCACCACCTCAAGATCCGCCAAAGCCGCCTCAGGCTCCTGCTCTGGGACTACCCTCCCCTCTAGAACCGCCTTCCCCCATGCCCTAATCTCAGGCGGAACCCCCGTTCTCTCATTCGGTACCCTCTGCACCTCAACCTCCCCACCTCTCGAGACACTCACTTCCTCCCCGCGGACGGTAACCCACCCACGCTCACACGCAACAGTCCACTCATCAGCGCGGAGGCTCGTCCCGCGCGAGATCTGGAATGTCCCCGTGACGCCCGACTTCGTGCGCAGGATCACGTCGGCTGTGTCGACGGGCGGGAGGTACGGCTGGAGCTGGCTTGTAAATGCAGAAACGCGCGCGATTTCGTTCCCCGGATGTGCACCTAGGAGTGTGCGGAGGGAGGCGATGTAGTGCACGCCGCCGTCGAGGATGTAGCCGCCCTGGTGTGTGGGAGAGCGGCGCCACGAGGTGACTGTCGGGGAACATAGCTGTTAATCCCCGAAAGCCCTGTGGGAATAGAGGGACAACGCACGATTAAACTTCCAATCGACCTCGACGAATCCCTGCTGCCGTCCCTGGAACCCGATAATCCTCCCCAGTGTCTTGATCTGATCCGCAGCATACGCGTAGCTATCCAGGAACCGAAAGTTCTCTGCGACTGCCCATGTAGCGCCTTTGATCTCGGTGCGATACCACCTAATCAGCTCCTCTGCTTCTGCGACGTTCTCCGCGACAGGCTTCTCGGAGAGTACGTGCTTTCCGGCCAACAGTGCGGCTCGGATGTATTTGCCCTGGTTGGCGATGGGCAGGCTACGCTGTCCCGTTAGCATCTAGGTAGGTATACTGGTAAACTCTGAGGATGAATTGGTGGTAGAAGCGACGTACGAGATGACCACCGCGTCGATATCCGATCGGGCCAGGATTTCGGAATACCCGTCGCCGGATTCATCGGAGTAGACGTCGACTGGACGCGGGAGGAGAGCGGCGGCGGATGTTGCAGACGCAAGCGAGCGCGAGAAGATGGCTTTCAATTCGAGGTCTTCGGCCGCTTCGACTGCGGGCTGTTATGCGGGGTTAGTAGTGGTGGATGTCTTTCGAGGGGTTGGAACGTACCAGGTGCTCCTCCTGGGCCCATATTCCTGCCTTGTGAGCTGCATCGTATACGAGCTTCGAACGAGAACATACCTCCTCCGATAAGAGCAACGTTGACGGGCATTTTGGCGATGCGCAGACCGTGGAAAAAAGAAAGTGAGGGGCCGAACGGGGACGAAGAGGGGTAGATGAGTGAGTTTTATTCATTCCTCGTATCCGGGAGGATTACACGAGAGCCTCTACTGGACACGGAAGTCCGCCTCCGATTTCCGATTTTGGAGGTCATCATAACCTCGATGACTCCTGAATCATGTCTTGATTATCTCTCTCACTATGTCAGGCTAAAGCTGCCCTACAGACATATCCAAAGGCCTGAGGTTGACAGTAGTGATCTGCCCTAGGGGCCTTCCGAGTGTACAGAAATTAGCGCCAGCCCAAGGTTTCGTTTGCTCTGGGTGGTTAGGAAATAGCATATCTTGCGTGACTTACCTGACCGATGACCGTAGCAGACACTGGTTTCAAAGGGCCCCCTAGGCAAGGAAAAGGGGTCTTCGGTAGTGATCTCTACCGATCTATAGCGATGATGTTCCGGGAAAGTTAAGCCAGGACTGGGAGACGACCAATTTGACTAAGCGAGTGAGACCAGAGTGGAGCACGCGAGTCGGCATTTCAACGCGATCCAACGTGTCATCTTACGTGTTAAGAGATTATCAATCATGTCAACAACAAACGCCAAGCGCAAGCGCGCGAGAAAGGCATGCATCCCCTGCCATCAGCGCAAGCGGAAATGCGACACGGTGTATCCTTGTGGAATGTGCACGACCTACGGATACAACTGCAGCTATACCAATGACGCCTCGCATGGTTCGACCCCGCCGCCAACGCAGCGCGTCAGTCTCAACAATAATGAACTTGGTCTAGAGCACAGTCTGAGCAATGCCAGCCCATCTCATATCGAGCGGGATCGCCGCAAAGGCGATGACTCGTCGACGAAGAGTCCAGCCGTGCTGTCTGGTGCCAGCGCCAGCGTGGGGGCCGGCACATCCCCGGGGATTTTCGACGAGCAAAAGTTCAGGTACTCCGGGGCATCAGCTGCAATGGCATTCCCGCACATCCTGGGTGTAGCTCTGGGTTCTGACGCTCCGCCGAAGACGCGGTCGTTTGCTTACAATTTCGGAATTCGGCCCGAAGAGGCATCGAATGCGCACGTCTTTCTGGGAAACATCATCTCGGATGAAGATCTCAGTTTCTTTTCAGGCGTGTACTTCTCTGTACTGAGCCCCGTCACCGACGTGATGGATGCAAGATTTTATACGCAACGGTGTAGGGATTACTTCCATAGCCCGGGCAGCAATGCCAATGGCATCGCCTTTGCCGCCGTCGCAGCTGGCATTGCAGCCCTCGGATCTTTTCTTTCCCCAAACAGACACCCGCGCGAATCTGACCTGGTCCAGTACGCCAAAGCCATTCTAGACGATCCCGCCTCGATGCGTCTGCACGGGATCGACCACATCGTCGCGTGGGGCATGCGGGTGCTATATCTACGAGCCACGACCCGGCCGAGCAACGCGTGGATCGCATCATGTACACAGATGCACCTCTGCGAAGCGTTGGGGTTGCACGAGGAAGAGACTATTAAAAAGATCGCGTCGCTCGCTGGCGCCGCTCTTCTTGGCCATGACGCGGATCGGCTAAGAAGGATCTTCTGGTGCTCGTGGGCTGGACATGTTATGTTGTCCTACGAGTACGATCGGTCGCCTGTGGCGTTTCGGTCTGTGACCTGCCAGCCGATCATCTCTGTGCCGGGGTCTATTACGGATCAGTTTGTCCGGCTGATTCAAATCATCCCATCGCCGAATTCTCCACTGCACCTCGAATTGCCTCCCTCGCCGTCGCCAGGTGAAGAACTATTTAGTCGTCTCAAAGCACTAGATACCCTCACATACACGCACCCCTTTCTCATCGTAACAAAAGCCGAGATAGCCTTTTGCTTCTACCGCCGCCTCTACCACCTTAAAACGCACATCCCCGACTCCATAATCCGACTAATCATCACCGCCGGCAACGCCGCTGTCGCTGCAGCAGAGCAGCAAGTAAGCCAGGGGAGACTCTTCTGGAACGTCATAGGCAGCGTCTTTCAGTATACATGTATTCTGCTCTCCATGGACTGCCCGGCGGCATCCCCGCAAATCGGGGGCGCGTTTAAGGGGTTAGAGAATATTGTCAGGGCGGCGGATACGGTGCTTACCCGAGAAGCGTTGTCTGTTGCGCGGCACCTGCTTAGCTTGAATATAGCGAAGAGGAGGAGGGAACTTGCGCAGCTCGAGGCCGTTGAGGCGGGGTACGAGTTTTTACTGGAGGAGGCGCCGCAGCTGTCCGTACCGGTATCTGGATCTGAGGCGGACGTGGGCAGTATGCCAGCCGTGCCGGATGATGGTTGGAATTTGGATTGGGATCAGTTCTTTATTGAGCCGTATTTTCCACTGTTTGGGGGTGATGTGCAGTTCTGAGGTTTGAACGGAGTCTCGGATATCGGTGTTAGACCGCTAGCGGGCGTAATATAGAATATCGAATTTGTCCTGCCACTCGGGCAATTCGCTCTGCCACCTCTGGATGGGGAGGGCGTTCCCAGAGCTTCTCGGACCATCAATCCATCGGTCTTTAGGTGGATCGTTAATGGTATTCCGCTGTGCGGCTTTATGTGCGGCTATTGCGGACTTAGTCCCACTCAAGCAACCTTGGTGGAGCCTTCATATCGCCGCTGCGGCGATTGCGGGCTTCTCGGCGTCCCCTCGCTCTCTCGAATGTGGCTGCCTTCGTCCGCTATACCTATTCCCTTCAGGTTCTCCTATCTCCGGGCGAATCAAGTTCGAAACCGACCTGATGGAGTGGGCTATACTAGAATGTGGAGATTGTTTGCCCGAGATTTTGGACGACAATCGGACATAGAGGCTCAGATGGGGAAAACTTCGGAAAGCTCGAGCCCAGGTCGAGATGTATAAATAGACGGGCATTCGCTGCTGGGAGGGGGATAGACCACTCACTATTCTCTCGCGCAAGGCCACATCCCTCGACCGCCTCTTTTAACCCATACCACGCCGATCAATATATAGTCGGGAATCATCCGAACCACAATGCCCGAGTACGCCAAAGACCAGCCCGCGGGCTACAAAAACACCATCGAAAAAGTAGCCATCGTTGGCGTAAGTACCCCCACCACCAACCACCACCACATAAACAGCAGAGCTAAGAACCACCCCAGGCCGGAGGCACAATCGGCTCGCACATCACCAAGGCCCTCCTCTCCACGGGCAAACACACCGTCACCGCGCTCTCCCGAGCCGGCAGCACAAACACCCTTCCCAGTGGCATCCAGATCGCCACAGTCGACTACAGCGACGAAAGCACGCTCATCACCGCCCTACAGAACCAGGACTTCCTAATCATAACCATGGCCCCCACCGCACCGCGCGACACACACAGCAAACTCGTCCAAGCAGCGTCCAAGGCCGGCGTCCCCTACGTCATGCCAAACGGGTATGCCGGTGACATCGAGCATGTCGCGCTCGGTAACGATACACTGCTCGGCCCCGTGGCGAAGGCGGCTCGAGATGAGATTGAGCGGCTGGGCATGCAGTGGGTTACGGTTTGCTGTGGGTTCTGGTATGACTACAGCCTTGGCGGTGGGGAGAGTCGGTTTGGGTTTGATTTTGACAAGAGGGCTGTGACGTTTTATGATGACGGAACCACGAGAACTTCGGTTTCCACCCTTGTCCAGGTTGGACGGGCAGTTGCGAATGTTCTTAGTCTCAAGGTTCTTCCGGAGGATGAAAGGGACCAGAGTCTGACGCTGTCGGCGTTCCTTAATCAGGGCGTGTATATCAAGAGCTTCGTCCTTAGCCAGAGGGATATGTTTGAGAGCGTCAAGCACGTTACTGGGACGACTGACGCAGACTGGACGATTACGCACGAGGACACGAAGAAGCGGTATGCGGATGGCCTGGCGCAGGTCAAGATGGGGAATATGGCTGGGTTCAGCAAGTTGCTATATGCGAGGGCGTTTTACCCGGAGGATCCGGGTGAGCACTCGGGCAAGGCGCAGAATGAGTTGCTCGGCTTGCCGGAGGAGAGTCTTGATGAGGCTACAAGAGCCGGGATTGAGTTGGAAAAGGAGTTGAAGAAGAGAGTTGAGCGGATGGCAGCTTAGAGGGTGCATGCATAGGTATGGGATTTGTGATAGTGTATGTTTAGTAGTTTCTGAATGATAATTTGGTTGGGGCTGTCAATCCCTCTGATATCCTGGTAGCGGCGTATACTTTTCCTGGGTATCTTGCTAATAACCGTCAATCAGATATATCCCTACGAGAGCACTGCAGGAATCGAACATAAACTCTTCAAATTCATTAACCACCCTCATCCACCGCCGACGGCATCCACTGCACCTTAATCGGCTCGTGATTACCACTCCTAATGCGCTGATCCCTGGACCAAAGCTGAAACGTCAGATCCGCCGCTCCTACAACGACGCGAACATCAAAAGTCGCGCGCCAATATCTCGGCCGCATACTATACCAACGCTTATTCTTCAGCTTGCGCTCGACATTGTCCGTGCTGATGTCGAGACTGCAGACGTGTTGCGCGCCCTGCCGCGACATGCTTTGCGGGAGGTGCTCGACGGCGTTGGGTGACATGACGATGTGTACTTTCCAGGGGAGGTGTTCTTCGCCGGGTTTCATTTTTAGCTGAAAGTCTTGTGTTATTCCGGTGTGGGGGACTGGCTTGCCCTATATACGTCATAGTTAGAACCAGAGTCGTGTCGGCTGGAGGGAGTGCTCGGGGTATGCACCTGTAGTACAATCCACTCAATCTGGTCGACCGCGTATAGCCGGTTATCTCTTGGATCGCGCCGCACAGGCTCGCCTAGGTGCTTATCGGCGTCATAGATGAGGTCGCAGACGATTCCGTAGCTGATCGGTGAGCATCGAGAGCCAAACATGACAACGCCTCGCTTCAACTGTTGGATCCGGTCGAGGACCAAGCCGTGCACGACAGCTAGCTGACTGGGCTCGTTAGCGCTCGTTCTGTACTCAATGTTGCTTCTCGAGTAGTGGGTTCAACGTACGGCTCTTCCGCCATGAGTACCTGCACGCCGATGATATTCGGATGCTTGGCCACGCCTGGAATCGCGTATCGCTCCTGCAGGCATTGCTTCACGTAGGGGGAGCTGCCGAAGCCGCCGGATAAAACGAGATATGACTGGGCTGTGAGCCAAGAACTGACTAGAGCAATGACAGACTTACAATCCGGTTCTGAGGGTACTTGTTTTGCATCTGCTCAATCTGACCATCGAGCAGCTCACACATTTCGTCCACTTTGATGTCGAATGCGCGTCGGATATTTTCCCTGCAAGACTCACTGAGCATTTGCGTTTGAATAGAGATAGGACGGAAGGACGAACCATCCAATCTGCATATTGCCCCCCTGTATCCCAGCAGCCGGCAAGTCTGCACCGGACTCTTTCAAGAATGGCACTTCTAGACTAAGGTATGGCGTGCGTGCTGCTTCGGTTCCGAATGCGCACTTGAGTCGTTGGAAGCGACCGGAGAGCATTTTCCAAGCGACGAAGCCAGCGGGCTGTGATAGATGGTCTTCGACTTTGGATAATCGGGATGCGATAAGTTTGTGGATTGCCCTGTCGATGAAAACGGATCCGATGGGTCGTCCTGTGCTCGTCAGCTGAATGTAGAGTCACAAGGAGTTGATCATGTCACCTTCAACACTGCCGAGCTGCTCGAGCTGGACCGGCGCTCCTCGTGCTGATATCAGCTTCAGCACATTCACATCCTACTACGATTAGCCAAGCTATTGGGAAGGCTGTGTCGAGATATACCCACCGTCGTCCCACCACCCGAGTCGCAAACCAGTACGATATCTTGCGGCTGCCTGCGTCAACACCCTGTCAAACAAAGGAGCAGCTGACGACGAACCTGATAGAAGCCCCGACAGGCATAAACAGCCGCCGCCTCCGCCTCGGTGAGCCCAATACACGCCCAATGATTCAGCCCATTGCTCTGAATCGCCTGATCAACCAAGCCCCGAATCTCCTCAATCATCCTCACATCCTTCCACGTCGTCGGCACACTAAATATAAACTCCACGCGCATCTTGGAAAAGCCGGGAATCGTACTATCGAAATGCGACACGACATGCTTGTATATGCACGATATATAATCATGGAACCAGCGCTGCGCCTCTCTGCGCGTGATGCGCATTCCCTTTGCCATTTCAGTATCAGCTCCATCTCCGCCCTGCGGCGCAAGGTGGAGTTTGAAGAACTCCTTGACGTCCGCGACTTGGTCTTCGGCCGTGTCGCAGCCGAACCCCCATTCCTTGACTGTTTTGCCGTCGCTACCGTAGAGGACGCTCGTCGGGACTTTGTTTGCGAGTTCGCTGAGGAGTTTGCCGGGCCAGCGTTGGACGGTTTTCGGCGGGCCCCATTCGGGTCCGATTGTGTATGCGACGCCTGTATTGGGGAAGAAGAGAGGTTAGCGATGCGCGACAGACACTCACTCAAAACATTTGGTTGCAGTTGCAATGGAGATACGATGCGATGCTGACCTGTACATGTCATACCAAAATCGATCCCCACCACGATGTCTGGGAACCGCTCCTCGACCCATGTGGCCGTGGTGCCAGCGACAACCTCCTTCTCGTCCATCGTGCAAGGTGGTGGTCAGTTCTGGAAGCAAACGGCGACCGACCGTCGTGAAATGAGATGATTCAGCAATGCATAAGTACGGCAGAGGAAGGAAGGGCCAATGCGCAGAGCCTCGCCCAGCAACCGAACTGCCGCGAAAAAAAGGGGGCCAAAGCCAGAACCAAACTGCCAGCCATCCCCCCCAAAAAACAAACTTCAAAATTAAGGAACAAATCGACTGTCAGCGCTAACTTAAGCTCGAGCCTTTCGCGCCGCAGCCCGGATCCTTCGCGTCCGGCCCCATAGGCCAATGGGTTCTCGTCGATCCCGAAACAGATGTTAGTTTTGGGGTGTGGAGGGGGCAGTGGACGAATCAGTGCGACGCGAGCGACAAGGGTCTGCATAGGCTCTCGGTCGATTGCCCGTTCTTGTTGGCCAGCGGGCGGCTCCTGATTTTCCGAGACCCTGGTATTTTTCAATTGTCGTCTTGGAGGTTTTGGGTGAGTTTGTTTAAGGACTGGGCTCGCCCGCCGCAACCTCGCGGCTCAGCCGCTCAACGAGACGGAATCCTTTCATCGGTTGTGTCTGCTTTTCCGTCAGATTCGCGCTTTCACACACCAATATCAGCATGGCCGACTGGAACAATGTTACTGCTACTAATCTGATCTCAGTAGAGGGTGGTCTTTCCTCGACAGTAACAGAAATCACATTAAGCCCCCCAGTTGCCTCGAATATTCCGGCCACAACGTGGACGATCTGGCCAAATGGAGAAACAGTCCTTGCGTACACAACCTATCTTCCAGGTGGGGTGCCGCAGGCGATAACCTCAACCTTTGATAGGGAGGAAACGATCACCGCCGGGCTTGCCTCGAACGACGTAACAACCACCTTACTATCCGAGCAAACATCGACGGCAACCAGACAGACCACAGGCTCTGGATCGGGATCTACCTCGTCGCCCAGCGCATCGAGCACACAGACACCCGGCATTGATCCGGTCAATTCTTCCAGCGATGGCTTTAGCACGGGCACACTGGCTGGGGCGGTCGTGGGCAGCATTGTCGGGAGCGCCCTTCTGACCCTGCTTCTTGCCTTGCTATTCTTTCGACGACGTCCGAAGGAGCTGGCCAGAAACGCCGATGACGATGTAACCTATGCCGGAATCGTCACAGATAAGTCGATCACGGGCTTTTCTCTCGCAGCAATCGTTCCTCAGCCAGCTGATGATGAGACAGTCCGACGGCGCGTTCTCACCTTGATCGACCACGCAGGTCTGCACGTCGACAACTACTATACCACCGCCTCTCCCGCCTTGTCCCAGGACGCGATAGCGAAATTGAATCAATTCGATTCGGGATTCCTACCGACGGCTGCTGGGACGGTGCTGGGAGAACGCAAAAGCCAGCGTCAGGTCATAACACACCTCCTGGTCTACAAGCTCCTACAGGCAATCCGACCCGGGGGCGAACTCCTTCCGCCGCTCTTAGCTAGTCAGCCGCAGATTGAAAATTCGAGTGTTTGTACGTTGCCCTCATTCTCTAATAATAACCATTGGCTCATTTCTAACCACCCTACTGCCGACAATAGCAACCGACAATGCCCTCTTTACCTGGCGTATGCTTAGCGCCCACCTGTACCGCGAAGCGAAATACAGCAGAGACCCAACGCAGATGGCGGCACTCACGAAAGCCGCACGGGATCTCGCGCTCGGTTTTACCAAGGCGTTTACACCGTATGCGTTGCCCAACTTTTCGGAGGCGGATCGCGTTACACACTTTAAGGATCTGGCCGCTGCGACTACGGAACTGGGCATCTGGCTCTTCGCTCAGCCGTGCACATTTGACTTTGTTTGGAATAAGAGTCAGACTGAGATAACTGTTATTCCTCGCGTGCTCAAGACGTATGATGAGCAGGGTAATCGCCTCTCGACACCGCAGGTTTTGGTTGAAGGCGATCGCGCGCCGATCTTGATGACGGCATTCAGGCACGAGATGTCATAATGGTAGATAGTTCTTATATTCGTGGCTCGTCTGGTGTGTAATTATAACTATAATGGGACATGAGAATGCAATGTTCGTCATGAGGTTATTGATTCAGGTTCAACGCAATGTCTCCCTATCAGGTCGTCGCTCTCCCGTGCGCCCACCGCCACGAAAGCATATCCATCAACTCATTATCCATTTTCGTAGATGGCGGACTGCTGACCTCCTGCGCTTGTTTTGTCCTGAGAGAGATTCCCACCTTCTCGGCCACCATATTCGGCACCACAGCCTCCATCCCGGCATCCTGTAACTGTACCGAGAGATCCCACGGCCCTTCTTCCGGAACCTGCTTCATCGACGCCGGAGATATTGTCTGCGCCTTGTCAACGGTCATCCGTCGACGCCGGCGGGTCTTTTCTTCGCTAGCGAGTTTGAAGCCTGCATTGTCCCTAGTATCCTCCTCCCTGTCGGTACCACTCCTTCCGCTTTCAGTCCGAGTACTCATGCCGCTCCCGACTGCAGCCCCAATCCCCATCTCAACAGGGCCCCCCTGAACCCCCTGCAACCGCCCGAGAACAGTCATGAGACTCTGGTGAACAACCACGAGTCTCTCCCTCTTCTCCCTCGCGCGTTTTGAATCCCGCAACATCCACTTGATCTGGGTCTTCACCCCCAGTCTTCCCTGATTAATCACCTGCTCGACCCGTAACTCTTCAGTGAGGATCGCAACTTCCCGCGTCGCAACCTCCGTATCCCGGATCGTCGCCGAGATCCAGGATTGCTCGGTCGGATCGAGGAGGGCGTGTTTGAGGCTGAAGAGATGGCGCGCTTGCGAGGTTTGGGTTTCGATGTGCCGGGTTAGTGTTAGGAGGTCGGTGGCTGGGGAGGGGGGTGCTGTGGGGTGGAGGGTTGGGAGGGGGAGTTTTTGTTTCTTGGGCGGTTTTTGGGTTGACGGGGTGGGGTTTTGCGGGGTTTTGCGAGCTGATGTTGTTGTTGATGCTGTTGAATCCGAGCCCGAGTTTGAGGCGGTGGTTCTTTGTGAATATGAGTGTGAATGTGAATGTCGTCGCATATTCGACAATGAAAAGGACGAGAGCGAGGTGAGCGACTGCCGGGCTTTGGGCTGCGAACGCGGCGGAGGAGGAGGAGGAGAGCTGCTCTGGGGCGTCATTGAAGTTGGGCGCGGTGGGTGGCTCCTTGGACGCTCATCAGGGACCAGAGTCGAATTCAAGGTCAGTGTTGTTGTAGATGAAAAATCAACCAGATTCAAGTACGGCGCCGAGAGATCGTTGTGGTCAGGTGGGATGATGGCGCTGGGTGCTGGACTTGCCCCGGGCATTCTGTACATCCCCGATGATGTGTTTAAGGTTGAAGCCGCTCCGACTGTTGACGTGCGTGCTGTCGTGGCAAGCGTATGTATCGAGGAGGCAGAGCCAGAGATGGAAGCCGAATCCGGTCTTGCCAGGGCTATCGAGATCCTAGATTGTGTAGGTGGGAGGGGCGGCGGGATATCCAGGGATGCGCTGCGCTCTTTGCCGTTTCCCTGGCGCCGGTAGAAGCGGTCTCTGTGGTGGAATGCGATCGGCATTCTGGGGTCGCGGGCTCGTGCCCTGTATTTGGTGTTCTTGAGCTGCGGATCTCTGTCGGGCGAAGAGTGGCAGTGTCGGTGGCAGTGAATTGATCCTGAAAGAAGGACAAGATGAACCGCTGGAGACGCAAACGCAGATTGAGATTGCGATGGGGCCGAATGCAACCTCAGGCGGGAACTTGGGTGACAACGTGGAGGAGCAAAGCAGTGAAATGTATTGCAAATTACAGGTTACACCCGGCAGCGGGTGACAGGGACCTGTTTGTCCGTAATCTCCGGTGTCAAAGGGAGAAAAAGAAAACATGGACTAGCCAAGCGTGAGCACTGAGGACTGCCCTGATCCCTGACGTGCTTCGATTTGCGGGTTGGCCCTGGAGACGCTTGTCGGATCGAAACAAGATTCGTTTCCCACGGCGTTTGACGAAGACAATTCACAGTCGAATGGGGGATTTTTGGAGGAGAGGCTCAGGAGTTGCGCTCTCAGAAGGGTGGCTCGCGCAGTCAGATCTCTTGGGTCTCACACTGCCTCTAAAAGGGGAGATTGGGGGCCAAAATTGTGTCACGCGCCCGCCAAAGGCTGGCTGGTGGTGTGTCTTGGTTGTGTATGTGTCGCTCATCTCCAGATCACACTCTTGTCGGAACTCTAGTTTAAGCGAAGACCGTGCGTTACCAACAACCAAGCCCGCTTCATGCGGATCATGAATCTCATCGGATCTTCGTCGATTGCATGCCCTAAGCAAATCGGTGCGGCCCGTGGTTTGCCACCTCCACACCCGGTTCAGCAAGCGACCAGTGGCGATTTGCGGGGAAAAGCATGCCTCCTATCAGTCCAATCTGCAGCATTATGTTCTGTCGGTAGGCAAGACGTTGTTGGTAAGCACAAAACTATTAACTAATGCTCCTTTGAAATGTTTAATTTGAGATGGGGTTTGTATGCATCATTCAATGCACAAATGAGGCTCATAATTATGCTATCGGTTAATATTCTTGGTTCCTCGCAAAGATGCATTGCAATATGGCTAGCGACACTGTTTAGACGGCTACTGGACTCGGTCCGCCGGTTTGGCTCAAGGTCGCCCTCGCTTCTACAAAGAGTCCGCCTCTTTCCATGGTCACGGCAAATGATATCGATATTACAGATGAGGCAGTCCTTCGACCACGACGGCCAAACCTAGTACGGCTTACTTCGGGTTACTCAGGCCATTGAGCGCTGTCGAAGCAGCTAGAACGCTCAATAAAACGCAACCAATCCAAGCGCACTCACAAAACTCGCCCCAACAACCCCCCACGCAATCCTAACAACCTGCTCCCGACTCCTCATCGTCTGCGTCCCCACCGCTGTAATCACATACCGCACACCATTAAACACATGAAACGTAAACGGCCACGCAAGCGCCAACTTCAGTCCGATCTTCGCAACAAGCGGTAACCCCGCAAACGCAGCGACCAGACTCGCCGACGATAGGTCCCACTCAAAGAGCGGTGATAGCAGGTATCCCGTTGCGAAGAAGTAGAGGCTGCCTGAGAGGAGGATTCCGGTGTTCCGCTCCATTGCGGAGGAGACGGAGTGCACTTGGAATTTGTAGATTGAGAGGTGAGGGGCGACGGGGCGGCGGAGGCGCTGTTGGGCGAGGAGGGCGCGGCCTTCTTCGGGGGTGCGGGATTTGATCTTCAGGGGCGCCGTTGTTGTCCATCTGGGGGCTTTTTAGAACTTTATCCGAGAGCAATAGGCTGGTGGATTAGAGATTCAGCGAAATGTACCTGAGCTGCTGTACATACTGCGCAGTGCGTGCCGGAAACAAGAGCGGTCCTGTTGAGCAGGAAAGGTCAGTGAACCGACCGATGATAAGTACATATATCGGCAAGGACTCAAAGCCGAGTGATTGGCGCCCTCACGTCTTGCATACAGAGCAGGCACGCTCCTCGGTGTCAGGGCCATGCTGCAAGGTACGTATACGACCCGACTTGCAATCTAAGATTTTCCACACAAAGACTCGAAAGGTCCAAGAGCCCAGAGGATGATGGAGTTCGGTAATAGAAGAAACTCTGACGCCGCACTTTAAGACTTCAGAAAGGCACGAGTCATTGTTATAGTGCGGTAGAACGATCTACCGTCTAGATCGGCGGATCAGACCATTTGTCCGCTCGTGGGGGCCAAACCCCCCTTAGTAACCGGGTCACGATCACTGGTTACGGACTTGCTCGTAATATAATCTCGCACCTGGGAGGTTAGAAGAACTGGGTCGCAAGTATATAGCTGGTATCAAGAGTCAAGAGATAGGAGCACCACTCATCAGAGAAGAAGCTTGAAGGTACCCCCCCTCCTCCTCTCCGGGCCACGAGCAAGTCCGGCTGCTCCTCGACACAAGGGACATACAAACCAGCTGCTTAAGCATTATATAGCCGCAATAAACGCAAGAAGCCTTCTTCGGCGGTTGCGGGTCTTGTTATTTTCCTCGCAAGCCCCCAGTGTCGGCGAGTCGGCGATAAAATGACCGACACAGGTTCCGTCTATCTACTCTTGCGATCAACGAGTATACAATTTGCAGAACCCATCTACGGTCTCAAGCACCTCACCGGCCCACTCAAATCCCTAACCTCCGCGCCCTCCAACCACTCCATCACAGAACCCCGCGCCTCCCTTAGATCAGGTTTACAACCGCCCTCCAAAAGCGCCCTCGCGACCTCCCTCCCCCCCAGCCTGACAGCCATCATCAGCGGCGTATCGCGCATCGTATTCCTAGCCTCGAGGTCAGCCCCGCGCTCGACGAGCAACTTCACGATCGGGACATCGCCCTCCTGCACAGCAAAATGCAGACTCGTCCACGCTTCATCCTCCGAAAAATCGGGATCCGCCCCGGCGTCAAGAAGAATCTTGACTATCTCGATCGTGCCAAGTCGCACGGCATGGTGCAGGGGTGTCCAGTAGTACTCGTCGTCGTAACTATTCGGATCGACACCGTGGCGAAGTAGAGCCCGGACCATATCCTGTTGGGCTGCGGGGCTACTCCTATTCTGCACCGCGAGATGCAGGAGCCCACCCACAGATAGATAGTCCGATTTCCACGCCCTGGGATCCCCGCCGGCTTTCTCGACCAGTATGTCAAGGATTCCCGGTCGAGACGCGATAACGGCCGCATACAGCGCGCTATCGAGATACGGCGCCAGCTCGACTCCACTTTCCACCCACGCTGCCACGAGCTGTTCGGGCCCATGATGCACAGCGTGCAAGAACCCGCGCGAGACCCGATTATGTTCAAACGCCGGCCCACGCCAGCATGCGCGCCGGATCGGGTGGCACAGCTGGCACGGAGGTGGTGGTCCGCTCTGCAACGTTGGTACTGCGGTGCATGCGGTAGATTCCCACTTTGAAGATGCAGACGGCGGGGACAATAGCGGACCCGGTCTCGGCGTGGAAACGTGGCCTGTCCCGCCGGGACAATTGGGGACCGTACCCGCCAGCGATGCTGCGCGCGCCTCTGGCCGCTGTCGCAGGAATGCAGCGCTTTCGAGGTTCACGCTACAAACGACAGAAACCCAAAACATAGCCCTCGCGACAATCGCAGAGTCTACTGCATCAGCTGCCGTCACGGCGAACTTGACCGCCGTTCCTTCTTGTCCCCTAAACTCCGTCGTGAGGGTGAGCGTCACGCCCGCGCAGACGGGTGCCGAATGGGTGATTGAGATTCGGCCTGGGACGGCGACTTCGCAGTGTGCGTTTTTGAAGTTTGCGGTTAGGACGTTCAGAGTTGTGGATTGCATTGCTTCGATGAGGTGTGGTGTTGAGAGGACTTGTGGGAGGTGTGGGCTGGTGGTGAGGGCTGTTGTGGGGACTGTCCACGTGGTTGTTGTTGGAGAGGGGATGTCTGTTACTTCGAACAGTCTGTGATTGTTGTATTTGGGCATTTTGGAGGGGTTGGATGGTGATCAAAGTATGTGTTGTCATTAGCTTTAATGTCGAGGTGTCGGTTTTAAGTCGTAGGCATCTGGTATAATAAACTTGGTGTAATAGAGTCGCGATACCTATACAAAAAGCTGCGTTCGTCTAGATGACTATGGAGAAAAGTTTCAAGCCTCCAAGTGTGCAGGGTGAGGGCAGATTTATATAGGCTCGCACTTCGTATTCGCAATCACGGGATTCGGCGCTATATGTAGTGTAGCAGGAGTAGACTTAGCCATGAATCCAGAGGGCTTTGGCCACTTTAATCAACGGGATCACGCAGTCGTATAGATACACTAGAATTATCATTAAATAGATATATTACTCCCGCCCGCCCCCGGAAAATACGCTGTATAAATACTCTCCACATCCTTCGCCATATCCACCACGCCCTCAAACACGCTATCAGCCTTGAGCGCCGCATACAGCGCGCCAATTCCATTTCGCATCTCCTCAATGGCGCGCTCAGCGTCTTGAATCTCCGTCCCCGGTTGCGCACAGCGAAGCAGGTAGTAGCATGCCGAGAGATCGCGCGTACATAGACATGACCGGAGCCGGCGCAGTAGCATGGAGAGGACGTAGCAGCTTTGCATTGTGCAGCAGGAGAGGTAGGGGAGAGAGCGGGGGTAAGCATGTGACCGTGTGAGGCTTGTGACGGGATTCTCGGTGTGGTTTGCTGATATCATTGAGGTGGATGGTCCGTCAGAGTAATGTAGTTTTGGCGGGGGGAGGTTGCGGATCGTTCGGGAGAGGACGAGGGCAGATCGGAGGCATATGTCGGTGGACTCTTGTGCGGTGAAAGGGAAGCTGGAGTCGACGTCTAGCGTCCAGGGCTGTGATGGTGTTGGGGATGTGGTGCTGAAGTTGCCGAGGGTGGCGGTTCGGAGGTCGCTGGTTTTCTCAAGGAGGAGTGGAGAGTCGCCGAATGCGATGAAGCGGTGGAGCTTGATGCGCGCGCTGGGGAAGCAGGACTCAGTAAAACTATTGTCATGGTCTTTGCTGGGAAACAACGTACGTATGAACAAAGAGCAAAGAGATCATCCACAAGTTCCGTGCAGCGGATGCTTCGGCGCCCTCATTCTCGACGGAATAGCTTGAAGTATCCAATTTGGCTCCCAAGGCTAGAACAGTCGAGTCGAGTCGCCGGATATCGTCGGCTGTCGTCCGCGATAGATTCGTCCTGTTACGTTTCTTCGATAGTTCTTTCGCTATTGGTCCGACTCGCATCAGGGCGTTTTGCGCTTCCATTAGAAGCTCCCAGGTCTAGAGGTGTTAAGTGAGACTTGGTATATGCATGCAGCAAATAGGCATAGGTAAAGGTAAAAGAACGTACCTCGCGCCGATTGCAGAACTCCGGATATGGCGTTGTGATGCGAACATCATGTATCAACATAATTGGTGCCTACATTGTGTTAATAAAAGCTAATGAAACGCCAGTCACTGCGAGGGGCGCATACTGAGTGATTCGTTATCGATGCTTGAGAGGCGAGGTACATCTGGCGTCCAGTCAGGTAAGCGAAATTGTGGCAGGAATGACAACACTCACAGTCATCCACCATGCCCGCCTCTGAGCGTCCACAGCGTCTGCGCTCAGAGCGTGGAGGGACAAGTCCATGGCCGCAGTCAGAGCTTGGTGGGCTCGCGAGCGCATCTGCTTCCTGTTTCCGCTCTGGCAATAATCGTACACAGTCAACACGAGGAGGGCGAGAATCGGCTCAAGGTTTGCAAAGATATTCGGATGTAGCAGGCTCGAGGGGTGGAAGGTATATGTAGAGGCGTAAGACGAGATATGGGTATTTCTGTGGTGGTCGCTATTGCTCTCGAGTGCGTGTTCGGCTGATCGCACATAGAGTTGCGCAAATGACCGGCGGATGATTGTGGCTGATTCTGACTGTGGATCTGGGTCTTTGGGGAGTGGGATCAGGACGAGGAGTGCTGATATAGCGAGCGCGAGCGGGGATTCTGGCCAAAATGGGAGGATTGATTGGTCGGCCTCATAAGAGATTGGCGCGACCTCGGCGAAACAGTCCTCATACTGTGGGAACGTGGGTGGCGGAAGTAGTGGCAGGTAGGGATGGATGTAAATGTAGTAGGCGTTAATCCTGGAATACAGTTAGGATTGTACGCAATGAAGCCGCAGGAAGCAGAGAGAATACCTACAGGTCTCGTTCACATCGATATGCGCGTATCGCGAGGGTATTGAGGTACGCCGGCCCTTTGGCGCTGGGTTGCGCCGATTCCAAGGCCGGAGGGCTTGACGGGCCCATCAGCCCACCATTGACGAAGCTGAACGCGGGCAATGTCCTGACAGTAGGCTCTCTCTGTTCGGCAGTGGATAGAGATACAAAGGCTGTGCCACTATTCAAGGAGGAATCTGTGGCGCGTCAGCTCTGCCCTGGAAGTTGGCCATGAAGCGGGATCCATACTATTAGGTTCGGTAGAGTTCAGCAGGGGCCTCGAGTCATATGGCTCCATTACGGTAGGCGCGACTTTCCGGGGTTCCTGCCATTGCATGTCTGCTGGCTCTTGGTTTGGCGGCGCATCGTTACCGTCACTTTTTCGACTTGGACGCGATGCATGGCAGCCCATAATGGTGGCACTCCCTCTGACACCGAAGGGTTGTACGCGGTTCAAAAACAAGGCTTGTCGTTCCCTGTCAAGTTACACTGATGGTAAAATGGATCACGCGGGTATGATTCGCGCGTCAACGGCCGACAGAATGTGGCCGGGCCCCTTGCGTCCGGCAAATGGCGCATACCGCTGCAATGTAGGGCCATATTTCACCATGCCAGTGGCGCGTTTAGGGTTTTTAGGGGTTGGTTGGATGTTTCCTTTTGATGGTCACTTTTTATTGCACTCGCCAGGACGAACCTGATCGCTGGTGTCCAAGGAAGTGCAAGAACTCGCTCCCACGCCCGCTTCATTCCTGATGAGCAAACCGATGGCTTGTCGCGACCAACCCTCACCAAGCTACTACCTTTCCCCGGGACTTATGGCCCTTCAATCTTTCTTGTCAGGCTATTTGAGTTGTTTGTTGTCCGGCAATACCAAGCACCCCTTTCACTTGGCGTGGAAAGTCCTGGAAACCGGAAATAGAACCCGGGAGAGCGATTGGTCGGAGACAAAATATATACTAGGGATGCATTTTTGGCAGCCCCATTAGGGTCTGATGTTTATTGGTCCACTCTAAAAACAGCGCACACCAGCTCTCTTCACTTCATCGAGTCCAGCGACAACCCACGGTGCAAGTGGCAAGTCCTCACTGCCCAATTCAAGATGCCTTCGATTATACTGACCTTGATGGTGCCTCTCACAAACATACCATTGCTAAACAAAGTTCAGAACATAATGTTCCTCCTCCAGAAACAATGAGACTTGACCCCCCGCTACCCGGCCATGCCAATTGCCCATGGGATGTGGCAACTCCAATGCCTCTCTTTTGTCGCGCCCCTTCTTCGGCTTCGCGGGCAAGGTGATCTTATTTCCCTCGGCGAGAATATAACATTGGCTCACCACATTTGGGTCTTCGATATCCTTGGAGCCCGCCAACGCATGGGGGATTGCCGCCATGGCAGCGGCACATAAGCCTGAATCCTCCGTCAGAACAAGGGGACAGCTGAAGATTGTCCACCCAGAGTTCGAATACTCCTCCTTTGCCTTTCGAGCTGATGATACAAATGCCGTCCGGTGAAACGGGTCGATGACCACAAGAGATTCCAGGCGATAGTTGGGTCGAATTAGCCATTCTCTAGGAACCAGCACCACGTCTACGGATAGCAGCTGCAACCCAACTTCGCAATGGTTACTAAATCGTCGCGTGATAAAGACTTGGTACCGACCAAACGCTTCAAGCGCGTTTTCTACCTTCTCCGGCAACCGCCAGGTCGGTGTTGTAAAGGCAATGTGGCCTGTGGGCGGGTGAGACATGGCGCAGTGCAAATCTCTCCTAGTACATGGAACGCGTCCCACCAGCGTACCATCAGTGCCCCGGATAATCTCTATTTCGCGGGAGCTGCTATCCCCGGTCTGCTTTAGCTGCAAGACGAGCTCTTCTTCATCCGAGATTCTGGCCACCTTTGCAAACTCCATACCATAGCTCTGGAAGTCGTGGAAATGGTCGTACGCAAATGGCCAGTTCGATGGGAGGCCAGCTGATGCATAGCGCCGCTTTTTCCGTCGAAAGTCTTCGGCTACAAGCATGTAGCGCTCTTCGGCGGGATCCCAGCTCGCGGCGTAGATATGCGATACTCCTATGGCGAATGGCATAAAGGCCTCGGCACGACGTATGTCGCGATCTCGAGACCAGATAATTTTGTTGGTGGCCAGGGAATACACGATATCTCTATCTTGGTAGTCAGTCACCTTGGCTGCGATTTGATCACCGAGATTCAACCTGCAACATACCTCTCCCCTTTCAAATGGGGGTGCCCGTACTTTAGACTAACAAACAGGATACCCTCTTCATTCACAAGCAGACTTCCGACGGTTACTCCCTCACTACCGACCCTCCACAACCTCGCCGCCTTGACGGCCATTTGCGGCCGACCGGCTGCCATCGACCGCCAGGATATAATGTCACTAGGCATCTCGTAATTTGCGTGACGGTGCCTCTGGCTACTGCTAGCATCCGACCTTGACACCCAAACCGCATACTGTGCCCCGACGGCAAAGAATGCCATATCCTCGAAATTGTGCGCAGAGGATAGAAGGCCAGTTTGCGTTCGGTGGATCGTGCGCACTTGAATTCATCAATAACAGTTACAATGGTGATATTAGCCAAGGTACTTGACTGAGTACGCACCATGATTTCTGAGCTCTTCATAGGGCAGTGGCTTCATCGGCTCAGCCAGACCACCCGGGTACCACGTAGGCTGGATGAGATATCGAGTCCCGAACCTCCTCATCCATTCCCGGACCAGATCTCTCCAGGCCCGACTAACTAGCTCAAGGCGGAGAATATCGTCGATAGCGAGGTACAAGAGGATCATGTGGACCACGTCATGGTTGAGGCGGCTGAGGGGGTCTAAGCAACTAGGCGCCGCGGTCTCCGCCCGTAATCGTCCTCGCCTGGCTGGCATGGTTTTGAACAAGCGTGCTTAGGATATCGCAGACTCTTTGACTATTTTATATCTGATGGATCCAAGCGGGAAAGGATCGAACTGTCTGGCATGAGATGGATGTTTTGCGGATGAGATGGCAGGAATACGAGCTATTTATATGGTGATGCTTGGCGCGGCTATAAGCACGGTTGACTCCCCACTGGCAGAATCAACCCATAGATTCTGGTCCAAGACTCGTTTGCGCGAGATATTCTACCGTGTGCTAAAAATTATTTGGAAGAAATAATCCACCAAGACTAAAACATAGTGATCAGACTACGGTCAGAGTCAGTTTACATAGAAACATCACCAGGACTGTCAACGAGAAAGCGAGATATATATAGTCTGTCAACGAGTAAACAGCAGGAAGGTATTAGGAACGGGAAAGCATATGTACTCTAGTCTCCGTTATGATCCACTCGGTAGCTGTAGCATCGGAATAATTATTACACTCATATTTACTCCTCAGCTCGAAGTATTTATATGGGGTCAGGGGTTGTTATTACCTTGGTCAATGCGCCAATAAGCCAAGCCAGGGTCCAGTATGCACAAGATAAGATAAGCGGGATCTGATGGTAAATTCCGCGTTAAGGGTATGATTATCTTCAAATCTCCAATCATATTGGCTGCAAAATGTTGGCTGTAAGCAAAGTTGCTACGTGGGCCCTGCGCTTACCAAGCCGCGATATGAATCCCGGCTCCATAGTTGACTGACCTCATATGCCGGAAATCGTATTTATAGAGGCCCGAGGCCACCAAATCAGAAGAAAATCAGAAATCAACAAAGTGGCCTCAAAAGACAGAATCTACAATTGGAAAAACCATGTCAGAAGGGAAACATGCTCTAATATTCGGCGCCACCGGCATCTCTGGCTGGTCGCTCATGAAGCAATGCCTCTCTTACCCCTCCTCAACATCCTTTAGCCGTATTACGGGACTGTGTAATCGGCCCGCCAACAAGGAAGACCTCTTCTTGCCGGATGATGCGCGGCTGAACATTGTTTCGGGCATTGATCTTACCGCGCCACTCGAGACTGTCATACGCGAGCTGGGAAGGGTTGACGCGATCCGGACGGTGGATATTGTGTTCTTCTGCGGTACGACCATGGATCCCTGTGCATCTTTCAACTGATTTGCCATCTGTACTTCCCTTACGACGCAAGTTCCTCATGGACGCATCGCATCGCTGACGCTCTTGATCAAAACAGCCTACATCCAAACCCCCGACCACGCCTCCCTGCGCACCGTCAACACCGCCCTCCTACACACCGCCGTGTCCGCAATAACATCCCTCTCCCCAGAGCTGCAAACCATCATCCTCCAAACAGGCGGCAAGGGCTACGGCCTCGAGTTCCCCGACTCCGTCGCGATAACCCCACCACTGCACGAAGGCCTCCCACGCATCCCAGAGCCCTACGCGAGCAAGATCTTCTACTACACGCAGTACGACCTGCTTGCGGAGCTCGGCAAAGACGCAAAGTGGACGTTTTCGGAGATCCGGCCGGATGGAATCGTGGGCTTTGCGCCGGGGAGTAATGCGATGAATATGGCGCAGGGGATTGCGTTTTATCTATCGCTGTGGCGTGAGGTGTATGGGGCTGGTGCGGCGTGTCCGTTTCCTGGTCGGAGTAGGGGGTGGACTTCGACGCATTCCGATACGTTTCAGGATGTGCTCTCCAAGGCTGAGATTTATGTTGCGTTGAATCGGGACAAGTGTGGCGATGGGAGTGTGTTTAATGCCGCGGATGGGGAGACGGTTACTTGGGAGGGTGTCTGGCCACGGATCTGTGAGTGGTTTGGGCTTGAGGGCGTTGCGCCGCTGGAAGAGGGAGATAGTCAAAAGGAGACTATGGAGGCGTTTATCAGGAGACATGTGAAGGAGTGGCGTGCGCTTGTTGGCCGGTTCGGTTTGAGGGAGGGGATGCTGGAGAAGCAGAATTGGGGCCATACGCATTTTATGCTAGTTGACTTTGATTTTGATCGCGAGTACTCGCTTGAGAGGCTCAAGGGGGTTGGGTTTGATGGGTGGATTGATACAGTGAAGGGGTACAAGTTCGCCTTTGAGCGTATGGTTCAGGCACGGTTGATTCCAGGTCCTGCTTCATCTGCGTAGAGATGACTTTGAGTCGATGAAAGCTAGTTTCATATCGGTTTACAAATGAGCATGTATTTCGAGTGTTGACATTGACCACATAGAGCATCTCCGACGGTAAAACTTAAGGTTACTGAAGATCTTCGAGGCGTCACAAAATGTTCGATAAGATGGAGGGTTCAGATTGCATGCCATCCACACCTCTAGACCGAACATTGCATCCAAGGCTGAGTGCTCGCTTAGGACCATCCTGCTCCATCACACCTCACACCTTCCCACCCTCCACCCACTCACTCGAGCTCCCCTCCTTTTCCTGCTTATGAGGCTGCTCACCGAGATCCTCCAGCTCCACCTGTCCAATACCCAGGTTAGAGCCACCCATCTTCTCAAACAACTCATCAACCCCCTCCAACGACAACCCCGCCGTCTCAACATAAAACACCCAAACAACACCCACAAACACAAGGTTCAGCGCCGCATAGACAAGATAATACCGCCACGCAATTTGCTCAATAGCCACAGGCGTCGCGAGCACAACCGCATAGTTACAGATCCAATTCGTCGCCGTCGCAATCCCGGCGCCGCGATTCCTCCACTGCTGCGTGTTGACTTCCGCCGGATACATCCACGGGATAGCGATCCAGCTGAGACCGAAGATGGTAAAGAACGCAAAGACGAACGCGATGGCTACTTTTGACGAGGTTTCTGTCCCAGCCCCGAGTCCGCCCGCGACGAGCGCGAAGCAGATGCCCTGTCCCAGTGCGCCAAGCAGCATGAGTTTCTTGCGGCCGAGCGAGTCAATGACGGCTGCGCCGGCGCAGGTTGAGAAGAGGAGGTTCATGGCGTTGCAGCAGGAGAGGATGAGGGACATTGTGCGGGAGACGTGTAGTGAGGCGAAGGTGACGGGGAGGTAGTAGACGATCGCGTTGATGCCGCCCCACTGTTGCATGAACTGTGTGCCTGCGCCGAGGAAGACGCGGCGGCTTGTGTGTAGGCGGTCCTTTGTCAGGAGGGCGCGCCAGGTTAGGGTTGTGGAGAGCTCGAGTTCGTGGTGGACGGCTTGGACTGTTGCGTGGTGGAGAGCGGTGATTTCGGGGTCGTCCGGAGTACTACCCTTGTTGTGCAGGCGAGCGAGCACGATTCGGGCTTCGGCGTCGCGGTTGCGTTGGATGAGCCAGCGGGGGGAGTCGGGGAGCCAGGGGAGGGCGGAGGCTGCCAGGACAGCATAGAAAATCTGAAAGGCGAGCGGGAAGCGCCATGAGACGCTGTGGTGGTCTATGAAGCCCAGGCCAAAGTTCAGCCATTGTGCGGTGACATTGCCCACTTGGTTGAGGGCCAGTTGGAGGACGATCAGGCGGCCGCGGTGGCTGGGTTTGGACATCTCGGATTGCCAGACGGGGATGGCGGTGGTGTTGATGCCATTTCCCAACCCGGCAATGAAGCGCCCGATAATCATCTGAGCGGAGTGGTACGAGGCTGTTTGAAGCACGGCGCCCACTGTCAGGATGATACATCCCAGGGCGATAGACACACGCCGACCAAAGTGGTCACCCAGGGTCGTGCAGGCTATGGCGCCGAAGAAGCACCCCAGATCGTAGGTGGCTGTAATCTGCCCGATCATAACAGAGCTTGGATTGCTAAAGGTCTCTCTGAAACTCCGGTTCTCGATCAACCCCCCAAAGACTCCCTGATCGTAGCCAAAGAGAAGGAAGCCGCTGCCCGTGGCAAAGGTCACGGCGGCAACGAGCCGGTTCCCTTCGAGTGTTCCTAGGCCCATGGTTGCTTGATATGGAAAACAAGAACGTTTGATATGAGTTACAGTTTGAAGAACAAGGATAGAAGGTGGTTTTTATAGTTCCGCGGGTACCCCCTACCCCATGGGGTCGGGTGCTATCGATCTTGTGGTGGCTGTCTGAGCTCGGATCCATTGGGGTAGGCTCATGGGAAACAGACCTCGCCCCCGGAATCCATTGCGGGATTCGAGATCCGGAGCACTGCCATGTCAAATATCGTCATTGAACACACTCCCCTCCGTGTTAGCATATCCAGTCTTCTAGTCTTTCATCTGTCATCTTTTGCCCCCAAACATGTCTGAACCCGTCAATTCCCTCGTCAGCCTGGCTGATCGAGTCATCATTGTTACAGGTATAATGGCTTCACCAAACCAGTCTAACACTTTTCCAGGACTGCGAACAAAGCTAACATCACTGTAGGAGGGGGCCGCGGAATCGGCCTGGCTCTTGCTAGAGGATGTATTGAAGCGGGGGCTACTGTCGCCGTAACTGATATCCTTGCGACGCCTGACAAAGAGTTTATCTCTTGCCAAGCTGAGTCTTCGGGACGGTTATTGTACTACAGGTAAGAACCACAGTTGGTTAGACTGGGCGAACTTGCTCCTGACGTGTAGCAGCTGCGATGTTACAGACAAAGACCTACTCACAAAGGCCTTCGGGAGCATACTCCGAGACCTAAAGCGTATCGATGGGATGTGAGTGCCAGGTGCCAGTTGAAATAAACCTTGAGAGATTACCACTGACCTGGTCCACCACCAGCATCACCGCGGCCGGCATCTGTATTGACAAATCCTTCCTGGAGCATACCTGGGAAGATGTCCAGCGGCAGCAAGCCGTTAATGTATGTCTTCAATGGTCTCTGCCGACTAAGTCAGTACGCTGACCGCTGCAGGAAATGGGCACATTTTTCGCCGTTCAGCACGCTGTCCGATCTATGAAGGAACAAGGCATCAGAGGCAGCGTAGTCATGATCTGTTCCCAGACAGCACAGCATGTTTCCCCGGGCCACCAGCTCACTGGCTATGCGGGAAGCAAGGGCTTCGTGTTGTCCTTTGCTAGAAACCTAGCTCACGAGCTCGCGCCTGATGGGATTCGAGTCAATACAATTTCTCCCGGGTATAGTCTGCTGGTTAACCACCAATTTCGATCGATAGATTGACGAACTTAGGTATATTGCCACGACGATGAATCTGAGCATTGCCGCCCGACGCCCCGATTTGAACCGCATTTTCAACGAGGCACCACCTATGGGCCGCGTAGGGACACCAGAAGATCTGAAAGGGGCAGCACTGTTTCTGCTTGGTGATGGGTCTTCGTATGTAACTGGATTGGACCTTGTAGTCGATGGTGGAATGGGTGTCTCCTCGGGCAACTTCAAGTCAACTCTCTAAACGTCCGTGCTAGCAAGTTGAATTGCACATATACTATCTGATGATGCCTTCTACTTCCTCTCCCCCCGCTCATCAAACTCCACCTTCTTCCCACTGTTCAAGCTCTCCTGCAACGCCTCTGCAATCTTTAACCCGGTCAACGCCGCCTCAAGCTTCAGCGGCACCTCCCTCCCCTCTAGGATAGCGTCCGTAAACGCCTCCATCTCCGTAATAAACGCATCCTTGTACTGATCAATCCAGCTCGGAAACACCTCCTGCACAATCCCCTCCTTCCCAGAAACCTGCACCTTGTTCACAGTCGGCACCAACCCAATCGCAATCTTCCCATCTCGCCCCACAATCTCCGTACAGTTATCGTACCCGTGCACTGTCGTTCGGGAATGGTAATAGTGCGCAATGCGCCCGCCCCAGAATTCAACAACACCCACGGCGTTATCCGCGTCGCCCCACTCGTTCATCTCATGGTGGTGCGAGACGATCCCTGCCGCGTAACATGACTTGGGCTGGCTGTCGTCGCCGAAGAAGGAGAGTGTCAGGTCGATGTCGTGGATGACAGTGTCGAGGAAGATCCCGCCGCTGACCCGCGCGTACTCGATAAAGTACCCAGTCTTATCGAGCTTCTCGGTCCCCTGCGAGCGGATTATGAGCGGTTCGCCGATCACCCCAGCCTTGACTTTTGCCAGGGCGTCTGCGTAGTTTTTGTCGAAGCGGCGCACGAAGCCGACCATTAGCTTCGTTTCCGGTGATTTGGCTTTCTCAGCTATGATGCTTTTGAGCTGTGGATAATCAGTCAGATATTGCTCTTCTCGCAGCACTTTGCGGTGCTCTTTAGCCCAGAGAACATACCGCCTCAATATCCGTTGTAATCGGCTTCTCGCAAAGGACATGGATCCCCCTCTCGAGCGCCGCAAGGGTATGCGGGACATGCAGGTGCGTCGACGACGCGATGACCACAGCCTGTAATCCCGGCATCTTGATCATCTCGTCATAGTCCGCAAACACCTGCACGCCGTCTGGCTTGAGGTTCTCCATCGCCCATGCGATTTCATGCGGTGCGGGCGAGCACACGGCGATGAGACGGGCGCGGGGGACGCGGTGGTGTAAGTTCAGAGCGTGGCGCTGGCCCATGCGGCCGATGCCGACGACGGCGATGCTGAGTTTAGTGGACATGGTTGGTGCGTTGGGTTGAGGAGTACTTTTGGGCTGCGGCCGTCGCGTGAGGATCTGAGCGATTGAGGGGCCCTGAAATATGCTGGGTTTGAGAGGTGTAGACGTGGGGTGCGGACAACGGTTTCCGGTAGAGGGGGTTCTGAATCCCGGAGGAGTCCAATCCGCCATCTGCGAAGGGTTGACTCCTCGGTTGGAGGAGAACTGCTATAGTAGTCAGTCTGCCTCGGAATGATCCCAAACTGTGTTGCTTTTTGACGAGTCCAATATTCCCTCTCGATGCTTTTCAACGCGCAGGCCAGCCTTCTCACCCCGGTTAGCGGGAACATTAGGCAATTTCACCAATGTACTGTAAAGCCAACGAGCGTGTCTGGGTATAGCAATTCCTCGGTGAATTTTGGCCTGAGATACGTTTGCTCTAACCTATTGGACAACCCAGCGTTAGATTAGTTGTTACAGTACCTAGCTGGCCGTATGGAGAGGTCCGATATCGAATGTCTAGAGGCATTCATCAAGCCGAGTCTCCAGCCAGCAGTACATAGTGAGTCAGATTGAGCTGAGATAGGTATGAATCAAGCTATGGTCAAATGTGTCTCCTGTTTAGCAGCGGGAGGACTGAAACCTGAGCGAGAAAAGGGATCTTATTAGGGCTCAAGATAATATTCACACCCTGCTGTACGATAATAGAGCACTAAAAAAGCAACGCAACCTTCTCACGCAGACCAGCAAAACCAACCTTGACAGCATCTAGTAAACCACCTACAGTACCACCACTATCCCTCCTCACAATCCCAGCATAAACAACCCCCACGGCAACCAAACCCTTCCAAAGTCTCACATGCACCGCAACCCACCTCCTAACCGCATAGACCGGCCAGAGAACACTCCCCCCACTCCAACTAAACGCACTCCAATCCGGAAAATACGTCGCGAGCCAGAACCTGGCCGCCTTGGCCGGCCACGAGGCTGCGTTCCGGCCGTACTTGCCGATATACCAATTCGAGCAGTCGCCCGCGAACACGGTGCGCTGGAGCTGCGAGTGGATGTTGTTTGTGTGTTTTTCTTCCGCGGAGTGTTTCACCTCGACGGTGCGGGTGCGCCGGTCGAGGATCGGGATGAAGAGGGACTTCACGGCGTAGACGACTTGGGTTTCGCAGGCGAAGAGGGCCGAATTGTTTGCTGGGAAGGTATTTGGGCCGAAGCTGCGAATAGATCACGTTAGGCCAGGCGGCCTCTCCTCGGAGCCAACAGGGTAGGGAACCCCCGATACTGTGGGTGACTTACATGATAGCCATATTCGGAAAGTTATGCACATATGTCCCAAAATAAGCTTGCGCGCCACGAGACTCCTCCCACTGCTGGTTCAGGCTGATTCCGCGCTTCCCCTTGATTTCCATCGGGGCAAGGAACTGCGAGACCTGGAACCCTGTTGCGAGGACAATAATGTCAAATTGGTCTTCTTTGCCAGAGGCGCCGATGATGCCCTTTTCCGTAAACTCCTGGATCCCTTCGTTTCGAAGGACGACAGTGGACTTGTGCAGGCTGCCGAGGTAGCCTGGGTCGAAGATGCGGCGCTTGCAGCCTGTTATAGTCACATTAGCTTGCACATGCCTGGTAACTGAATGGAGGTGTTTTCTTGAAACGCACCAAGCGGGAAGTTGGGCACAATAAACGGCCAGTACTTCTCCGGCGTCATGCTCTGAATATACTCCCTCGACTCCTTCTCCGCTTCAAGACGCGCACGCACGCCGTCGGGAGTCGGGAAGTACGTGTCAGATTCATTTTCTGCCTTCATGAAGATCTGGAGACGCAGCCAGCGCTGCCAGAGTGGGAGCCAGCGGAATGCGAACTTTTCGGCGCGCGTGAAGACGTGGTTTGGCTGTGCGATGGTTGGTCAGAGTGAAGCTCAGCGCCAGTGAGGGCAATAGGTTAGAATTAATATACGGACTCTTGGATGATACCACTGTGCACTGCGAGCGTACTGCTGCACGAAGGCGGCCTTTTCGGCTAGGGCTGGGACAACCTGTGCGGCGCTACAGCCGTTTCCAATGACAGCCTGTACTTTCGAGTCAGCGTGTACTGTTCGTTCCTAGCCTTGCTACAAACAGTTGGGACAACATACGATCCGCTTGCCAGCATAATCAACCGAGTGATCCCACCGCGCCGTGTGGACAATCGGCCCCTTGAACCGCTCCATCCCCTTGAACTTGATCTCGCGCGGCAGCGAGATGGCCCCAACGGCCGAGACTAAGATGCTCGCGTATCGCACGAAATCGAGACCCGTCTGCAAATCGTGGAAGCGGACAGCCCATTTGTTGTCCTCGGCGAGCCATTCCGCACCGGTGCATTCGACGGATGTGATGACGTGTCGGCGGAGGTCGAATTTGTCGACTGTGTCTTCGATATCTGCTTGTCGTTAGAGAGGAGGAACGGGAAATGCATAGGTAGGTGAAGCATGGGTCAGTCAGAATGGGGGGTCTTGCATTGCAGGATCTCGGGTTGCTCGCAGAGCTCCTTGGACCAGTTGGGGTTAAGGTTGAAGCTGAAGGAGTAGAGATGCGAAGGGAGGTCGCAGCCGCTGAAAGCCTGTTAGATTGCGCTTCTTCTCGGGAATTTACCAAGGACTGCTTACCAGCCGGGGTACGTGTTCGATCTCCATGTGCCACCGACACCATCCAGTTTGTCGTATATCTAACTTGTCAGTCTCGCCACGTTCCATTTTGGTGGGAATACTCACGACGAAGTCATCAAATCCCAGCTCATGTCTCAGCCGATATGCCAGAGCGATTCCGCCGGGACCGGCGCCGATGATGATTGCGCTGGGAGAGTCCGAGGCCATGGTGCAGAGTATGATTCTCTGTGACAACGGGGAGAATTGCTGCGAATATACAAATGAGAACCAATACCGAGGTTTCTTAAAGCTCTTTCTACGCCTCCTACGGATACCCGTTCCCGGTAGTGTGCTGATTTACATTGGAGTTGGTGCTGTCATGCAATTCGCACCGGGATTCGTTTCGCGGGCCTGGTATCTCTGGGTCCCTTTTGCCCCCTTATTTCTAAGGCGAACCCAGGCCCCCAGGTCGGAGATATCTCCGTTGACGTTGCTCTCACCCTGCTACACCACTGTTACTCTTCATACGAACGGAATCATGTCGACACAATCCACGAGCAAGGGGCAGTACCTGCACGGCCCCAAGACCCTCATTCTCGAAGAACGCCCGCTCTCCGCACCAGCGCCCGACGAAGTCCAGATCGCCATCCGTTCGACGACCCTCTGCGGGTCAGACGTGCATTACTACACGTACAACCGAAATGGCTCGATCCAGGTCAAGGAACCGCTCTGCGGCGGACACGAGGCCGCGGGCGAGATCATCGCAGTAGGCTCGAACATAGCCGAGGCAAACGGCCTGCGCGTCGGCGACCATGTCGCGATCGAAAGCGGCGTCGCGTGCTCGGACTGCACCAAGTGCGCCAGGGGCCAATACAATGTATGCCCGAAACTCCGATTCCGAAGTAGCGGCGCCTCGTTCCCGCACTTCCAGGGGACGTTGCAGGAATACGTGAACCATCCCGCGAAGTGGTGTCATAAGCTACCCGAGTCACTCAGCTTCGACGACGGCGCGTTGCTTGAGCCACTTTCCGTGTGTATCCATGCGGTCCGCAAGGCGAGGATGGCCAAAGGCGATACGTGCTTGGTCTTTGGTGCGGGTGCCGTGGGTCTGCTTTCTGCTGCTGTGGCGAAGATCGAGTTTGGGAGTCAGGTCGTCATTGCGGATATTGATAGCGGCAGGGTTGGTTTTGCTGTTAAGCAGGGGTTTGCGGATGTTGGGTATGTCGTCACGCCGAAGACGGGGGAAACGGTCGAAGCGAAGTTCGCTATTGCCAGGGGGGTTGCGGAGGACATTGGAAAGCTTGAGTGGCCTGCTGGTGGCCAGGTTCGGAGATTTGATGCCGTCCTGGAGTGTACGGGGATCGAGTCGTGTGTACAGGCGTCTATCTATGTGAGCTTATTTCTCCGAATGTCTTCAAGCATTACTGATTTTGGTAAACAGGCTACAGACAGCGGCGGAAAGGTCGTCCTGATTGGCATGGGGACAGCCACTCAAACTTGGCCCATCTCAGAGCTCACCGGGCGTGAGATCGACATCGTCGCCGTATGGCGGTACGCCAACTGCTATCCACGGGCAATTGAGATCATGATGTCGATGGCTCGCGAGGGTCTTGTGCCAGATGCACGCAAGCTCATCACGCACCGCTTTGCTGGACTCGAGTCGATCCCGGAGGCGTATACTACGGCTGCGAAGACGAAAGATGAGAAGGGAAATTTGGTTATCAAAACCGTCGTAAATCTGTAGCTTAACTTTGTAGTCACAGGTGCTCTCTAATATAACTCTAAATAGAAGTTCTGAACTCAATCACTCTATCCGAATGCTAAGGGCAAGACTCATGGCCCGCAGATCTCTTCCGTCCTTCGGCATATAATAGCAGTGTATGCTAACCGTATGTTCGCTAGGGCCTGGCTGTGTCCCTGTTGGCTAAGGCCAAACCGAAAGGATACCCAAATCCGTGAATAAATGTTCCGCCAACAGCACCGAAGCAAACCCCACACCCGCGAAACCAATCCCGCCGTCTCGGCCTACGACTCTCGACACCCCGAGGTATATATCACCCGGAAGACTATGCAGCCACCCCAAATCTGCAATACTCTTGCGCTACCTTGGATTGCACATGCGTCAGCTATTACCATGTCTCCAACGACGCAGCCAACCCTAACTGACGACGCCTTCGCCGTGTTAACCCTCCGCAACCTGATCTTCGACATCTGCAACCAGAATGGCGGAGGTCACGGCGGATCCGCAATTGGGATGGCCGCCATTGGCGTCGCGCTCTGGAAGTACATTATGAGATACAACCCGTCGAACCCGGAGTGGTTTGATCGTGATCGGTTTGTTCTGTCGAATGGTGCGTAGCAACAGACTCCTCTTCCTATTACCTTCATCTATATCGGGAGGCCCCTTGCTAATTATGTCTTGTTCCTTCGTGGTTATCAGGCCACTGCGCCATGTTCCTCTACGCCATGAACCATCTTACGGGATATGATGCGTGGACGATGGATGAGCTCAAGGGCTACGCCGACGCGAAGCTAAACGGGTATACCACACTTGCCCACGGACACCCTGAGATCGAGTGTCCCGGCATCGAGGTTACAACGGGTCCCCTCGGCCAGGGAATAGCAAATGCCGTGGGTTTAGCGATTGCGTCCAAGAACCTAGGTGCAAGATTCAATGAGCCCGGTTTCGAGGTTGTGCAGTCTCGAATCTGGTGCATGACTGGCGACGGATGTTTGATGGAGGGTGTTGCGATGGAGGGTATGTTGTTGAACCCCTTTATTTGTCCCTTGACCTCGGGGAAAAGATGGCCTGCTGACTGGTATGCGTGTATAGCAATCTCCCTAGCCGGCCACCTCCACCTCGACAACCTCGTTCTCATCTACGATAACAATGCCGTGACGTGCGATGGCCCACTCAGCTGGATCAACGACGAGGATATCAATTCCAAGATGCGTGCGTCTGGCTGGGCTGTTCTGGATGTTCTCGACGGGTCCCATGATGTCCAGCCGATTCGCGCGGCGCTGGAACACGCGAAAAATCTCAAGAGGAAGCCTGTTTTTGTGAACATCAGGACAGTCATTGGAGTCGGCACTACAGTTCAAGGAACAGCCAAGGCTCACCATGGCGCATTCGATGTCGACAGCGTGGCTGCCTCGAAGAGGTTGGCGGGTCAGGATCCCAGTACTACTCATTCACCAGCGGAGCGGGGTTTGGCCTTCTTCAGAGAAAGAAAAACTCATGGCGAGGCAGTTGAGAAAGAATGGAGTCGCCTCGTCAAGGACTATGAGGCGCGATACCCCGAGAAGGCAGCTCAGTTTGCCCGACGTCGGGCCGGAGACCTCAACAGCAGCCAAATTACCGACCTCTTAACTGCCCTCAGCATCGACCAATTCAAAGACATGGCGACGCGCGAAGCCAACGGACTCGTCTTACAGAAACTATGGGAGAAGTGTCCTGCGCTCTGTGGTGGAGGGGCGGACCTAGTCACGTCGAACAAGTTCCTCTACTCCGAGACAGAAGTTTTCCTGCCGAGTGCGGGGTTCGAGGGTCGCTATATCCGGTACGGTATCCGTGAGCACGCGATGGCTGCCATCTCGAATGGGTTGGCGGCGTATGGCCCAGGCACGTTCTTGCCTGTTATCGCGACGTTTTTGATCTTTTATCTCTATGTGAGTGTTCTTTCCCGTCGATGAAATGGTGCCATCGGGGTCGCAGAGCGATTGGACTTGGGCTCTCGCTAACAGAACAAAACAGGCCGCCCCTGGCGTGCGGATGGGTGCCCTGAGCCACCTTCCCACAGTCCACATCGCGACGCACGACTCATTCGGTACGTACTACTCTCTTCATCTGTTTCACTCCTCCCTGCCACTATATACAAAGTCTCATAAACCCTCAAACCACAGCCGAAGGCCAAAACGGCCCCACCCACCAACCCGTCGAAATCGACAGCCTCTTCCGCGCAACCCCAAACCTCACGTACATCCGGCCCTGCAACGCCGAAGAAACAATCGGCGCCTGGATGTACGTTTTCAGCGATGCCGCACGCACGAGCCCCACGATGCTCTCGATTGCTCGGGACCCCGTCGGCCCTGTACCGAATACCGATCGGTTTGCTGTTGCCAAGGGGGCGTATGTGCTTGTTGAGCACGCTGATGCGGATTTGACCCTTGTGGGCTGTGGGAGCAGTTTGCATCATGTTGTTGCTGCCGCGAAGATGTTTGGTGCGGAAGAGGAGGGTGGGATCAAGTGTCGGGTTGTTAGCTGTCCAAGTTTTGGGCTATTTGATCAGCAGCCGAGGGAGTATCGCGAGAGTGTGTTTTTGCTTGATGGGAAGCCGATTGTTAGTGTCGAGGAGTATGTGGCGACTACGTGGGCAAGATACGTTACGGCCAGTGTGGGAATGACCTCGTATGGGTACTCCGCCTCCAATGAGAGCAACTACGACAGGTTCGGGCTTGATCCCAAGGGGATCGTTCGCCGGGTCAAGGCCTATTTGGCATTCCTGGGCGGGAGGAATGCAAGAAGTGCGGGATGGCAAAGCATTTAGAGCCAGGGCAAGGGATCTAATAGAGATAAAGCTGTCGTGACTAAATAAACGACCGTGGTATCCCCTCACTAAGCAGGATATTGCATAGATCGGGCTCAATAAAATCCACCGCGTACGCCGCATGCCCATCTGTTATCGCATCCAGTCCACCCCAAAGCCCTGTCTCCGGACTCTCAAACTGCGGATGCACCCCTTGGCCCAGCACCGAGTGCTCCGTAAGGTGCTGCACCGCATCAAGTTTCCTCTTCACCCCTCTCGCCGCGCGGCTCCTCCTCCTTGCCTGCCACTCGCGCTGCAAGGTATTCAGCAACGTACTCGTCCTCTTCGCACTCTCAAACTGGCTTCCCATCTCATCGAGTGCGCGAAAGCACGTGCTCAAATGCAGGAGGAGTTCCTGGTCCCCTCCAGCTCCCCGCTCCGTATGCCGCGATGAAGGGACGACAGCAAATATGAGTATGAGCGCTGCAGAGAAGATAAAGGAGACGATTTGGAAATTCGTGCGTCGGAAGGTGTAGTAACGTTCGTAGATCGTTAGGAGCTTCGCGATGCCGATCGCGGATTCGAGACACATGCTCCGCGCGTGGAAGTGGCCGGGGCCTTGCGGGGGCTGCGGTTGGATGTGGTGGCGTGAGATGTAGGGGCGGTGGCAGTGAATCATTAGTTGGTTGTATTGCATGCTTGGGCTAGAGTTAGTCTGCTGGCTGGAGAGAGCGTGCTCATTTTGATTTTGGCTGGAGTCCGCTTACTGCAGGGCCAGTATGTGTGGCAGGGGTTGTAAGAAGTCTGCGGTGTCGTAAATCTTGAGCTCTGGTGGGAGATTCTCTTTCCATCGCCTGAGGTTCTCGACAGTATTGGAAGTCAGCTCCTGCAGTCGGTGCTTGGAGATCTCGCAGTTGCCGTATCTATTCCTGTCAGCTACCTGTTCCCATTTACTGATTTTACCTGAAGGCTCACAAAACATCCGTTAACGGCAGCATAACCTCGTACAACGATACCCACTGGAAACAAACCAGGCCAAGTGGATTTGGCAGATTAGCCATGTTCTTGGACAGATATGGCGAGCCGTATTGCTGCCACTTCAACGGCGGAACGGGGCAATTCGGCATTCCACCGGGCTTGGGAACAGTGATGCCACCGGTTGTATTTCGTGTTGGGCGGCCCAGGTAGTAGCCCCAGAATCTACATTGTCAGTTGAACGTTTGTGTGGTCCATGGGTCCAAGATCAACGTACTGTTCACTCATATACGCAGCCCAGAAGGTAACCTGGCGTGCCTCCGCATCCTCGCCGAGGATCGTGCCTCGTTCCACATAGGGCGCCATGTCTAGGTGCAAGCCGAGGTCGAAGGCGAGTCGCATTGCCATGCCTGCTTGTGTTAGTTTCATATCTGTTGTCGGTATATGGTTTTCGGAGACGTACCGCTATACAACCACCCCCGTGTATCCCTTGTACACGACGCCTCGTAGGCGCTTAGTATGACCAGACACTGGATAGTAGCTAAGGAGGGAGTCTCCAGGTCAGATTCCACCAATAGTCTGGCTCGATCGCCGAAGAACTCGGCGAGGGAACGCGGGAAGGTTACAAGGTCCGGGTGGTATTTAGATTCGTAGGATGCACCGACAGCGCACCTACACGCAGGTATTAATTTGGCACTTTTAGCTGATGAAAAAAGTGGGGAAATCGGCTTACATTGCATCAGACAAAGCGCGCGAATAGTACGGTGTATCCACCCCCTCGTACATCTTCTGAGCCCTGGACCGCCAGAACACATCCTCGCTTACGGCATGCATGCAGGGGTCATGCCAGGTGAAGTAGAGTTGCAGTAAATGCTTCTCAAAAGGCTCATCCACATCGAGAGCCAGGCCCGCATTCTCGAGAGTCTCCTGGGTACCCCTGGTGATGGAAACGGGAGATGCCGGTGCCACTTCAACCAGCACGTCCAGCAAGGTGAAGTTCGATGTGGATCCAAAGTATCGTAGTTGGCCTCCATGTGTGACCTGCAGCTTTCCAAGGCGGCATGAGAGCTGGTTCGTCACTTCGTCTTCCTCTTCTTCGTCACTGGTCCCGACCAAGGGGGCAGCTTCATGCGGTGGTTCGACTGGGGGAGGATGTCGCCAGCCGGGATCAGCGAGTTCAAGAAGTGCAGAGGCAACATTTGGGGAGGAAATGTTGTTTTCGACAGGCGCGGTAGAGGCCGACATCCCGGTGTCCTGGGATATCGGCTGCGCTGCGTCCAATCCCAATGATACCGGTTCTAACATCTCACCAACATTGAGCGTCGGTTCGTGGATGGTTGGCTGCGGTGTCTGAAGCCCGATGACCCCGGTCTCGGGGAGCTCATGGGACTGAGACGCGAGAGCCGCTTCCAAGGCGTCGTAACTGGCATCTATCGCCGGCCGCGATGTCGCCTTCCCTGTCCCATTGATATCCTCAAATTTCAGCTCCACCGTCTCGAAGACATCTTTCATTGTCTTAAAGTCCCGCTCACCCATGGATGGAACGTCCAGTCCCTGCTCCTGGATATAGCGTGATAGCTGGTTGATGCGCTGGGCAAGAACGCCGATTGTGATGCGAAGTGGTATCCTCGAACCATCTTAGTAATTGGCCTCAAAACCTCCTCCATCATGACTGGGAGAGTCCAGAGTCACTACTCACTTCCGCTTATCATCGGTCGAGCGATATGTACATTTCTTCCCTTTGGATCTGCAGATCGTGCACGCGGGCGTAATCCCGTCGCACTTCACTTTACCCTCCCGGCAGGGGTTGCACGCCGTCGTGACATGCTTTCTGGGCGGCTTTGATGCTGTTGACTGTCGAGGCGTCATTTTGAAGCGACATTGCTGTCATCAGCTCCAGTTGCCTTTGTGCCTGATTGACTGCGATGGTCGAAAATTCGAGCGAGGGGTCCGGAATCCGAATTCCGGGATATTCACGTGACGCCTCCCCACAAATTCTCGGAGGGGGTTCTGGGGGTATCTTCAGTAAGGGGTTGAGCTTTGAACGGGAATTGGCTGTTGCATTCGGATACTGTCGCGTCGATGGTTTCATGAACATGAGGCCTCTGAAGATTCGTACACGTCAAACTGGCTGGGCGCACAATGTTCGTCTTCCAGACTGTTTCTTTAGCAATATATGTCGCTGGCACACCACAAAAATTCCGTAGCATATTCGAAGGGTTTTTACGTCATGAACCACCAAGACATTCTATAAGTCTCACTGGTGCTGTTGGGTAGGTAGATATATCTTTGAAGCAAGCCTCGGGCCTACTGAGGTACTAAGGTAGGGTAATTCGTAGCAGCTGTTGTCTGTCCGCAAATACTCCGTATGGGGCGATGTTATGTTACGGAGCAAAGAGACCCTTCGTTCGAGTCCACAGACCGATTTGACTTAGAATGGCACCTTACCTATTCGAGGATTAATAGCTGTCTAATATCATCCCGAGGTTAATGTCAACCGTGCAAGCCCTTACCTAATGCAATCTCAATTGCCCTTCACATGTAACGTACCTAGGCCAACGACGTCCCAGTAAGCACTAACCAACCAACCTGTCTCCGAGAGCCAAGATCGTTAAGAGATGTTGCCAACACGCTCTCCTCTCTCGGCGAGTGGGGAGATTAAACCCTGGGAACTGCCCCTCGATTGGCTGACAATTCGAGGAATCGCCCGGCCGTTCCCCGCACCGCGCATGGGGCTCCAAGTTGAGGGGGCTGTGCTCGTGTTAGGCAATTAGTCGCGTCGGATGTTCCAGAACGTCATAAGAGCAGAAGACCCTTTCTCAACCTGCGACGTCTGGTGCGGTGGTGCTCAGAAACCCGTCTGTCTGCATTCACCCTTCTCGCCCAGCCCTACGACGGGAATCTCCGGTTCATTTCGATCTGAATCTGAAACGGCCGTCTAATTGGCGATCGAGGATTCGCTCGAGCCACCATGCGCTGGGAGGCTCTGCGGTCGGTCGGTGGGGTTGCCCTGGGGCTCCTGCTCCAAGGGCGGCCGGCCACATCAGACATCCCCATTGATATCACATCAACTGGTATGCAACCGTTTCCAACTATGAATTACATCTCGTTATGCCACCCTGCGATGGCCAATTGGCGCCACGTTTACCTACCCCCATCACAATATCATTCTGTGTGCTAATCTCGAAACTGCAGACTCACTAAAATCCGCCGGAAAAGTCATCGCCGCCCCAATGATGGAATTCTATGCACAAAATCAAACGGAAGGAATTCCGGGGAAACTCACCGACACGTGGTACATCGCCGGCGCGATGTTCATGACGCTTATACAATATTGGCACTCGTCAGGCGATGGTCAATATAATTCCATTGTATCGCACGACCTCATGTTTCAGGCGGGGGATAATTTTGATTTTTTCGATTCGAATTATAGTCAGTGGTTGGTGGGTTTCCCATTCCCCTCCGCCCTGTATGAGGAGAGAGGGAACTGGTTGATGGAAGGGATGGCATGCTGATCCGGCTTGCAACAGGGCAACGACGACCAAATGTTCTGGGGTCTCGCAGCAATAACAGCATCCGAAACCGGGTTCCCCGAGATCGCAGGAAAGCCCACATGGACATCCCTCGCGCGAGCCGTCTTCAATATGCAGATCAACCGCTGGGACACGAGTTCGTGCGACGGGGGCATAAACTGGCAGATCCACCTGTGGCAAGAGGGGAACACACTGCGGAACGCGATCTCCAACGGCGGACTGTTCCAACTCGCAGCTCGATTAGGCCACTTCACGAAAAACGAGACGTACTTCAAGTCCGCCGAGCAGATCTGGGACTGGTCGGTTGATTCGCCGCTCATTCAGCCGGGCCAGGATTGGCTTGTTGCGGACTCGACGTCGGGGGATAATAATTGTGCGGATAGCGATCATATGCAGTGGACGTATAACTACGGGTCGTACCTTGCTGGCTGCGCGTTTATGTACAATTCGGTGAGAGGCCCAGATTGAGCCTTGATATTTCCTTGTTTAAGGCCTTGACATGCTAACGGGAGCTTAAGACCGGCGAAGAAAAATGGCTCAACGCCACAACAGGACTCCTTGGCCGGCTGGAGAAGCAGTTTTTCCCCGAGGAGTATGGAGGGAATGTCATCTCCGAGGTCTCCTGCGAGAAACTTCATACTTGCAATCGGAATATGCTCTGCTTCAAGGGGTGGACCACCATGTGGATGGCGTATACGGCGATCCTTGTCCCACAGACGCGGGAGTCCATTATGGCGAAACTTCAGGGATCTGCCCAGGCTATCGGCCGCCAGTGTGATGGAGATGGAAGTGAGAATCTTTGTGGATTGCGCTGGTACCAAGACACCTTCGATGGGATCAGGGGCCTGGAGGTGCAGATGGCTGCCCTTGGCGGCATCACGGCTAACCTGATGCTCATGACTGGTACAACAACGCTGACGATCGACACGAATCCCAGCGCGGAGGAACATCACCTGGAAACGTCGAGCGATGACGACATTGGACCGGATGCACTACCGGTTATTACTACGGGGGACCGTGTGGGTGCCTGGATCCTGACGGGGAGTTGGAGTCTGGGGATTGCTGCGGCGGCGTGGTGGTTGATTAAACAAGATTAGCTATTCGTCGGTGGGGTCTGCTCTGAGCAGCACGTATACGACCATGAAAATGCATATTCCATATCTACTACCAGCCAGTAAGGTACCCACGAACATCGCTCTAAATTCTAAGCATACATATACTGCGGATCGCTCCTTGTGGAGTGCATCATACTGGTGCGGCCGGACGTGGAAGAAAGTTCAAAAGGGCCCCTGGGGGTGAACCTCGGTTCAAGGGGAGCTTCCACCAGGACTCGGCGGGCTACTAGTCAAGTAAAGTGAGTCAAGTCTCTGTCCCTTAGGCGAGATCCCTTAGACGAGAACCACTATATCGTCGTCGACCCTTTGTTCTCGCACGTATTCGCTCCTTAGCAGCGCTCTCTCGCGGTCTTTCGACTACAAGATTGTCAAGGCTTCTCCTGCCCGACGGGTTTCGATCTCTTTCTTCCGACCCTGTGAGCGCCGCCAGCTTCAAGGAGGTCTTCATCTCGCTACTTTTCTCAATAACATGATCAATCTGCTCTCTGGAAAGAGCCAGATGGATTATAGTCACGTCACCCTAAATCCCGTTAGTATCACGATAAACAATATGGATATTCTGGGCCATACGTCTTCTTCGTAAGGATAGCCGAGTTCGCGGATTGCACGAGAGTGCACAAGCCTCCTGGGAAATCGGGTCTTGCCTCTACGAGGATATTGCTTGGGTGCTACCACAGGCTCCTCCTTCTCAGCTTCCCGTCGTTCGAGTCGCATGGCTTGGTCGTTTTCTTGGCGGTCCTTTTTGGGTACGTGGGGGAGATGCGTATCGATCCACACTATTTCCGCCTCCGGGTCCTTGATGACCATCTGACGACTTCTCTCAACGAGAGCTACAACCTGCTCCTGGGAAAGCGCTTTCTCGATGATAAAAAAGTCACCCTGAAAACTATTAGTCCCATCAGACACAGAATGGACATGGCGGGTTATACCTCTTTTCTGTATGGGTAACCCGCTTCGCGGATAGCCCTGGTATTCACGAGCCTCAGCGGCACTTGGGTGTTCCCTCTCCGGGGATATGGCTTTATCTCCACTCCAATCTCCTCATATTCGTGTTCCCGCGGTTGAACTAGGACCCCATCAGCCAAATCTCGACGACCCCCCAGGAGGAAGGGAGGAGGGCTACTTATAACGACGGGGCCGGGGCGGAAGCCACGATGTTCCTCAAAGGGAACAACCTCGTGTGAGGGACGTCGATCAAATGTATCAAGCGAGGATTGGCGTCGTATCAACCTAGGTAGAGGAGGAGGAGGGGACGGCTCTCCATAGCGGTGCTCATGGTGAAAGTCTCTGTTGCGCCAGCGAGGTGGAATGGGATAGCGATCCGATTCTTCGTCGAGGTCGCTCCGCTGGTACCTTGTAGATAAGTCTCTTTGGGGAACATGGGGGTCAAAATCTGCGAGTGCTGATGACTGATCGTAGTCGAGGTCGATGACATTCGGTTCATTATCATCCACATCATTTTTCACCTCGGACATGTCTGCGTCGAAACTAAGCCCCGCATCTAGCGGACTCTGTCCTTGGGTCTGAAGTTCCTCGAGTGACCGAGGCGGACTAGTCAGGGAAGGTAATCGCAGCTCCTGTCGCACATCCCGCCACAGAGACTTGAAGAACTCCATATCACCCTCGGGAAGGGATCCGTCCACAGGCGTGTACTCTTCGTCTGGGGTGGAATTATTGTCATCGTCGGGGCTCGGGAAATCCTGCTGCAGGCGCTCTTCAAGTGACCCTCCGCGTCCTCCAAAATACAAAGCTGCCTTACCCATGACCGCGTACTGGGGGCGGCGCGATCTAGATCTACCCTGTATTAAATATCCACCTGCGTTGCCCATCTTCATGTACGGCGCCCGTTGTGACCTAGATCGACGCTGTCCAATAAACCCACCCGCGATTCGCATCACTGCGGACTGGGGCCGCCGGGTCCGTTTGGGAGCCGGCGGGAAGCCCAGCTGGCTGTAGAGTAAAGAGTACCCGCCAGAGGAAGACTGCGAGTCGATAGATTCGCCATCCATCTGCCACGAAACCGATATGTGTGCCAGTGACAGCATGTGTTCTGCAACGTGGCTCATCATCCCGTCGGCGGGTATAGTGGCGGTCAGATCAGTTGGGCAGAAGGGGCAGGTCGTTAGCAAATTGTGCGGTGCCAGTTGCTGGTGGCTGGCGTCGGCAATCTCATCCAACTCGTCGTCGGCAAATTCCCCGGTATGGCAGGTATACATATGGTCTTTAAAGGCCGACTCGGCTTCGAAGATCAGGGTCGTGTCATGACTCTGGTCCATACACGTCCAGCCAGTGACCATATGGCGGTCTCTCATATGCTTAAGCCAGTCTCGGCCCGATTCGAAGAGCGTATTTGTTGTTGGGCAGTCGTCGAAGGTACAGAAGTAAGGCATGATATCTTGAATGACATGTTTTCTTGGGATATTAGTACGTGGCGGCCGTCAGCGGGCTGGATACTCACTTCCACCTTTCCCCGGAGAATTCCAAAGATGAGCAGACCATATAACAAAAGGGACATTCATACTCCATCGCACCTGGCGGTACCTTCGGCGGGAGTGGCAAATCTTCCTGACTGCATTCGACGTCCTCGTGCTCGGCGCTGACGGCAGACTTTAATGATCTCACGGCCCTCACTCGTTCAGGTCGTGCCGTCGTCGCTGTCATTACGGTAGGGAGTGTTACTCGCTCTTTCTCTCCCGCTGGGCTTGCGGGCGACGAAATGGATCCCCTCACGCTGAATGTGGCTCCCAACGAGGATCTTGGCTGTGCCGGCGCCGGTTTTATGGGAGTTGGCCGTACTGTGGGCTTCTCCCATTTGGCCCGGAGGTAGGCAAAATGTTGCTGGCGGAGACATATGGTATTGACGACTCGTGCTTGAAGTACCTGGCTAGCGGGGGAGTGTCTCAGACGATACTCAATGAGCCTTTCGACCCCTTTGCGAAACTCGTCTGTCAGGTTGACACCATTTTCATCGAATTCGATATACGACTCTATCTTGACAAATCTGCGGAGGATTCCCGACCGGCGAACCGCTCGGGAAAGTCGAAAGAGCTCTTCTAGAGTGTCGCTCACAAGAGTGCTTGGGTTGGCCTCATCCGGAATTGCAGGATTCTTAATCATGGAGGTACATCCTGCCGGGTTTGTTAGCGTTGTCCTCTACAAAAAGTTGGAAGCCCGGGGTTGTACGGATAAGACTGCTCTGTAGGTCATCCAACAGCTCGCACATGGAGGATTCAAGAAGGGGAGCATTTCGTAGCCTCCAGTCCATGGACGCCCTTGTGGGAGCGAAGACGAAGTTGTTTGCTGACCACAGATTGAATCGAAACATCTGGTTCTCCCACTCCAGCCGGGCATCCTCGGTCGGGGTCAGCTGTAACATCCCCTCCAACCCCAGGGCACACTGTGCGGCCCTTTGAGCAATGGCCATAACTGAGATGTAAAAGGTCTGGCCTAGAGATTTGGTTTGACCTCCCAGGCATCACTTTGCCCCAAAACGAAAGACTCCAATGTCAGACGCGATCGAAGCCGGCAGGTGGTGATGGCAAAGCGCCAGCCTGCCTACACAACGATGGATTATTGGCTCGCATCATGCAGCTGAGGAGGGGTAAATCTCGTGACTGTCAGCAGTCCACTTCCTCCCAGCTGAGATCCTCCCATACCGCGATCATCGTTCTGATCGATATCGAAGAGCAGATGCAGCTCCAATACTTGATCACCAGTCCGGATGGGACGCAGCATCTGGACCTTGTGGAGGTTGTCGCTGACGTCTCGGTCGCGATTCGCGCGGCTCTGAAGAAATCACCGCCACTCTACCGGGGCCTGGGTCCATCACTTGCCTCTCTAGTGGTTGAGATAGGGAGCCTCGATTTTGACCAGCAGTCCGCTACAGCTAGAAAACTACGGCAACAGTTGGTGGCGGTTGCCGACTCTTTGGATGCCGCCCTCCACAGCGACAATGTCCGCGCAAAGTATCACCAGCTCACAGGCAGCAAGACGAAGTCCGGCCTCCGATTTTCGCTCTTCCAATCGTGGATGGCCAACCCACAGAATGAGTCGTATGCGGACAAGTGGAAAGATTTCCCATATCCAACTCTCGGAATGCTAAGCGAACTGGTAGAAAGCCAGGCTCGTGAAGGATTTCACCTAGGAGACATTTTGAGTGACGACCGAGTGGTGATTGATCGACTGAAGAAACAGGTCAAAGACTGGAATAGGCTTGTGGACTTAGTGTACGATGGCGGTCTGGATGAAAATGCAGATAACGCTACCGACCACAACGAACTGACGTCGTTTGTCAAGGAATCCGCATTTTGGGGCGAAGACAGCATCCGGCGCCTTTCCTGCACCTTGCACGACGTGCTGCACTACAACTGGCCTTGCCCTGTTGAGGACCACGAGCATAACGGGTTGCTAGGGCACTGCAGCAGTGCGAAGCTTCGGTTGGACCCCGGGTGGAGCTGCCGGGGCCTGGATCCGAGGGACGCCAGCTTTTTTGTTCTGTTAACAGGGTCTGAGATTATGCAGGAGTGTCGAGTCTGTCTTGGTTCTCCGTGGTATTGCCCCTTCCCCGGCTCGTCTGTAGCAGAGCGACTGATTCATGTAGTACCGTCGGCGAAACAGGCACGCTCGTCTGCCAGGTCAACCACGAAGACTCGCGACTCATGTGCCTACAGCTAGCGAAAGACGAGAACAACGTATTGTGGCCGCTGCCGCTTGGACAGCCTCCGGAAGCTCTTCAACCGGATGAGAGATATATCGAGCAGAGCTTGGGGACCCTGCTTGATGTTGTCAAGCCAACCTATGCGGCGAAAAGGGTGTTGGGTGTGATCCTTGCACGGTCGTTCTTGCATCTGCTGGGCGGCCCGTGGATCCCTCGCTCGTTTTGCATCGATGACATCTCGCTGTTCTGCCATCTCAAGGGGGACAAGCCGTACCCCATGTTTGACAGGGTCTTCTTGTCGACAAACTTTGCGACATTTCACCGGTCGGGGGTAGAAGTCAAGCAGCAGCGCAGTTCGTTCAGCGTTCATCCATTTCCGCCGATCCTCGCGCTGGGGATCATCTTGACAGAGATTGAACTAGGGGACGATCTCACCCAGCTGTACAGTGACCCAGCCGTGGCGAGGTTGAAGAGCCGGCCTTACGAGCTCGCAAAGTGCCTCCTGCGCGAATGTCAGCGGGGATTCCACGAGTCGGGACTGCTTCGAGCTGTCAAATTCTGCATTGAACGCGAATCGTTTCTTCGTTTCGCAAACACCAGTATCGACGCACTGTTCTCGAACCAAGAGTTTGTCAATGCCTTTTATCGGGGTGCTGTCCGACCGCTGGAACAGGACCTGGTAGCGGGCGCGAAGTGGACGTGGGAGGAGGTCAAGTGGTTGGAGCGGGCAAAGTTTGACGACGAAGGAGTGTGCAGAATCATCACCGACTCGCCGGCAAAGACTCGGAAGGGGACATTGCTTAATGGTGATCAACGGCAGGAGCGACCAACTGCAGGCGTGGCTCCCCACTCACAGGGCTTGTCGAGGCTGACATCGCTTGCCGAGCATGATTCACCTCCTGCCCTCGCGTTTGAACCGCCATGTTTACCCTCTTCTTGCGTTCAGCCCCTGACCAGCTGGAATAAATGCACAGAATCTGCCCCTCTGCTCTCTGAAACGCCACCTTTACCGTCCAGCAAGGATGACTTTGAGGTAGCCATCATATGCGCCCTGCCCCTTGAAGCAAACGCCGTCCTCTCTCTCTTCGATCATTTATGGGATACGGACTCGCCGCTCACCGGCCGAGACGCAGCTGATCCCAATTCCTACTCAATGGGGGTAATGGAAGGTAGGAACGTTGTCCTCGCACATCAGCCCGGTATGGGCAAGGCTACAGCAGCCAGTGTTGCATCCTTTTGCGCAGCGAGTTTCAGAAACGTAAAGCTTGCGCTTCTCGTTGGTGTGTGCGGAGGCATCCCGTTGAAGAAGCCCAAGACCGAGATTCTCCTAGGGGACGTCATCATCAGCAGGGCTGTCATGCAGTACGACTTTGGCCGACAGTTTTCCGATAAATTTCGACGAAAAATCGACATTGAGAATTCCCTCGGTCGGCCCAATGCACGGATAGCGTCCCTACTTGCGAAACTGGAAACGCAGGTCCATCGGCGGAAGCTCCAGGAGAAAATCAGCCAGCATCTGTCGGGCATCGATCATCTTGTCCGTTATCCTGGGGAACGGGAAGATACGCTCTTCCCCCCGGCTTACCGACACAAACACCAACACTTCGCATCCTGTGAGACCTGCGCGAACTGCACCACCCCTACCGCTTCCACTTGCGATGCTGCTCTAGAGTCAACCTGCGCCGACCTAGGCTGTGACGATGCACAACTTGTCCAGCGCACCCGACAAAACAAGAGGCACGCCCCGTCCGTTCACATTGGCGTCATCGCTTCCGGCGATAGTGTCATCAAATCTGGGATCCATCGCGATGCGATCAGCAAGGAAACAGGCGTGATAGGATTTGAGATGGAAGGGGCTGGAGTGTGGGATACCATCCCCTGTGTCATCATCAAAGGCGTCTGTGACTACGCCGACAGTCACAAGAACAAGCTATGGCAGGACTATGCTGCCGCAACAGCTGCTGCCTGTGCCAAAGCTTTTGTACGCCAGTGGTAGATTGGTCTCTTCCATACATATATTTGCTAGAGACGATAAAGGGTCGCCCCGCTCCCTCCGAACCCCCACCGGCCGAGGCAAAGTTTAGCGTATGAGTTGAATGGATATACTCATTGTATCCGTTATTTGTTACAGGTCAAGTTCATCTAAACACCTGAAAGACACTTGAATGGGCGGCTATTGTCAACACTTCTTTGATGCTTGACCATCGGATCCTTTCCACCGTACGCTGCAGGTTTCCTATGGCGTTTGCTGTCGGTGGTCTTTGTCCGGGCTATTGACTATTTAAGCCAATTCGGATGCCCTCGACCTTAAGGTTGGCTGTTTTGAGCAATTAATCCATTTCCTCAATCTCTTGATAATCTCGCAATGGGGTTGGCAGACTTACGCAACTTCATGCCCGTCCGACATGGGGCCAGGCGCTCCTCTACAACCCACCCAGTTCGCTCACACAAAAGTCTCGGTGACTCTCCGACCTCAATTCTCAATCTCCCACCGGAGCTCATTGAAGTAATTGCGCGGGCTCTCCCCCTACCCGCCTTGAAAAGTCTCCGGCTAACATGCGGATACTTGTACAGTGCAACGCAGTCGCTTTATATCGGAAAGGGTTTTGAAATTGTGCCCACAGACCTTGGACAGGACAGCTTGAGCCATCTGAGCATGGCCTCCAATAACTCTGACCTGGCGCCGAGAATCACAAAGCTAATCGTCGAAGCGAAAACCGGATCATGCAGTGAACACCCATTTGGCGGCCGGGTAACGCCCTTCGGCTCGGGGCTCTCGTGGCCTCGCGATGGACCCGTCGCCGCATCAAGCTCTCAGAAACAGTGGTGATGTGCTTCGGCGTCTACCCAACTGCACTCAGCTCGTTATAACTGCCAAGAACTGTGACATGTATCTGGAGGCCTGGCGAGATGCTGAAGTTGACGGACTTGCCCTCGACCCCACAATTGAGCTGGTCCTGTTTCTCGTTGCCAGCGCGCGGATGCCCCTGCGCCATTTTAACATGTGGCTCTGCACGAAGTGGCAGGAACCGGACGACTGTACGGACATTGACTAGAGGCTGATCAACACATCTGTTCTCCAGACAGACTAGTTCGAGGCTGCGTGTGCCGGCCTTCAGTCGTTTACATTTGGTCGCCTCATGGATGAGCGTGGAATCAAATGCGTGAACATAGCCATTCCAGTGCTCAAGGCTGCAACCAATCTACGATGCTTAACGCTATACCTCAACGAAGGGTCCCAGTCGCTCGCCTTCTTCAACCACCTCCTGTCCGCAGACCTCAAGTGCCGTCTTGAAGAAATAAGAATTGAGGCTTCCCCACCGGGCTCTGGGGAGTCCCTGAGAAAGTCTCTGGCTCAGTACGAGGGCACCCTCAAACAGCTACGCCTGCGTGGCATTTCCTTAAAAAAGGGAGGTTGGATCCAGCTCCTAGACCATCTTCGCCTTGACTTCAAATCACTGAAGCACATTGGGCTCGACAGGTGTATGCAGGATGCGACCCAAAGATATCTCCATTTCAAGGAGATCACAGGACGTACGAGAGAACTGAAAGGGTCATGGTATCACGATCGACCCGTATGGAGAGACGCGCGACCATCACGTATTTATTACGAGGGGCCACATATGGCTAAGGCGTTGAAGGTATTGACGGAAGAAGCCAGGTGGGAGGCAGGAGTGGCGGGCAGCACAATGGATCTTGGCCGCGCGCCATATGGACTTGCAGGTGATTGGGGGCGATGTCTGTAGGACAGACCCTCAATCCTAATACAACGACTGTAACCTTCGTCCTCGAAAATCTGTCCTTGATTGTCCGTGTACAAGTTGCAAGTGAAAATACGATAGGTATATCGTATTAGACCAAGAAAGAATATGTCCTAGGTAAACTAGCCTCATTCCGATTATCTCTACTACACTGTACATATCTGACTAGTAGACCTGATTCATCCCCTCACCAGCACAGTCAATGTAAAGCTGCTACTAATATCCAACCACCGCATTGGCTCAAGCGCCGGGCTCAGGCCATATTGCGCGTAGATTAGAAATATTTTCCTGCACCAAAACTAAGTATTCATTTCTGTATAGCTGCGACAAGCCTCCATATCTGAACCACGAGATGAAGATGGAGGCTGTAAGGAGAAGTCGCCAATATTCTTGGGGAGCCGAGTGGCGGCGATATTCATAGGAATGGCGCAGGGTTCTCTTCTTGCTTTGACGGCAACACCTAGTCGTACTACAAATATCAGAGAAGGGCACCTTTCTGTCTTTTCGACGGCTGTGCCGAGGTGTATCTCCCCAGCTGTGGAGCCGAGTTGGGCGTTTCGTCTACTGGTTTGATTGCAGATCAAGTCGCCGAGTGTTTGGGAGCGATATCTATTTTCCTTACACTTCAATTATGCGAAACCTCCACTCCTATGCTCACTCACCCTTTCCATCTAGAAACACCCCAGATTATGACTCCTCTCAAACTCCACGGTCAATCATGCACACACGTACTGAACACCTCAACACCGCAACACCACCAGCTGCCGCTTCCCGTGGTCTTGAATTCCTGTCGTATACCACCTAATGCTGGAACTCACAAATCCGCGGCTCCGAACTGCGCGCCGCAAGTCTCGCATCCCGCGCCACGATGTGGTCTCGCTCAGTCACGCAGCCCGCATCGGGACCCACGCAGACGATATGACTATACCCAATCAGCAGGTGTTCATTCCCCATCCAAATGCACAATAAAAGATAACCGAGAGGCTGAAAATGAAACCACAAAACACAATAAAGGGGCGGGCGGTTTCATACTCATCCTCAAACAACCGGTCGCAGGCGCCGCCGGGGCACAGCTCATCACGCATAACCTCCTGCACGTTCACGAACTGGTTGTAGATATCTTCGTAGTTGGGCACGAGACCCGCGATGCCACCAGGGACGATCTTGTCGTATGCGGCGACGACGACTTCCTGCGCGAAGTTTTCGGCGTTGTCTAGATGGCGAACCAGGTTAGTATTTCGCTCTGCTGCCTCTGGGTTATCCGCCAGGGAGAGAGGAGGGAGGAGGTAAGTACTAGTCTTGGCGTATGCATCACAGATATAGTCATCCTCGTCGTAGTCAGTAAGCCATGCGTCGGATGCTGCCTCTCTGTTAGCGGAACTGGATATTTTGCGTCTGGGATGGATGCGTGCGTACCCGAGTAATCTCCAGCGGAGGCATTCACGTTGGCGTCGCGGATGTGGCCGATCTCGTGGAACCAGAAGCGGATGTAGGGGTACATGTCGCCGGTGAAAACAATGTCGCCGAGGTCAGAGCTATTCTTGTTAGATTGCTGTACGAACGGTAATACTCTGGAGGCGGCGGGGTGAAGACTTACAAAGCATAGGCCAAAAGCTGCCCCGCGCCGCGTTCGGGGAACGCTATAGAGTTGGTCAAGTCAGCCTCGATGACCCTCTTTACTAACAAAGATGTTTACAACGTACCGAGCTGCACCCGAACAAGGCTCCTCAACCGCACAGGGAGACGCCCGAAGTTGTCAATCATTTTCTCAATCGACATGGGCGCGTCCTTGTGGCGACAAATCACCCAGGGCCTGTCGCAGTCCTCGTAGAAGACGTTGTAGACCTCCATGTCGTAGGGGCTCTTGTTTTCCCAGGATTCGGCGACGTCGTGGCAGCGTGCCGGGAGCCCTGTATTGGTTCTGTTAGACGTGTCTTTCTAGGTGGGTTTCGACGGGTAATGCTTACAGCCATATTCCCACGCTTCGTAAGTTGAGGGGGTGGACTTGAGATGGTTGTAAAGGTTGGTGTCCATCTGGTCGAAGGGGACGGCGGGGTCCATGATGGGCTTGTCAAGTTCCGCGAGGACTCCTGTGCCCTGGAGAGACAGGGATAGGGCGAGCGCCGTCCATACTGTTCGTGCTGCGATGTTGCGCATGTTGATTAGTGACGGTTGAAAAGACGAAAGAGAAGATGTTGGGATCTACAGGGGAAAAAAAAAAGGCTGCGATCGGCCCTTATATAGGCGCTGCCAGGTTCTGCAGCCTGGGTGGATCCTGCAGCTGAAGCGCCAGGATTTACGGAGTAAAGCGTTCTTGAAATTAAGGGACTGCAAGAGTGGCATTTTTGGCCCCCATTGCTGCTCAGCCTACCTAATATTCCATCTTTGCTTGCCCCGGGAGTCATTGGGGCTCGCAGGTGATACCCTATGCAATTCATGGACTATCATGACTGATGATGAATTATTTGCATAATATTATTCTCTGCAGAGCAACAAAAGAGAGCTCCTGGTGCTCTAAGAGTCCGGGGAAAGTCGAAACAAGCACAGCCCTGCTCATGACAAGAGGTCGGCTTGGCTGATCTTGGCAGGCGTATCATCTCCAGCTCCACGGTTCAGCCCCAGACGTCTAGCGGGTGCTAACTAGCGGGAAAGGGCCGATTCTCTTCGGTGGGGGCGCCGCATAAAAAAACAAGGGGTGAAGACAAAAGCTTGAGAACCCAGGATCGTCGAGGCCGAGTGTCGCATCCGCCGTCTTCCACGTGCCATGAGGGATCATGTTTCGGGTTGACATGATTGAGCCATCACTGCTATTCTGGGACCAGGGGATATGCTGGGAATTTCGATTCAGGCCACCCGCGAGTCAGGCATATCTTGCATGACTGGGCGCCTAAGAGGTCCACCAATGGTGTTCCAGATCGTTTAATATGCGATATCCACTTTCACAGGGCTTGGACCCCAGATATAGATTGCGAGGCGTGCAGCTCCCCTGTAGAGTCAAGTACTGTTGGAGCTGTTTAGGCGCTGGCTTGGTTGTGAACAAAGTCGATCAGGTTCCTCAGAAGAGCTGTTGCAAGCTTTGTTTATAGTCGCTGGTCCTCGAGACAAATCCGGCCCTTTTGTCGCTGGTGTGTTGTTTTATGGACCATAGATCTATTACCTCTCCAAGCCCGGTAGGCATATGTCTCCCTGAGTAGCAGACCGTCTTGAGGATCCGTGGCTAACAATCGATCAGTGCATTTATAACCATCCTTGCTGGCTATATATCTAGTTTCCCGCTCCTGAATTGCTATTTTGATCCAGCTGCAGCTTTATCGCCCCAGCGCACAGGGCTGGTAACTTCTGATTGGGCCAGGATTATTAACACTAATGGCATCACTACCTGGTAGCAAGTCTGATAAAGGGTATGAAATTCTAGAGAATATGTGGTTAGTGAGATAATGTTTCGCTTGCGGTGCAAAATTAAGAGTAGGCCCCAAACTCTGGATTCGACGTATGTATATGAGCTCAACTGATTGCTCTATCCTCATGTCGTAAACTATGTGTTTACATCGTGTCCTAATGTTTCAAGCAATCGATCCATTTAGCTTATACCTCTCGCGGAACTCGCCCTCATTTACTAGTAGTATCCCAACAAGGAAATCCATACTTTAACTAGGGTTTTCAAGCTCTCAGGTTGAGCCGTTCACTCGTTTGCAGTTTAGGTGTATTTGCCGTCACAGCAGACGAGTTCTAGGTCCCTCGGCTCGCAAACAAGTGAGGTGAAACCACCCCTCTACGACGAGAAGAACGACTACAACACTCACGTCAGTACCAGTGCCGGCTTTTGCACCCGTTGCCTACGTGTGCCGAAACGGGATAATCATCAAGGGTGATGTGGCTGCTGGAAATGGGCCTACTTTATTGTAGAGAACTTGTCTCAAATTGGAGGGTTTGTAATAAGAGAAAAGGGAGACAATCTTGTCCTAGACAGGTATATGCTCTAGGCATGCCCATATCAACCCTATAATGTCGGGTCATTGTGGTTACTGCGGAAATGTCAGCCGCAAAGAGGCACCGAGGTTGCTTGACAGTAACTCCGTTACCTTCCTGTTCGCGTCTCAGGGCACAACCGCAGGAAATATACTTTGTGGGCATCATCCCACCAGAATGAGAGTTAAATCCTGGCAAGTGGCGCAACTGGCTCGCCATCCTCTTTATTTTCTTTTCCCTGTCTTCTTGAACACCACGTTCCATCGACCAACACATACCATCATGGCACGCACCATCATCAAGCTGCCACTTGAGATCCATCTCGAAATAGGCGACTATATATCTTTCACAGATCTCCCAAAATTAGTCCGCGCCTGCAAATTCTTCGCGCGGATCCACAGCCGACGACTGCACAACCGCAGATTTTCTGGAGCGAAGCTCGACGCTTGGTTCATCACCGACTGGCGATCGGAATTTGCCCCCGACCATGTCACAGCCATGGCGGACAAGCTGCTGCCGACAAATGACCCCTGGTCCAACAGCCTGCTGAAGTCCATTGAAGAGGCCGACAACGAACTGTGGCTCGATATCTTCATCAAGCGGGGCATGGACATCAACAAAAAAGACGACCACGGCTGGTCGCTGCTTCATTTCGCGCTGGAAGACGGACGCGATAGAGTTGTGAACAGGTTACTCGACGCCGGCGCTGATGTGCTTTCGCCGGCTGGCGGCAGGTTTCCCACGGTCGGCCTACCGTCTCATTATCTCTCGCGCACCACGATGGACAGGTTGATAGCCACTTTCAAGCAAGCTGGCGAAGATATATCCGCCCCTGGCCCCGACGGATCCCGTACGGCCTTGCACTACGCCACCCACCGCGGAGATCACCTAACCGTCAAGGCCTTGATCGAACACAGCGCCGGTGTTCTTGCGAAAAATATAGATGGGTATCTGCCTCTGCTCTTGGCAGTCCGGTTTAGACACTACCTCACCAGTGAGATCCTTCTCGAAGCAATGGCTCGAGACCCACGAGGCTACGGCCTCAACTCACCGATTCCAATGCTCACGAATCCCTCGGAATGCCTGCCCTCGGACCGGGGTATGCATCAGCGTCCAGGGGGTACAATCCTGCATCTAGCGGTCTGCATAGAGGACCCGCAGGCCGTGCGGCTGTTGCTGAAATACGGGGCAGACCCTCAGGCGGAGGATGATCCCATTCGGGTTTCTATTCGGCCTGAGACCCAGTTCACTCTGGCTGTGAAATTGATGAGTCCGCATCTCATCGACGCCTTCCTGAGCAGACCCAACCCCCCCAGACCAGTCCCCGCGCGGACCGGGAGAGGAAGGTGCTCCAACGTGTCGACAGATCCTGGAATCTGGCGGGGCTTCCCACGAGTAGCACTACCACCGCTACTTAGCCATTCGAACCCCGTCTACGTGGGCGTTAATCGGGCTTTGCCGCGTGTGTTTTCCATGTGCAAAGCTACGATACTCTTGGCTCCGCCCAGATATTAAACGACTGCATCATGCCCCTCGTCAGAGCGGGGTTGTCTGTCAATTACCAGGATTGCAACAGTTCTACATTGCTTCTACCTGTGCGGCTATCACTCGAGCTTTCGGGGCAACACTACGAGAAAGTTGGAGCTAATAGAATGCCTCTTGGATCATGGAGCCGACTGGGCCCGGCGAGCACATGGATTGGGGGGGACACTGTACTTCACAGACTAGCAACGCTCGCGCGTTACGCCTCCAGTTTTAATGGCATTATCCAGAGGATTGCGCGCGAGGGCGGCGGGAGCCCTGGCATGGCAGCTGTCAATGAGGACGGCGACACGGTGTTGCACCTCTACCTCGCATCCCTAACCCGACCGCCACCGAAATCTGAGATGATCAGCCTTCTGGTACAAGCTGGGTGTAGCCTGAATGTGCTGAATAAACAGGGGCGCGCTGTTGCTCATCGCGAAAACTCACCCCTGGTCATAGCTGAAATAGTGGACTTTTTCGAGGGTCTGGGGATAGATCTGTCTCTCCTTGACTCAGAGGGAAGGCCGCCTTTGCATTACGTGGTCGGTTGTGAAGATGTCACCTTGTACTCCGAGGGACGCGTCAGTTCGACCATTGTTGTCAAGCACCTCATTGCAAAGGGGGCGGCTCAGCATCCCGGGTGCGCCTCGTGTGAAGGGTTTGTCGCTACACTATGAAGGTCATGGAGCTGATGCCGATGATTTACGTAGTATCAAGAGGATAGTGACAGGTTTCGGATATTTGATAACCTAGAGGCAACCCAGCGGCCCATGTGCCTTGGCTCTTCATATACTTAGTCCTTCTTGCGCCGCTTTTTGCCAGGTTGCTCACTTTGAGGTGTATCTGCCGCCTCGGGTTCTTTTGTCGTTGCCTCACCATCACCTTTGTCTTCATCCTCTTCTTCCTCCTCATCATTCTGTTCCTCCTCCTCCTCCTCCTCTTCCTCGTTCTCGTCACCCTTGTCACCTTGATCCTCATCATCGACTCCCTCATCCTCCCGCTCATCCATCTCATCCTGGCCCTCTTCATCCCCCTCACCCTCCTTATCGTCATCTTCCCTCTGCTTCTCCTTCCCCTTGGCCTTACCCCTCCCCTTTCCCTTCGTATCCTTCTTATCTCCCTCCCTACTAACCTCCCCCCTCTTCCTCTTCGCCGTCTCCGTATTCCCCACAAACTGCTTCCCCTCCCTCGACCCCTCCACCTTCTTCGCCTCCGTCTCCTCCTTCTCCTTCTCACTCATCCCCTCCCACGCCTTCTTCGGCAGATACCTCTTCTCCGTCCCATCGTCCTGCTTCGCGTGTCCCGATCCTTCTTTCGTCTGCCACTCCTCGCCCGTCCATTTATCCAGGTTCTTCTGCTGCGGGGCTTTTTGGTCTTTTGAAGTCGTGTAGTCGCCGCCGCGAGCTTTGTATTCCGACGCGGTTAGTTGGGCCTGCTCAATGTTAGAATTGTGATTGGTGATTTGTGGTATGGTGTTTGGTAAGAGGAGAGGGTTGCAGGACCTTTCGCGCGGACCACTGCCCTGGTTTCCCGCCCTTGCCGCCTGCTTGCACCTCCTCTTTGACTTCCTGGCGCAGGTCCGGGTCCGTGTAATTATTTTGCTTTGAGGGCATTGTGTCGACGTGTTGAATCTCAGATTCTTTCTTATGAGAGCTCTATCAATTTAGTCATGGGTATGGTCGTGATCGCCTTGAATGCAAGTCACGCCCGCATGCTCGGTTTTATCTAGGTAGAGCCATGTAGTTCCCACGTCACTGGGTGACATCATGGACGATCGAGATCGAAAGCACGGTTCCCCGATCTGGGAACCAGAATCGTGTCCGTTAAGCTTAACTAAAGCGCGAGAATGTCAGGACGAACCATTCATTAGTCGTATGTAGGCCGATAGCCCAATCATCCATGATACAATCGGAAGTTACGGCTGTCGCTGCCGATCAAAGCGATTCATCCGCCGGCGAGCCTGATCAATATCCCCGGGTATACAATTCCACAGGAATACTAGTAGTCGGTTATAAGAAAACTCGCACCGCGCTTAAATTATGCCCGGTAGAGAGATTAATTCCCCGACGCTGCTTAAATGTTCCTTGGCGCCTCTGCGTCGGAGACCGGGCGGGGAGTTGTAGGCGCAGCCAGGAATGTACCACCCCCGGATGCGGACTGCCGGTAGTACCACCTCAACCTCCCTTGTAGCAGTACTACCTCCACGACAATGACTGGAATGCATATCGGGTCCTTTCCCGCTCAGTGTAACCCCGGGCTATTTTCGCATGACCTCCATCCGTACCAGGTTCTCCTCCCGTAACCCGTCTTAAACCTCCCACACCACCCACCAGCTAACCCACAAGATGCCCAGAATCCTCTGCCTGCATGGGCACGGAACAAGCGGTCATATCTTCAAGGTCCAAACCGGTCCGTACCTAGCCTAGCCCACAAATCCGACCGACCCTTCTAGTCCGGTCGCAAGCAAAAGATCGGAGCATGCTAACCAATCCACCGTAATCACAACAGCATCCTTCCGCTCAAAACTCCCGTCAGGATATACATTCGACTTCCCCTCGGCCCCCTACCCCTCCAAACCCTCTCCCGGAATCGAAACCATCTTCCCAGACTCCCCAACCTACACCTGGTTCACGCAACCCACACCAGCCTCAATCCGCGGCGCACACGCCTGGGTCCGCGAATATGTCGCAGCGAACGGCCCCTACGACGCCGTCATGTGTTTCTCGCAGGGATGTTCCGTGATCGCCAGCATGGCGCTGTATCACGCGTTTGATAAGAGCAATGGGGTAGCGGGAGAGAGCGAGGCTCTCCCCTTTGGCGCAGCGATATTCATCTGCGGCGGTGTCCCACTCTGGACGCTCGAGGACATGGGACTACCTGTTTCCGCCAACGCACACGAGCTCAGCAAAGCGACTGGATCGCTCCTCACCGCAACAGCCAGCAAACTCACACAACTGGGCGCAAACCTCTCGCTCATCAAACGCGGCGTCGGACTGTGGGACCGCGACAGCTCCGATACGCAGCTCCTACACGACCCGGACCCCGCGGCGCGACCGGGGCGGAATGATGTCTTTGGACTGGATTATACGGTGTTTCCGGAGTGGGCGAGGATTGATATCCCCACGGGGCATGTTTACGGTGCCAAGGATCCGCGGTGGCCGGCGGGCATTCAGCTGGCGGAGTTTTGTAGCGATCGGGTCGAGATGGACCATGGGGGTGGGCATGATATTCCGCGGTCGACCAAGGTTGCGGAGGGGATTGCGGGGTTGGTTAGGGGGTCGTTGAGAGGGGTATGTGTGGAATGAGATGGTGATTGAAGTTGGTAGGGGAATGTTGGATTGTTTAGTTGGAGTGTGTATGTGCAGCTGTCAACGAGACTGGACGGACGAGTAGAAATAATGGATAGACGGTGGACAGCGGCGGAGAGAGCCGCTCGCGGACCGGAGTATGCTTCCCTCCTTTGGCTTCAGATCCGACCTATAGTGTAACTGTCACTGTAACCACCACTCAGAACGGGAGATAGCTTCATCCCTGGGCCAAAACGAGCGGGGAACACAAACCCTAAATCTCCGCGCAGGTTGAAGAAACCAAGTCAAACTTGTTCAGCCAAGAAGACCATGTGGATGCCACTGCCGTGCCCAGCACTCCAGGCCATGGATCGTCCCCGCTGTTGCTGCTTCTGGCACCTGCCAAGTACCCGTTGTGGGGTTGCAAAGCTATCACCGGATTGACCAGCCCGTGGTTGTCTTTGTGTCAAGCGAATTTAGACTTTGGACCCGAGTCATGTCTTGCTTTGATATCACGATTGACATTGCAGGATTCAGGTTGTGGGAGATTTCCCCGCACGGCTGGCTGGGAGGTGAAGTTTCTTGCTGTCCATGTGGTCTTTTTTCGAGGTTGCAAGGCCGGATCTTGTCTTGGGGCATGGACAAGATGCAACGGGCGGAAGATCCGAGCCGTCTTCGTAAATATCGCCCCTCGAGCGTGCGGAAGACCATGTTCGAATTCGTTCGCTTATCTGACCCTGTCACAATGGCCCTTATCTGCACGAATTGCCCCCAAAAAGGGGACGAACTAGTCAGCTAAGCCGGCAAACTCTATCCTCCCAGCTCGCTGGCTCCCACGGCAAATTCCAACCAGAGAACTTTGAAACCAGCGATACCTTGGAATCACGCAGATCGCAGCACCTGCATACAACGTTGTCGACCTGCATGAAGCCAACACGTGCGCAATCGAGCGAATCACTTGCAGTTCCAAAGGCAGCTCACTTCTTCACCTCGGCTACAAACTCCAAACGAGTTCGTCAAGGCCAGGCACCCCCACAGTGGAGCGCGACAATTTCCCCAACAGGGATCCAGACCGGCCCGCCATCCCCAACACGGTAAAAGAAGGGTTTATCGCAGCGGCAAGAGACAAGGTTGCAGCGATAAAGTGCGGTCTGAACCCCTGAAGGCTGCAATTGAAGATCGATCGTCTCCCCGGGTTTTGTCGAGGTTCATATTTGACCTTGATATTACTCTTTACCAGGTCTCTGGGTCTATTGTCGCTGTTGTCGTTGTTGTTGTTGTTGTTGTTCAGTCGGTCGCGGCTTGGTCACAATGCAATTGTCTCGCCATCGCCACGCTTTTCCTACTCGATAATCACTCCATGCGCGCCTCGAGACCGGCACCACCACCGCAAGCATGTCATCCTCAAACCGCGGCTGGATCCTCTACGCCGTCTCCTACCCGCTCCTCGCATTCAGCACCCTCGTCACAGCCCTGCGCCTCTACACGCGAACCCGAATCGTCAAATCCCTCGGCACCGACGACATCTTCAACATCCTCGCCCTGCTCTGCGCCGCCACAAACACGGCCCTGATCACAAAATCCGTCCAGGCCGGCACAGGCCGCCACATCGAGACCCTCACACACGCCCAGCAGATCGAGTCCGCCAAATACCAGCTCCTGTCCCAGGGGTTCCACGTCATGTCGACGAATTGGGGCAAGGTCTCTGTTGCGCTGTTTCTGATTCGCATCATGGCCGAGGTCAAGCAGCATACCCGCGCCATGTATGTGGGCATTGTCCTGCTGAGTGTCGTGAATGTTGTCTGTGTGTATACGATCTATGGGCAGTGTACGCCGACAGCACGGGCGTGGGATGGGGAGGTGCCCGGGACGTGTTGGAGGGCCGGGGTGCAGAGGAATTACGCGTATTTCCAGGGGTGTACGTACAACGCTCCGAGAACTACCCTAACGCCGTCTCCAGAGCGTTTGCTGATTATTTGGCGATGTTTATGCTAATTGGTATAATAGCGGCCTCGGCACTCAGCGACCTCATCCTCGCAATCTACCCGCTCTTCACGATAAAGAACCTGCAGATGCCACCGAAGGTGAAATTCGGCCTGGGCTTCGTCCTCTCGCTTGGAATCATGTTCGTCCTCGTCCCCGTCTCTCAATTAATCCCAAATCATCTAACAGACATTACATCTAGAGCCATGATCGCCGCAATAGTCAAAACCACAAACCTCTACACCCTAACATCCGCGCACGACCGCCCCTGGACCATGGTCCCACTAACAGCCTGGGTCGCTGTCGAACAATACCTTATCATCATCGCGGCGTGTATCCCCGCATTGACACCGCTCTTCAATATCATCATCCGGCACCGCGGGAGTAAACGCTCGCGATCACGGTCGAAGAGTGGATCGAAGAGTCTCCCGCTGCACAGCCATCGGCGGAAGCGGTCTGCGGTCAATGCGGCGGACGGGCATCAGGCGTATCTACCCTTTGCGAGTGTGGGCCGGGAGTTTGTCGAGTATCCGATGACGTGGGCGGGGTCGAAGGGGGGAGGGGGGAGGTATGGGAGCGGGAGTGTGGTTACTGGCAGTGGGAGGGACAGTGGGAGTTTTGTGGGGGTTGAGGATGGCGGGAGTGAGGTTGGTATCACGAGTAAAGGGCATCAGAGTGTTGGTTCCGCTGTTGGTGTTGGTCTTGGTGTTGGTGAGGAGGGGGGCATGCAGGGTGGGATTCTGCGCACGACGGAGTTTCGAATAAAGGAGGTTGTGCGGTATGATGGCGTTGGGTAGGCAGATTATGTTTGATGCAATGGAAATGTTATTTGATGACATGCTTACACTCCATTGACCGCCTGATTATTGATGGAAGAGAAGCGGGATGAATCCACACGCAACTAGCGTTTCAGTGGGCTCCTAGGCGAGGAAGGCACGACCAATACGCAGGGAATGCTCCTTTCTAGAAGGAACAAGGAAGGTACGGGAGGAGCTGGTCGTTCTTTCCTTGTTTCCCTCGATAGGTGAACAAGGAATGAACGACCAAGAGATGCTCCTTCCTACTAGAGAACAAGAGGTACGCCTGGTGACCTAGCGAAAATCTCTCACGCCACTTTTACAAGATCACTACATAGCCATACAGAATCCCGACGATTGGAGTCAGTATGATACCCACTGAATGTCACGGGCCTCACCCTGCTTATGCCCCGCTTAGGTCATCGTTACGTGACAATCTTCTGTATATAATCAGTCCCGCTTCGCGGAACCTCCATTAGTTCTCCATGCTTCGTATTTTAGTTTAATACGACCTTGTTCATCGAGAGACGTTCCTTACAGAGAGCACGTATCCGTAGCTGAGCAGAGATTTCCATTTCGTATACACGTCTCTAGTACCATACGTCTAATCAAGGCTACATCGTACTCACGTCCCATGCTCATACGAACTCCTCTCGCGCAACCTGGGCCCCATGTAAAAGAAAAGCCACGGAATGGGCGCCATAGCCACCGCCACAAACCCCAGCAGACTCGTCGCCCAGCCCACCCCCAACGCATTATACATCTGCGGCACAAACAACGGAAATGCCGTGGACAGCGCATACCGCGTCAGCGAGCTCGCCCCGCTCGCACTCGCGCCATATTTCGAGCCATACACGTCGAGCATGTAGAAGTTGCAGGGGACGTAGATGAGCATGCTGCCGAGAAACGCCGTCCCCTGTGCGAGGATCGGGACCATCCAGTGGATGGAGGATCGGGCTGTCCAGGCGAAGGCGAAGAGGCCGGTGGGGAGGACGAGGGAGCCGAACATTGCGGTGTAGAGGCGGAGTTCGGGGGTGGTGGCTGAGTTTTCGGTTGCGTTGTTGCGGATGCGGAGGGTTGGGTGTGTGCGCACGGCGCGGTCGACGGTGAAGAGGATGGCGGGGGCGAGGATGCAGCCGGCGACCATTCCTAGGAAGGAGAGGCCCTGGGCGCTGGGGGAGAAGTTGTAGACGGATGCGAAGACGCGGGGGCTTGCGACGATGAATGTGTACAGTAATGCAAACTGGAAGCCGCAGTAGAGACAGATGAAGCCGACGAGGGGCTCGGTGAAGAGCATGTGCAAGGGTCGGATGATGGTTGAGGTGAGGAATTCTTTGAAGAGTTGCAGGGCTGTTCGGGTTTGTACAGGGAGGACGCCCTCTGCGCCGAGTTTTTCTGCGCGTTGTCTGAGGAGGATGGGCTTGTAGGATTCGCGGATGAAGAGCGCTGGTGGATGCAGGGCTGCGGCGATGATGAGCGGGGTCCAGGCTGTCCAGCGCCAGCCTTGTTGTTCGACGACAAAAGAGCCGATCAGGGGGCCCATAGCGCTGCCGATTGTGGGGACGGAGTAGTAGATTCCCAGAGGTACGACTCTTTCCGAGGGGTGCGTGAAGTCTGAGATTGTGGCTGCTGCGACGGATACACCTGGGGCGGCGAAGAGGCCAGCGATGAAGCGGCACACGATGAGCGAGGCGATTCCTTGAGAGGCGCCAACACCGATCGTAAAGACATCCACGAGCGGAAGAGTCAATAGGTAAACGAATTTCCGACCAAAGGTCTCTGACAGCGGCGAGGAGATCATGGGTCCAAACGCCATGCCCAGGGAGTACGCCGAGAGAGGAAGCAGCGAGACAGTCGTTGAAACATTGAATCGTTCCCGGACCTTCTCATGGCCCGACGAGTACATGGACGCATTGATGGTGGTGCAGAAACCGATTAAACAGACGACGGTCGTTGCGAAGATCTTTCTCGCCTTGGACCAGTTTCGCGGGTTTCCGGGGTCATCGTCGCTGTCCCATTCTTGGAGGCGAGCTCTTGTCTCGTCGTATTGGGCTGTGATTTCGAATTGCATGCTGTATGACTGTACTCTCCAAGAACAGCCCAAAGTGACATTGATGGCGAGACAGTCACATTATGTAGCAGTGGGAGAAAACGCAAAGGTAAGAGTCACTCGGCTATACAACGATCGGCGTGGAGTCGATCAACCGAGATTCCGATGTGTGCCAGACCCCGACTGGACACCGTGACCGACAGCCAAGATCGGTCAAGCGCAGTCAAGCCTCGTACGGAGTAGGGCTCGGAATGCCGACGAGTCGGGTGCCCGAGATTTTATCGTACCAACGGTGCGAGGTCTATTGGAATTCCACCGCATCCACAGCAGAGAAGAAAGCCAGTTCCGTGGCCATCACCGGGAAATTCCGACGTTGCATTGACAAAAATGATTGTTGTGGGGAAGCGAAACGTCAGTGGAGAAGGAGCATGACTCGGGGCCGGATATTTTTCCAGAGAGCTGGCCCTACACTATACCCGGAATTCATCTATACTATCCTCATCAGTACGGAGTATCGACTCAAATCCTCCACCTGAAAAACGGATGCCTCCACTCCAAATCCCCCACCTGCCTCTGCTCCAACCCATCCAACACTCTATCCCCCTCAACATCCCCAACCGCATCCCTCCTCTGATTATCCCACCGACACCACCAAAACAACCCCACACTAATGAAAAAACACGCCGCCGCCGTCGCCAGATTCAACCCATTTCCAATCGGATAATTTGGCCCATCGAACGGCAGAAACGACCACGTCGCGATCAGCCCGCCGATATTGCCGAACATGACGACAAGTCCGATTGCGGACGCCCGGGCTGTGTCGCTAACCACGCTCGCAGCCCCGTGTGCGTTGCAGAGCACACCTAGTGGGAAGGAGCCGCTGGCGATGAGGAATGTTGCGCCGTAGCGAGCCCGCGCGTTGTCAGTTGCGAGGAAGATCGTGTACCCTGTTACCATCAGAAGTGGGGTGCTGATGAAGAAAATGAGGCGGCGGTCGAGGCGGCCGCTGAGATATGGTATTAAAAGTGTGAATACAGCGCCGACGATGTACGGCGGGACGGTCTGGAGTTGTTGTGCCGTGACGCTTTTCTCCGGGTAGATTGTGCGCACGATGGTGGGAGAGAAGAAAGCGAGACCCTGCACTGTTACTGTTGCGAACAGCATGACCCACGATGTAGCTTGGACGACGGGGTTGAGGATCCCGCGGAGAAGTTTCGTCTTGTCGAGTTTGTCTAGGACAACGGTTTGCCCTGTGTGTTCGATTTCAGATACGACGCGCGCAATGGCAAGGGCTTTTTCTTCCTCGGTGAGCCAGCGCGCTGTTTCGGGGCGGTCGGTTAGGGTTAGGAAGGCGATGAGGGCAATGCCCACGGTTATTATGCCTTCGATTGCGAAGATCATGCGCCAGTCCTTGAGGCTGCCAAAGGACTCGAGGTTTAGAATCGCCGATGCAAGAAGACCTCCGAACGCGCCGGCGAGGGGGGCCATGACGATGTACATTGAGAGGCGGAAGGCAAGTTCCCTTTTTCTATACCATCGAGAGAGGTAGTATGAGATGCCGGGCATCATTCCCGCCTCGAAGACTCCAAGTAGGAAACGGACGCCGCAGGCAGCGTCAAAGGTGTGGACAAAGGCGGTGCCGATCGAACAGATTCCAAAGGCGAGTGTCAAGCCCGGGATAAACCAGCCTGGTCCGATCCATTTGCAGGCGATATTCGATGGGAGCTCGAACACGATGTAGGAGATGTAAAAGACTGAGAGGAGGGTATTGTAGTCGTAGCCCGACATGTTGAGGTCCTCTTCAAGGCCCGCGAGTCTTGCATTGCCTATACTCAGTTAGATCACTATAGTCGGGTCATGCAGAGCAGCATACCGATATTCGCTCTGTCGATGAAACAAAACAGGTACATGAGCGCCACTGTCGGGAGGATATAAAGGTCGATTTTCAGCTTCAACCGTGCTTCGGCAGCAGGGTCGAAGTCTGATGGCGGTTGGTTTCTGCACCAGGTCAGCTGAGTGTTTGGGAGAAATGCAATAGGAGTTATACCCTTTCATTGTCATCGAATTAGTCTCGGTAGGCGCCTGACTCTTTCTCTCCTCGACATGCTCTGATAGAGCCTTATCCGCCATAGCTGCAACCTTCACAGAGATACTGACAGACGATAGGGTGATGAAAGGATAGGCAAACTGGTAGCACGGGAGACAACAGATGGCAGCGAGACGAGCTTATATACCTACAGGGGTCCAAAGTAAGCACTTACTTCCCCAACTCAAGATTCTGGGGAGGCTTAAGATGCGGGGAAGCTCATAGCTGTTACCTTGGAGATGTCAGACCGTTCAAGGGCGTCGCCGCAGTGGCGGTCGAAACGAGGAGATGGACCTTGGCGGATCTCGAGCCGTACCAATCGAGCATGGGAGGATTAATCTGGGGAGATTCACCGAGGCGGGGTGGTAAATGATTGTATGTTCCCAGCCAATAATATCGTCGATCTCCATCGCCTCCTGTCATCCTTTTGCTGTGGGGGTGGGGGTGGGGGTTCGCCAAGAAGATACGGGGGGCGTTGAACCAAGACCGATAATCTCAAAGTGGTTCATTGGTCTCCAGACGAATATTCGGCAAGTCCTATCGGTATTGCATCTGAGCTCAATTCTGGGCCTCGAGTGCGATCAGTTGAGCGGTACTTCTAATCGCTCCGACCCGCATATTGGGCAATCAAATCAACCTTTAGGCGCTCTCTGACGGCCAGAAACGGAGCAAAGCGCTATTAGCAATACCTATGATTGGAAACAGACGGTAGCCAGGTTAAAAAAAACACATAAATTCATGAATAAGCTACAATCGAGCTATACTGTCTACTACGAGTCCGGAATAATGTAGGAAATTCCGGCATTCGCCCAGCAGCAGCGAATCATACCCTAGCTCTCAAACTTAACATACCCCTTCCCCTTAACAAACGTCGCAAGCCACGGAACATCCCCTTCATGCTTCGCTAACTGCGCAAAAAAGTCGGCATGCGCATCCCCGTTGAGAGCATTTCCCATGAAACTCGCATCAGCGTTGCGCTCGTCGGCGTAGAAGAACCTTTTTGAAAATATCAGTCAAAATCTGTCCCGAATCTCAGTACCCCTCAAGGGTACGTATACGTACCTATATCCCCGGGGCGCATACGTCCCATCCGCAACCGCCAGCCAATATGCCGAAGCAGACTTCCCGGCCCCAAGGTTGAGCATGAGGGGAATAGCTAGCACGTTCGTGTTCAGGCCATTGCCCGTGTAGATAAACGTCTTCTTGATTTCCGCCGGAAGGCTCTCCCAACCCTTGACGGCTTCCTGCGCCGCAGCGTAGGGGCTGACCGTGTTGATATTCAGATCCGCTTCAAAACTCGACAGAGGGATCGTAAGTGCCGAGTCCTTGTCTGTAGGGGCAGTTAGGCTCGCGGCATTGTAGACGACAACGTTTGGGGCAGTTTTGAAAGCAGCCTTTGTTGCGTCGAAGAGGGCGGGCACCGTCTCCGGTTTGGTGAAGTCGGCCTTGAGCGAGAGGTAGCCTTCGTCTGTGGTGCTGCCGGTTCCCTTCCGCGATGCGACGGCGACTTTGTACCCCGCGCCTGCGAATTTGGCTGCGACGGCGGCTCCAACGCGGGGCCCCGCACCGAGGATCAGTGCGACTTGTTGAGCGGCCATTGGAACGAATTGGTTATAGTTGATAATTGTAGGAATGTATTCAAGATGTTCAATGATTTGTGAACAACAGGACAAGAAGGACATCCCTCATATATCTAGTCTATAGGTCTCGCATGTCATCATTCTGGTCAATTTGCAATCATACGTTTGCGGCATTATTTGTCATCGCCAGCATTTCTAAGCTTACAAAGGTTGCACAAGCGCTGCACAACAGAACTTGGCATGACATTGATTGGACATTGTGGTGGGACGACTGCATGCAAGGGAACTTGTTTGTCCTGTTTGTCCTGTTTGCTCACTCTTCGGTCTCAGGGTTTAGGCTCATGTTGTCATGTTTGTGTGGTTTGCTCTGCTTTAGTTACTTCCTATTGGTGGTTTCCCTGCCCTATGGGTGTAACGGCCCTGCCCTTACTATATAGTTCCGCTGCTAGAAGACCTGGCGGTCTTCTATAGTGCCTTTTTGGCCGTATGGTTTTGTCAAGCAGCGGGATAGGATCCTTACAATGGGTGACATAAGCGAGGCTGAAGACCGCCAGTGCTTGATTCCCAATCAACTCTTAGAAATCTTATGTTAGTAAGTGAACATTTGGACATGCTTCTCATTTTGTTCACTCACTGTATGGCTCGCCCCTTTAGGCCAATCTCAGCAGCAGCAGCAGACACCATCAGAGTCAGACAATTTCTATGTATTTTGACAAGCAGTGCTTAGCTAACTGCTTTGTTACAGCAGGTGCCTCAGGCACCCCTGACAGGAGACCATGTGACTGCTGCTTAGGATCTGGCCTAACTAGGCCTAACCCCTTTTAGCCAGATCCTAAATAGTTTTTTTAGTATTATTATTTATAAATATTCTTCTAGAATTACTAGTCTTTTTAATTCCTAGTAATTTATTTCTAAATTAATTAGTATATAGCTTTCTTTTTTTATATATTTTAGATAGCTTAATTGTCACAGTGGGTGCCTCAGGCTTCAGGCAGCTGACAGGCAGCCACTGTCAGAGAGCCGCGCTAAGAGACGGGACGTTGTCAACCAATAGATCTGCCTTGTCACAGTGGGTGCCTTAGGCAGCTCCGACAGGAGGCCGCGCGACTGCTGCTTGGGATCTAACCTAATTAGGCCTAACCCCTTTGGGTGAAATCCTAAATAACTCTCTTAGTATTACTATATATAAAAGACTTCTATAATTACTAGTCTTTCTAATCCCTAGTAATTTATTTCTAAATTAATTAGCTTATAGCTTCTCCTTTATCTACTACCTAATATCATGCATGCACCTAGTCTAGTTTCTTTAATAGTCACTACGTGCGTATATTCTAGAGGTTTAGCTAAACCTAATTATCTTTCTTATACATGGGGGCGGCCTATTATTATTAATTTATTTACTCCTCTTATTAGGCCTATGTAGAGGTAATAGTAGCTTAGGCCTAATTAGTAGCTTCTTATAGGTGATTTATAAATATTTTACCTACTTTTCCTAGTAGTATTAGGACGTCCTATAGCTAGCTTGTTTTATGTAAACTAATTAGGTTAACATAATATCTATATATAAAGAAGAAGGGTGAGATTCCTATTAAGGTAGTATTATAGTTATTAATTATAATAGTAACTATTAGTAGTAGGTCCTTCTAGTTGTCTTACACGTACATAGTAAATATATGTAGGATTTATTTAATCTCTTAGTTAGTGTGTTCCGTCGCGCTGTCTATCTATGGGTAGAAAGTGGTTAATAATTAGTATTAAATTAATAGTCTTTTATAGACCCTACCCTAGAATGTACTTATAAACTAGGGTCTATAGTTACTTATAATAGCTAGTGGAATTCTATAATATATATAAAAATATATAAGGAATACCTCTACTACGTTCTCTACTATTATACTATCTATTCTAATAAGAATAATACTCTTTATTAGTTAATTAGTTATTACTATATAGTTTATTACTCTCGTGGGCCCCAAAGGTGGTAGTCCTATAATAAAGTCTATAGATATTTTAGCCTAGATTCGCTAGGGAATTAGTAGTGGTTTTAGTAACTTATACTTAATATCATGCTATACTAAGCTTTATCTATAGATTATATAATTCTAAAGGAAATATTATATATCTTTTACTACTCTAGGCTAGAAAAACTATTAAGATAGTATTAAATAGGTAGTATCTTATCTAGGATATATTATCACGTGTAAATTATAAATCTTCTATATAATCTATATACGTAGGACTTTATTCTCTAGAATCTATACTTATTATCTAAAATAGAGTAATCTATAGTTATTAATATAGTACTCTAATAAGCTTATCTTAATACCTAGCTTAGGATTTTAGTATTCTCCCTCTAGTAAAGTATAAGAGATTTATTAGTATACTATATTAAAAGCCCTTACTTTTCTCTATTCTATTTATAGGTCTAATTTTTTAAATAATAGAATATCTTTCTTAAAGTTAAGGTCTATTTTAGCTAGCTATAGGTTTACTTATCTAGTCTTAATCTATACCCTCTTAAGTAGTACCTAAAAGTAATTTATAAGCCTTTTATCTATAATACTACTAGGCATATCTTAGCTTTATTATAATAATATATCTAGTCTTACTACTAGCTTACTAGAATAGTAGTAAAGGTTAAAGTTAAACTCTATTAGAAGGTCTGCCTAATATATCTATTATTTATTAAGGTATTACGCTTTACTAAAGTATTATAGGTTCTTATAGTCTATTATAATAGTAAATTAGGGTACTATCTTTAGCTCTAGTCTCTATTCC